CTTTTACGAAATAGAAACAATAGCTGCATCTAATTGGCGGCCTACTTGAACCTCTGGGCTACCTCTTCCTGCCATCTAGATATTTCAACAAGCTACCTGTTTTGTTTGTTTTATTACATCATTGTGGTTAATAAACACATAATCTGTTCAGGTGCATTTCTGAAGTGTGCAAACTTTCGTTATGCACGTTAAAAAGGGCCCAATCAGAGACATCGTGATTGTTGGCAGTATGCAGAGAAAAAAACAACATTATTCAGATGTCGACTTCTGGACTGTTAACTTCTAGCCGGCAATCACTCAGTAATTTAAAACAATTAGACCCTTTTACAGATTTCGATAATGTAATTAGTACACAAGGATTATCAGAACTATGCGATATATTAGCCCAGTACATTTCGAACAATTTGATCACACATATACTTGTTAAGAGCATTTACATATAAAAATAAAAGGTCAACTAGACTGGAAATGGAGTAAGAGGAGATAAGGATAATAATAAGAGTAATAATAATAATGTGAACACAATTCGTAACCTAATCACTCTGGATAATAAGTCGATATTACCAGGGTAGGTTTAAGGTAAGAACAAACTGTTTTTGAACACACAAAGGGGGTTCGAATTTTCATATGGCTAGGGCTTCAATAAACCTTAGTATACGCCCTTTTACACTTCTATACAATACCACAAAAGCTGAGTTTAGATCAATCTTGTGACCTGTTTCAATTACATGTTTAGCAATAGAGGATGATGAATGTTTATCCTCTGCTCTTATTGGGTCACCTGATTGTATTTGTTTCTGCAGCCATTTGGGTACATGTTCACTCACCCTAATGTTGAGATCACGATTGCTGCTCCGTATGAATATGTGACCACACACACATTTAAATTGGTAAACACAGTGGGATGTGACACAATCGTTTTCATGTCTTTTAAGTTTTGGATGAAGCATGCACCTTGTTCTTTCTTTGATAATGAGCTTTGCTGCACAATACGTTTTATTGATGCCTGATTTTAGTCTTTGTTTCAATAAAAGGCTATTTGAATCACCTCTGAACGGTAAGGTGATGTAGACAGGCTTTTTCTCTACCGAGGCTACAGTAGGTCTCGCTGTACCATGGACTTTCCATCTATTTATGAATTTCAGAGGATAGCCATTTTCTATTAATGTTTTATTTAACAACTTAACTTCATCATCAATGGCGTCGTTTGTACAAATACGATCGAGTCTGTTGAAGAGACGCCTTATCAAACTACGTTTGTATTGCACAGAACAATAGCTATAATAAGTTAGATATAGACTAGTTCACGTTGGTTTTCTAAAAATAGATCGCTTGACTGAAACATCTCGTCTACTCAGAAGTATATCTAGGAAGGGAAGCTGATCGTTCTCCTCCTCTTCACATGAGAGACTAATATGGTTTTGAAGAGTGTTAAGTTTATTTAATAAACAGTACATATCCTCTTTTCCCTCACAAACAACTAAGATATCGTCCACATATCTCTTATAAAGTGATATGTTTCCGATTAGGTCATCAGTCTGATTTTCAACATGTTCCCTGAACACATCTGCTAATAATGGTCCTAGCGGACTACCCATAGCAACTCCATCAATCTGACGAAAGTACTTACCTTCAAAAGTGAACTGAACTTTGTCAGTACATAGTAATAGTAAATCTTTAAGAATTTTTAAGGGGACACATCATGTAAGATTGTTTACAGATATGTAATCACATAATATATCAATGGTTATTTTCAAAGATAGATTTGTAAACAAGGAATTCACATCAAATGAACACATCGACTTTTCCTTGATATTAATATCACCTAAATGATCGACCAGTTCAAAAGAACCTTTTAGAGATTGCACAAACGACGCCAGTCTACATCACCTTACCGTTCAGAGGTGATTCAAATAGCCTTTTATTGAAACAAAGACTAAAATCAGGCATCAATAAAACGTATTGTGCAGCAAAGCTCATTATCAAAGAAAGAACAAGGTGCATGCTTCATCCAAAACTTAAAAGACATGAAAACGATTGTGTCACATCCCACTGTGTTTACCAATTTAAATGTGTGTGTGGTCACATATTCATACGGAGCAGCAATCGTGATCTCAACATTAGGGTGAGTGAACATGTACCCAAATGGCTGCAGAAACAAATACAATCAGGTGACCCAATAAGAGCAGAGGATAAACATTCATCATCCTCTATTGCTAAACATGTAATTGAAACAGGTCACAAGATTGATCTAAACTCAGCTTTTGTGGTATTGTATAGAAGTGTAAAAGGGCGTATACTAAGGTTTATTGAAGCCCTAGCCATATGAAAATTCGAACCCCCTTTGTGTGTTCAAAAACAGTTTGTTCTTACCTTAAACCTACCCTGGTAATATCGACTTATTATCCAGAGTGATTAGGTTACGAATTGTGTTCACATTATTATTATTACTCTTATTATTATCCTTATCTCCTCTTACTCCATTTCCAGTCTAGTTGACCTTTTATTTTTATATGTAAATGCTCTTAACAAGTATATGTGTGATCAAATTGTTCGAAATGTATTGCGCTAATATATCACACTCAGTAATTGTCGTTAGGATCGACCAAGAAGTAAGAAATGGAAACTTGTTCAGATATTTTTTGCTGAGAACTGTATATTGTACCAAAAATATAATATTGAATAAATCTATTTTTAATAATAACTTCTGAATTTGTACCATACTCATTTAAAACATTGCATCAATGTCTAACCGGTAGCTCAAATTTGTAATTACCTGATATGCTCGTAAGATGGTACTTATAGAAATAGTGCCTTCCAACAGGTTGTGACACATAGAGCATCGTGTGAGATAAACTTTTTCCCTTTTATAATTTGAACGTTTTCCAACTTGTTACACGCCATGACTAATACTTTATTACTGTATTCTCCTACCTAAACGCTTTAACCAAATTTCGCTCCAGCAGCAGTAGCTAGTGTACGTTTTATCTAATAATTTGTTATACCTTGGAAGTTCTACTACAAACTGTAGAGGATTGTTAAGGGTTTAAATACAAGTGTTTTGCTGCTCTTCCGTTACTCTTTTTTTCACGCTCTGACCACTGACATTCCATAACCCCTCAAAATTATCAGCCGACAAAAATACACAGCGCCTCCACTTTGCCGAACAAATCGCAATAAGGAGCTCAAACCTGACTAATGTCTAGAGATAGACAATGGTGGACTATCTTATTAAATTATTTTTGTCATTATAATCATTTCACTGGTGTTTATTTTCTATGATGTTTCCCTTTGATTTATTCTTGTTTTATCTACAATGAGGCTATCCCTTCATTTATGTCTTTTCACTCACCCGATTCCCTTAACCTACGTAAAACCGTCAAATCCTGTTCATTTGTAACGTAACTTATTATATCGATTACCTCGGCAAACTGGAGACTGCGTATTTTTATCGGCTGATGATTTTGAGGGGTTATGGAATGTCGGTGGTATGCCTCGTGTTCAAAGCAGTGTGGATAGTACTTATAGAATGAGAATCTCGTGGATCCAAGGCCACCAAGCACTCTTAAAAACAAAGGATTAGGGTATTGCAATAAATGCTATGCAGTACTATGTGCACAAAATTAAAAAGATCGGTTTTACAAGAAGGTACAGTCGATTGTAAAGAGGTGCCCAGAAAATGACCTGATCATGTTGATCAGAGACCTAAACGTCAAAGTCGGAATGAATAACACCGGGTACGAAGGGATCATGGGTCGACGTGAACTGGGAGAAACGAACGGAAATGTTGGAAGATATGCTAATTAATGTGCTTTTAACAAAATGAATATAAGCGTCACGGCACTCCGAGGTCCTCAAATTTGTGTTAGAGCTTATCGAGTTTGTCTAGTTGCCGGAAAACATCCAAGCCTTCTGGTGAATGCTAGTCATGTTTTACGGTTTTCATTGCCATAGTTGATTTCAAAAGGGAAATCAACTAAGAAGTTGAGTACGAGACGTGCATCTTTCACAGAACTAACGTTCATGTTTTCGAGCTGTAGCCATTTGATTTACGTATTTTATGTTTGTCTACTTTAGATTTCGGCAATCTATTGGGGAAGCATGCCCACTACTTTACATTTTTACTAATTTTAGGTAAACATGATCGTTAAGTGGTAAGCTTGATAGCTATCTTAAAACCCGGGTGAGGTAGAACGAATCCTATGGGGTTCTGTACTATATTCAGTTCGTTTTGTTTGTGAATACACTTTAAGCCCAAGTAGACACACTCTGGGACTCGTTAATTTAATGACGACGCATAGTTACGAAGAGATGTCTGCAACCAGGAGGAAAGACCAAGTTTCCAGAAAAATGTGATTTAAACCTGGAGAAAACAGGTTTTGGTGAGTTGACTTTCAGTATTAAAAAGAGTGAACCGGCTCATCTGCATAATGAAGTGATACCACTATAAATGAGTTTTGTGAGTATCGCTTTTAAAATGGGACATAGATATACTAAACTCATAAAACGTGCAAGACTTTGATAGTAATACATCTCAGTTTCAAGCACCTTAAACCAAGGCTTCTACTTTGGGTGAAGATAACCATGCTTCTTTTGTTTTTTCAGTAAAAGTGATATCTAAAGTTTCCGAGCATCTTCCCATTTATTTAATGCATCATTACTGCGTATATTTATACGATTTTCGAGGGAAGCCCAGTTTTGCTGATCTTACTATCTTTTGTGTACACTCTAACGTGACGCTTCCCAGCTTAACGGATGAAAAAACAGAACATTAGAAGACCAGTCTTGAAATGAAATATCTCAATGTAAATTGTACTCTCATATGCTGCGTTTACTCAGCAAATAGACGAAAAATGCTAGATATTTAAGACATATTCAACATTGAAAGGCAGACGGACTACGAATTCACGGACACATTCAATTCCTTCTTCTCTTCCTACGACAATTTGAATATGAAACCGAGTTTCACCGCGCTAATTGAGAACTGAGCGTCGTTCAAGATGTTAGCATACTCCTACCAATGTAGATTACTTTCTACACGACTGATTGCTAGAAGTATTGTACCAATCTGTCGCCCTATCACTCAGGATCATACCTTGAATTCTAATAAACTCGGAACTGGTAATGTAAAGTTAGGATTACGTGGTCTTTAAATTAAAAATTACCATATATCTTGTCCCATATTTTTTGGATTACAGACGTACTTTAGGTCAGCACTAAGTTCTGCTTTTCTAATTCAGGGGTCATAAACTCTTATTATGTGGTACGACAGTGTAATAATATGGTTATTGCTCTATCATTAGTAACTCGTATCATTCGCCGGCGTGTAAATTTAAACAAGTTGGTGATCACCAAGGTATTAATTTATTGAATCTCCGCCTCGAGGAAGAGTCCGTTTTAGTTGCAAAGCCGCCTGAGTTAATTTCAATCAATTAATAACCTGTATTACCCGTATTTTCCCAAAGTTATCCCTCATTTCCTCATTCTTTTTTAATTGAGATCCGGAGCCGCTTTTGTAAGAAAACGATGTTATGCTCTCTGATTATCCCTTTCAGTATGAAGTCCCGCCAACCACTGAATATTTTCCTTTAAAATATCCTCATAATTAAAGAAGCTGGTGTGCCTCTCGTTAAGTCTCCTTTCTTATGGTATTAATGAGATGAAAGCCACTTGTTATTGCCTAACCCCCGAAGCAAGTTTTAAACGGTTATGTTGTGATACAGACGACTTACTTTCTAAATCTATGGTCATACAAAGAATTAGGATGATTATTATTTATCTGAGCTTAGGGAAACAGTTAACGTTTAATAATCACTTTATCATGTTTATTGTATACCAAACTGGTTCATGCTACTGTATGACTATGAAACGTCTTTTAAACACAAAAACATGATTGTGCTACATGCATTTAGTCTCCATACGAGACTTCGTGGCAAAAGTACTGAGTAAGCTATATCGAGATTGGGCACAGATTTCCGGTTCAGATATTATGACTTCATTTCATTTCCTCAGTGCATGTTGTTTGTCAGAGTAAGTCATAATACCAGCCACAGATATAACAATGGTCAAAGCAGTCATTGTCCCAAAGTAAAGAAGTTTAACTTGGAGGTGTTAAATCGTTTGTATTCTTTCAATGTTGCCTGGGTATGATGTAACCACGAAATGAATACTAATCAAATTAATTAAACTACTGCATAAATTCGGTAAACCAATTGGCTTAAATGTTAACCCCATTTATTCTAACCTATATAAGTGAGTTTGTACCTAAATTTTAGTATTCAAATGTTATCGCGGGTTTCGACGAAAAATGACGGGGCAATGTGCAGTCGCTTTTTGCTATTGAGCTTTTTAGATAGTTGAGTACAATGTTATTGAATTTTGAGTCCAACAACAAAGTGGTTGCATTTTATATAGGCTACATAAAGCTGGTAAAAAATTTTTGCGAATATTAGGTTGCATATTTTCATGTTAAAGTTAAATAAGAAATTGAGGGAAACAGTAGGTTAATAGTCTGTTTCATGTTTACAATCCTAATGACAATTGCTTCATGAGTTTTAACTACTGTTCTGGACTGGGAATTTGCTCCTTCAAAACCACTTATTTATTTGTATTTCTACTATACAGCACCAGCTGTTCAGAGAACCGGTCTGTTACCATCATATCACTGGACATTTGAACGTATTCTAGCTGCAAGCATGTTGCCATTATATCCTGTCGCACTATATATGGATACCCCTATGATGAATTTTATAGTAGTGACTGCTGTTTCCATGCATTCCTACTGGTGAGTTCTGAAATTCTATCCATTTATCTACGTGCATTCCTGTTGTAAAACTTTGTAGTTTTTAAGTAACTTCTTAAGTGAGATTTCGTGGCTTTGAAAATTTTATCACTAAGATCTCTTATTAATCCTTTGTTTTTGCTCAGAATCAACTACTTTTGTGAGCAAATAGCCTCCTTATATTAAATATTCAAACCATTTACCGTGGTTGACATTCTTTATTTGTGTTGATGCTTAGACTTAAATGCTGGTTTTATGCACAACTACCACTTGTTTCGATTATTGCCTCGTTTACATCCATACACTTCGCTCATAACTGGGTTGTTGTACAATATTGTATTCATTTCGAATGACTCGATTCCTTCTGAGTACCTGAGGTGCAACCCGACAGAATTCTTGAATTTGTAGTAATTTATCGGATCTTCCTTCATCAGCATTTCGGATGCCAACGGGTTTGAATCGCGTTGGTGCTGTTGTTTTATGTAGGTAGTTACCGTGTACATTTGCGGAACTACTATCAGTTTTTAAACTGTGGTCGGTCAGTCAGTCATCAAACGACGTAGAACTTCGTACGTACGTACATCAGTTCGAGTTGCAATACCACATTAGCACAGAGATACAATTGTCGATTCAAATCCCATAGTAGTAGAGGTAGTAAAAGTATGAGTAGTAATTGGAAAGATTAGGGTCTGAAGATGTTATTCAAGAAGTATAATCCAATGAAATAAATTTGGAAAGAGAAAAAAAAAGAAAGGGACATGAAGAATTCAGAAAATTAGAATTTGGGAGAACACAAAGAGTGGATGCTCCTGCGCCATTACAAACGATTTTGAGTCATGTCATTCAAATTATGTAAGTATTAATCAAAAGCAATGATTTGCTGATGAATTACTAATCAGTAACACTATTAGTGATCACATTATTCAATATCATACATTTGGATACCGTTTAATATTTTCAGCATAAAATATCACATTAACCCCCGCCCATTGGAACCAAATCAGTGACATGGTTTTTTTGTTCTCTTGTTCTCAGTATATTCAGCATATAATTATGTCTTATATAAATGCCTTTGCGATTATTTCTGTATTATTCTGGACATTGTATCAACTGATTTACTGAACACTTTGTGAAATAATGTCATATGCCTCATGCTCCAATTTTTGTAGTTACTCTACATCTTTGGAGTGAAATTTTTGACAACATTAGCGAAGTATTAATATTAGAATGTTTTATCATCGCCTGACTTGAGCTGAAAGTAGTTGACTTTTTGGACATCTAACTCTACCCGTTTGTTCAGAATAAACGACATTAACTTTCCATATAGAGGTAAATTGGTTGTTTAGGTAATTTGTATGATACTCGGTGCTATGTAAAAGTAGTTCTTTCACTGTGTTCAATTTATAATGTAGATGTTTGTAATAATTTAAAACCGTATTAGCTTGTAAGTTAAAAGTTAATTTCACTCACCTATATTTTTGGTATGATTCATGATATGTTAATCCATAGATTGTATGGCATGAGTAGTTCACTAATCATCTGTATGTACATTCGACGCTCATTTTTTCCTAAAAGATAGTTTTATTCACTATTCGATTAGCGTTAGAATGCTGTAAATATTAGGAAAAATACCATTATTTTTACTCCTTTGATTTTCATATCAACTTCCACTTGGTCTTTTGATGTAAAGTACGGCAACTTATGGTAACATATTCATACTGCGAGCTATTGTGCTTACAGCAGAATAACTCATTCCTTATATGCTGTACTATCTGATAATCCCTATTGTAATGTACCTTTAGGGAATTTTTATGACAAATTAAATCCTTCATTGAAGTTTGATTGCACGGTTGTCATTTTTCAAAACTAATGTCTTATCTATTAAAGTTTTGTAATTACTATCTTTTTTCCATACGTATTCCAGAATCTTGCATATTTTTTCATAAGTGTCTTCAAACCCTTGCTGGTGTACGATGAAACAACGTAGTAAGCAAGGCTGATGTTAGAGGTAGGGTGCTAGGGTGAGATGGCAATGACGGTAGTAACGCTATGAACCTTCATCGACTGAGGTGGATGGGAAATATGCTACGTATCCCCAAATATTTACGTACGCAATTCTTACTGGAGTAGGAATTGATTAGAATAGAACTAGGGGCGGCTCAGTGATGACCTGAAGTCAGCCTATGAAGTCACCAACTTTTGAACCTAACCATGTGGATAGATGCGAACTACCTGGTTGAGGTTCACGTGATAATTGCAGTCAGAGATTAGAAATACTAGGTGACTTGGTTGGAAATCAATTACAGTGACACATGTGCATTAATTCTCTATCTTACCCTGTAGATTTAAACTTTCAATATTCCTCCATACATTCATTTCCTTAGAATCATTTCTATATTTAGAACTCAATATCATTGATATAGTTATTACTTCAACTTGTGTGCTACTTATATTGGTAATCTTATGTTATGCTAATGTGATATGGCAACCTGGGTTCATACATCTCTGTTACAGACCATATATCGATTTTGAATATTGAACTCATGTTTTATATATCTGTTGTTGAATATATTTTCAACTAAATTTCATGTTAACTACCATCTTATGTAATTGAATTAAAATATGCGTAAATTAAAGATTGTAACAGTAATTTTTCATGTACACTTTAGGGGATTTGACGGTGTCATCAAAGACTATGCATTTGAACGTCGTTATGGTCCTGCACTGATGCCTATATTACGCACATTATGGAAAGTTATGGCTGGTTGCGGTTATGCTGGCCTTTTATATTTCAATTTTAATGACATAGGATTTATTTCAGCCGTGAAAAAACTATGGGCTTTGTGAAAATATTTTTAGTTCCATTGCTTTTACTTCTCAATCTGATATTTTTAAGACTGCTTAGATTATTTGGGTAATAACTTATAACCACCAACTTCTTTTATGTATTAGCATGTTGTCCTTTAATACCCAAATCTAACATGGAACTGATTTTTAATAAATATGTCTAATTATATGAAATTCTCGTTTTTAAGTGTAGTTAAGTTACCAAATAGTTATTCTAGTGCGTCAGTCTTGCATAGTAACTCAACCACACCATACTTTTGATTTTATCATGAGCGACTTTAAAGATATATTTAGAAACCAAAGTAACTACACGAAGAAATATATTTATGATGAAAACCTTGTTGATGCATCCTAGGAAAAACAAACAGAAATCTTATTTCATTCCTTAGTGCTTCTGTAGTATTCAGCATCCGAGGAGGAAAGTTACTTGTAAAGACATTGGTAATCAAGCTCGTTTTCATATGAATTTATTCATTTATAAAGCGTTTCTTTTGATTTATGAATCATTTTTCCGCTTAGTTTTTTTATCTTAAGACTAGTGATGATTTGTTCCTAATTTCTGTAAGTTCAACGGAACTTCTCGGTTTTTTTTTGCGTTCCTTATAACATTGATTTAAATTAAGCTTTTCGTGCACAAACTCACGATCTAGACGATTTGTTTAACAAAAAATATTATTTAAACCAGTGGTTAAGTGGTTGGTTCACATAGCTTCTTCCCTTTATTTCTTATGTTCGAGTCCACCTTCATCTAATTCCACTTAAGCATCCGGACAGTCACAAATGATGTGGTTCAAAACCAAATCTAAAAACGTGTTTTTGGTTGATTACTTTGATAGTAAATGGATTGGAATTAAAATTTTCCCGTGTGTATTATACTGACTCCACCGTTTATAAATTACTATAATTTCGCTTTTATTAAACTGCCTTTTAATTAATGTAAAATAGTTTACTTACGTCAAATTACTTCTGTTCAAAATCATGACTTTTGGACCTTTTTCCAGTCACAAACTGTATTTTCTAAAATTCTACCAACAAAATATCCCGGATATTTATTTATTCTAAGGATTATCATTAAATTTTCTAGAAATCGTTTTATTCTTAAACTTCAGATTCTTAAAAGGTTTAGGATAATAGAAACAGTATCCTCAGTTAATTAAATTTTTGGCAGTTACTTAGTTCGCTAGGTTGCTTTCTTGGAAATTTCTGCTTAAATACCTATTTCTATTTTAACGTATTTAATTTATAAATGAAACAAAATTAAAGATTTAGTACTAGATTCTCTTAAAATTTGAAATAGACCGATCGTTTTCGAATCACAGTATGTTAATCAACATATTAGAAATCTGGTCATCGGCACAAAATAGTTGTTTCTCTTAATTCATTCGGAAGCTAATATACTGAATATACAGGACTACCATTAATTCACCGAGGCTATTAGGATTGAGTAGTAAAACACTAAAAAAACACAACTATTTTACCTTGGTGAATATCAGTTATCTAACAATCGAACCTCTTCGACTTATTCAACATTAACTTTACCTAAGTATTTTCAGTAGGTCTGATTGATCCATAGGCGTAATTTGAAACTGCGAAAGGTTTCGTAACATTTATTATTCAAGCAGAAAGTTGCCATGTTTAAATCGTCTCACAAGCTTTTAGCAGTTTAATTTTAGGTTTGATTAATTGGAGTTAGTTACTCAGGATGTACATTCTTAAAGACCATGTTTATGTTTTCTTTTAACATTTTATGAGTTAGAATAGCGTATCAAAGGGATCCTTTGAATGGAGCTTAATAAAGCTCAGCTTATACTCTTGCAACATTTTAGCAACAGCAGTCATTTTAATTTAGTTTTTTAGTGAAAAACCCTGCGATATCAACGAGAAAGTGATAATTCGTCGATTATTTGTTGGAAGCAGCGACATCTCTCTAAAAATCGATAATTTTCGATAATGCAATTTTAAATGAGAGATCTTTGCATTGGTTTTCTCTTATTATCATCGATGAAAACAATATCACGGTAGCACACTGCTATATAGGATTGATCGACTACTTTCATTATAAATCATAAGTGGGTTACTTTAAGTAGCATTGTTCCGATTTACAGATTACATAGCCAGATTTTAAGAATTATTTTGATTCATATTGACCTTTCCAAAACATCGATCAGTGCATTATTGTATTATAGATAACTTCTTTGATTGCGAAATCGGAAAACTCGATGTCAGTAAATCACGTCTGACCTCAATAATGGACATGCGTAGACCAGTTACAGTAGTTGGAGAAAATGGAAACCTTTAAATTGTAATTATTCGTTAGTCTTAGTTTATAATTTGCAGAGATGAGAAATACCATCTCTTGCTCATCATTGTCTGTTTTGTTTGCTTGGTGATCTATAAATAGTGTAGACAAGTCAACATCTTACCCTTCTTAACTCTACTGAATAAACTGAACCTTACAAGGTTGTCGACCATTTTCTAAGAGAAATCTAGATGTGGCGCTCAACAAAGACAGCAAGACAAATCTTTTGCTCTTCCTGTTAGCCTCGAGATTTGGATAATGTGGTCGGAATAGCAGATAAAGTCCTATAGGTAACGCCTAATCATACCCCATACATGCGATCTGTTTTTGACGTACGAATCACTCCAACAAATCCTGTTGGATGAGCTAACAGACCTCAAAGGTCAATGCACAACAAAGCCTCCTACCCTAAGGTCTAAACTAGAAGAATCATGACTTCAGATGTCAGCATTACATACAGGGAGAGGTCTTGAGGTTGAAGTAACAGACGATAACTTTCAAAAGCACCGATAGCAGGATGATGTGTCTGTTGGTATCACTCACAAGAAAAGGCTGCCACCCGTAATTACTTCCACTCCATGCGGAAAAATGTGGAGAACAGGCAGTAATAGCCACCGCTGTTAGCAAATACTTAGTACGTGCCGCGAAGTAAATGGAACTTAAGATCCAAGTCAAAAAAAAAAAATTTTTTTTTTAAAAATTTTTATATCAAAAACTTGTGTCCGTGTAGTGACTGTAGAAGCTTGAACAACTTGGCAACATATGGATATCCTGCCCCACATATTCACGGATTTTCACTGACGCCAGATGGCGAGTCCGTTTTTTGTAATGTTTGCTATTGAATACAGATAGCAAAAGAAGGTATGTAGAAGACGATGATTGTTTATAAAGACGAAGTCCTTGTCATTGGTGGATATTTATTATTATTCACAAACATCTTGTGGGTACATAAGTGTTGTGAAGAAACCATTTTGGGTTTCTCCAAAAATGGAATAATACACAAATTTGAATAATATTAGCATTATATTTGTCATATTTGAAAAACAGTATTAATAATAAATCAGGTTCTGTGTAATTGAGAAGTATATTGAGTTGACTTTAAAAAAGGAAAGTGAGAAAATAAGGGAATAGAAATAAAGGATAGGCGAAATGTGTAAGTTTATTAAGCGTGTCTGTGAACTCAGAACAAGAATGAACGACTATATATCACCAAATGAGTAATAATATTAATAAGAAAATAACTTATTATTGCAGTAAGATATGACGCTCGAATAAATGTTTGTGCAGTCATAGTTTGGAGTGGTGCTATGAAAGTCTCAATTAAGTGAAAAGTATAACGAAATATCAATATGTATGAGTTATATATACATAGTGAAGATAAAACGAGTCTGAGAAGTTAATTTAAATGTAATACAAGTTATTGTCTTAATTACAAACTTCATAATCTTAAGAATAATATTTATTTAGATGGAGAGAAAAGAAATGAACACCTAGTGAAAGGGCTCAAGCATGATAATAAGAGTGTAATGAATATCGACTTATGAAGTAAATCATTGATTTTGTTAGTTTTTCAGTGCACTCGAGTGAATACATGTAAAGTTATGTAATAGGATTCAGAGTTAAACTTTTGTGTAATAATGATTTCGAATGATGCTATGAAAGTCAAAATTAACTGCAAAGAATAATCAAATATAAATTTCTGTTATATATATGTGGTGATGACAAAATGAATCTGAGAAGTTAATTTGTTTAAGTGTAACATAGGATAACTTGTTTCTTTGCTTGTTTTAAGTTGTAGACTTTAGATGTTTATGAATAAGATATTTTTAGAAGGACAATAAGAGATTGTAGTGGTAAACAAACCCTCAAAATAAATAACTCATTAAGTTTTCGACATTGGATGCTGACCACATGTTTTAATGGACTCACCTAGCTGAAAGCGCTCGGTCATGCATCCGCACCAGATCACGAGTGGGAACGCCGTGCTCAATATTCACTGCAATCGCTAGCCAGACTAGATCAGACGATTCTCGATATAATGATATCACATCAAATATATCTTCCGATCTCCTCGATTCTGTCTTTTGATTTCACTTGGTGGGTACGAGTTATATTAGGTGTTACTAGTTAAAGCGTTGTCAAACACTGAATACCTGTGGCATCTTCATTGGTTAGCCCGATGTTATCTGGCACAGCAAATTGTGAGTCTGTTCCTTTTTGGGATTTTATATATGATTGCCTCATTTTAATTTTTTTCATATTATGATTTTTTTCGATTTTTGGATATTTTTCTCCTCGTTCATTCTCATACTTGATATTTCACTATGACTGAACAGACACCCAAACTACTTAAGTTAAAGACCATGTCCCAACCTTCGTTCCAACTAATGCCCTTCTGGCCACACAACATCGAAGCCTTGTTCTGCTACGCAGAAGCCGACTTCCACGAACATGGCGTGAATGACACACGTGTACAATTCTTCGCAGTAGTCAAGGCACTACCGTGCGAATTCAGCAGGTACGTAACATCTAGCATGTTTACTAGTGATGTTTCTAAACCCTATGAAGCACTTAAACAATCTATCCCTAAACGCGGAGACTCAACTGATCGACAAAGGTTAGACGAACTCCTTAATAAGGTCGACCTGCAACACGGTTCTGCAACAGACATGTTACAAAGAATGAGAGAGGTTATCGGCCAAAGAACCTTCGATGATGGCCTATTCATACAACTTTTTTATCCAAGCTTTTTCGACAGGTGCAAGCTGTGCTGGTCTCGGTTCAAAACAACGCCTTAGACGAGCTGCCTGTGTCTGCCGACCGCATCTTAGAAATCATGAAATCTGATGTCGAGGTTTTTTTAGTCAAAGAAAAGCCTCAAACGATCCAGAATGTCCTAACACTGTTGTGTCATACCCTTACACGTTATCTCAGACTTCATAATGCCCGTGAACGATCATATACCCCTCAAAGAATCACATCATGTAGGCGATCTGTCTCTATACCACGAGGGACGGGTATCCCCGACTACTTCTGGTATCATAACTAGTATGGAAAGCCCTCCAGAAATCGTAGAAAACTCTGTAATTTTCCCAACTCAAAACCGACTGACTCGAAAAACAACTCGGGAAACTTCCAAGCCGGCACGCGTTAACGGCAACCGTAGCCGGCGAACATAACCGTCTGTTATACGTCACAGATGTGACAACGAGAGTTCGCTACCTCGTCGCTACTGGCGCAGAAGTTAGCGTTCTCCCTAAAAAAGAATATTTTATGTGTCGAGGGACCAATAATGATATTAATAGCAGTAATAATTATAAATATGAACATAGTCAGACTTTGTATATTAAGATGATCAGAAAGAAAATAAAGTAAAATAGACGTAAAACGATTCAAAGGTTCCACTTTGCTTTTCCGTCAATTAGATAGATAACGGACCTTGTTTGTGTAAATCATCATTTAGCACACTGATATTCAATGGGTGACACAATCCACTTTCAGAAAGAAAATCATCAAGGAGACTTCTGAACCCGGTTGCACTTTCACTGGAAGTCTGTTACACATGGTTGAATAGCGAACAATGAAAACATTCTGGCATAAGTTTGTGTAGATTGTCAGAATCGCTAAAATATTTTCCTTATTGGATAGGTTGTGGGATGATATCATAGAGTATGAAGTGGTAGATACCGGGGAGTAATGAGCCGGTAGATAAAAACAAGGTTTAATTTGATATGCCTGATCCAGAGACTCAAGTCCAGAGTGAAAAAGTAGATCAAAGCATGATTTGAAGTAGTGTTTCTTAAATTTACATATCAGGAATTGAGATATTACATAAATTCCGTCAGATTAGCGCGCTTTAAGAGTAGTGCGTAACAGATAGGTGTCGAGTGGAAATGAGGCAATTAAAATGCCCAACTGTCTCTAGAATGAAATAGTGCGGTAGATGTATCCATTTTCAAATGTGTGTGTTAAATTTAACATATTACTTTCTGTTTGACATTGATTAATTTTTGTCAACGTTAAGTCAATCGTGATCGATGTTAATGCATAAGCAAACGAGAAGTGAAAGTAAGAGTCCTTTATGAAATTTTCGAGTAAATCCTTTCGAAAATTTGGTGTGAATATAGGCGACGATGCATCATTTGTCACTCTATTCATGAACCGGGTTGAAAGTGTGGATTTTTCTAAAACTTTGCCCACTGACAGCAAATGACTGGGAATTAACACTTTTACTTTTTTTAAATTGTATACTGTACCCCAAAAATTAAGATCAAGTCATCTACTGTCTCGCAGCCATCTACGAGGTAGTAAGTATGGGAGAACAACATCAATATTACCGGTTAGTTGTCTCACTCTGAACCTTAAGGAACTGTAAGCAAATAAAATACTTTTTCATACTAACATGAGTAGATTAAGGTCATCTTCTCAGCATCGTTTGTGCTAGTCGGAAACGCCACCCTCTTCCTTTTTGATGTCAGTTTCTCCTGAGGTTTTGGTATGAATCAATAGTTCTTCTGCACTAAGTTTTATATTGTATATCTTGTTGCAATACATCATTTCTACAAAGACCATAATACAAGTAAATCAGGCAGCCAAAGCTTCCGTATTTGTGGCCAAATGTCTTCATGTTTCACTACACTGTTATGACTTAACCAGCAAGGTAAATTCTGAGGTTCCGTTCACAAGCTGATAAGTTATTTAGAGAGCGTAATAATAGGTGGTCGGTCGAAGAATATTCAACAAATACATAAGGTTATGAAGTTCCTAAATAAATAGATAAGTATGAAAACGTTAAACCATTGTATGCCGATAAATTTGCGATATGGGAATTTCGGCGAGACTAATTTATGGACGAGTCAACCAGGAGCGTTTTAGAGATTTCAAGGTTACAGCTCCAACTTCAGTGCTTTATACTAACGTACGATCGGTTCACAGAGGATTTTGTACAAAGCGTGATAATTTAGCGGTTATGTGCATCGTGTCGTTATTCACAAGTAGCATTTTGTGCACTCAACAACCGGAGTGCACATAAACAATGTTGAAGCTATGTGGTCGAGGCTGAAAGAGTTTTTGAGACTTCATCATGGCTCCAGAGGCCGACTATTCTGTAGCCATATGGATGATTTCCTCTGCTGCATGCATTACGAAATTAGATCCTTTGAACCTCTTTCTAACCTTGACAAGTTTTTGAACCACGTATAAGAAGTGTATCCACTTTTTTTCCTCGGTTTTGTATAACACATTTTTACTCTATACTGACTGTTTGCTTACTGGCTAATCTTTCTTAAGATCACTTAAGATTCGTTCAAAGGTCGTCCATAAATTAGATTCTCTCCGGAATTCCTAAATTGCTAGAAAATAAACTAGGAGGGATCCAAAATACTTCAGGGTAGTATGGGTTTCCTGTGATCATATGTATTCAAACAACATTCATCGGTTCAGCAAGTCATCTCTGCTTCAGGCAAAAATTATGAAGGATTATGGAGTTCCATAAAAAAAATAATTTGACCTCAAATATCATAAAGACTTGGGATCTGATATAAGGGATTAGACCAAGAGCACAGGAACGTGACCCACTGTGGTTAGTGAGAGAAAAAAAACATACATTTTGGTAATTATTTATGTATTTATATCAATGTCATTGGAAGTTTGATGTATTCATGGGCGGCCAATAATTATCTAAGACATGTGGCTAGATAGTATATGTTTCATGAAAAATTGCCCCGAGATTAGCTGAGAGTTCCAGAAATAGTTGATAACCCTCCTTCCAGTCTAGAAACAGGATGATTAGTCATTTAAACTTGGTGATAGTATCATAATGAAGGATAAGAAATAGGAGCCTGTTCCAAATTAAAATATACCGTACTATAAAGAACTTACAATTTACTGGTTTTTGATGTTTTACAGTTATAGTATATACGTTGTTTATAAGTCTGCTAGGAGGGTTCTGAATCATCATTGGGCGGGAAGTTAAGAAGGAAAGGCTATATATTATTTTGTAGAAAATATTAGGTTGCTCACTAGCTGACGGCTTCATAAAGGTTCCGAGGATAGATATTTACACCTAGTTGTGTCTTCGATGGTGGAGTCGTATCCCGTCTATATTTTGAAATGGTAAGAGAGATATATTCTGCAAATGTCAGCCTCGAGTCTTCACAGCGATCTCTGTGTAGTTAGTATGTAGTTCACATGTTGAGTTGAGCATCTGAGCTTTACATTTGTTTAGGTAAAGTGGTATTCTAGAGTGACGTTCCTGATATAGCGGAAGGTTGTGTTTTTTCTTTCAGGTATACTACTATAATCCGTTAATACGATAATGAGACTAGTCACGTTATATCAGCTCCAGAATTCACGACCCCGAATAAAGAACCAGATTAACACTAGGTAGTACTTTATTCATTCCAGTGGAAGTCGTCAACTGGTATCTCATACGATATCCATGGGCTTTTTTCCAGAACAGTGTATCTTAGACCGTGATCATCAATAAATTATCAGTCACGCAAATTCTTATGAAAACTTCCTGGACATTGATATCTTCTGGTATATGACCAAATACGAGTATTCCATTTTTCACAGGCAAATATTTGGGTTCAAGTAACCCATTTGAAGTACTGTAAAGATCCAATCTCTCTTTGAACCTGTTAATAAAAATTGCTGATAGTACGTGTTATGGTAGAAAGTTCCTGTAACTCTCGATTCTGTGTGAGAAGCGAAATTGCATACATGGATGATTTTACCTCAGTTGCTTAGCTTTATGAGAGTGCTCTCTTTAATGGTCAGGTCTAGATGGAAGAAAAAAGATAAGACATATTAATACCAAAATTCAACAATTAAAAATGCATCATACAAGAGGGTAGTTTTACCTTGGTTTACAGTCTTTTTACAACCTGAATAGCAAAGCCTAGTCCTGTGGCGCAACCACATAGATACCAAGGAACTTGATGGACCAATGGGAATTCTGCGCAACCTCGGTTACATCGGGAAGTTTGATCAGTTTTCATTGGTGTTATTTTCATCTAGAATGGATGTGTATTACATTGTCGAAGTTTTAGAAATAATTCTTCTTCAAGATAGTAACCTATTTTTGGTTTCATTGTAGTAAGGCTGACAGTTAACTTCCCTTAGAACTCGGTCCCTGTCTGTAAAGCTATTGTTGCTTAAAATTTTTAAAAAAGTTCAATTATGAAAATTCGTAGTGGGCTGGTTTTGACAGCTTTAGCATCTCAAATATCATCGGCATTTGATGAATCATCACAAAAATATAGGCTTCGTCAACATCAATATCATCATCAGGATTCATCGCATATTACAGAATACATTTGTCGTGCACAAAAAATGGTGTACAGGTTTAAGGTAACTTAAACTTTACAATCTTCTATACATCTTGTACTTTAGGAAAAGGTGGGTTGTCCTGGTATGTCTGTCTGTGTTTCATTATCAGGGAAGATTATTTATCAAGAAGGTTAGTTATTAGTTAATGTTATCATAAAGAAGTATCACATACGATTACTGTTTTGTGAAATCGTATTTTAAATATGATTTTAGATAATCTAATGTTTATACACTTTTTTGAAGGTGTTGGATATGCCAATGTTGAGCATATGGTACCAGTAAATGAAAATACAGTATTTCGAATAGCGAGTATTAGTAAGCCGTTTACTTCATTATTGGTTGGAAGATTATTGGATCAACACAAGTTAGATCTTGACGAAGATATCCGATCCTATTTACCTGAGTTTCCGGAGAAAACAGTCAGTGGAACTTATGTACGTAAATATAACTTAAATATTTTGACTATCTAAATGTAACCAAAATATTTTTTAAACTTTATCATGTAAATCCTCCATATATTAGTCCATATGTACCTTAGATGATGGAGAATTAACAAGCAATAGGTACAATTTAGAAAATGGTATGAAGACATACGTTTATTCAAGGTGTTATAATTCACAGCACTGAAATGAAGTTCTATCAATTTGAGGTAATAAAGATGGACGAAAATGATAATTGAAAATCTATTGTGTAAAAAACAAGCCATAGTGATATATATATATATATATATATATATATAGCGTAATAATACCTGTAGAATTGATAAATACAAATTGTTGTGATGGATTTTGAACTAAACCTTTAGATGTTCACAACCATCATTTTTTATTGTTTTAAATATTTCAATCAAGTTGTCTACACCTCCATACACAACTCAGAAAAAGTCTTTAAATCTGTGAATTGATTATATATATTGCTGGCGTTAGCACTTTGAAAAGTTACCCCCGAACCAGTTGGCATGATACCGATGCTTTGTGGTTTGATATGTATAACATATATCTCAAAGACCTCCATCATTAATGCTTTACAACTTCATCATTTAACTTTTCCAAAATGTGTACTTACTTAAAACCCTAAATCAGGTCGTATTTTTATCTCGCGGTAATAGGTTTTCTACATCTATGGGTAAACACGTGTTTCTTCTGCTTTTGTTAAGTAGTTTCCACAACTGTAATTAATACACAATGCACTGTTACTAAGTCTATCCATTTTTTTGATAAATAAACAGATAACACAAGTAGCCTGTTATTGAACGAACCTTGTTTCAGAATGCAAACTCATCAAACCTGACGAAATTAAATAATATGGATGATACACTCAAACGTGGTACTCCTTAAACTGTATTGCTGTGCACTCATGGCATTATTTTAAATGTAATTTCTAAAATGTATTTAAGATAGTATTTTTTCACCTTAGTAAACTTTACTGATTAACTATCTAATTTACTTTGAATGGAACAAATCTAGGCTAGACAGTTGTACCGAAAATTACTAGAAGTATTTTTTCAGCTAACAGCTCAATATAAGCTATATGATAAACTTAACATGATTATTATTATTATTATTATTATTTGAACACATGGATATTGGTACAAGAGAGCGCCAATATATATGCGCCACACAAAACAATGAGAATTCGAAGAGAAATAGGAAAAAAAACTAAGGAGCGCAAAAGAAAAAGAGAACAATAACGAAGAGATTGGTGTAAGGTAGTGTGGTAGTAATGAGGGAACGGAAAGGTACAATCAGAAGAAATCTTTCAGGTAAAGGAGACACAACCACTTTTTATGAAGAAAGTAAAATAAGGTTACAGCAGGATCGCCACTGGCTTCTATTCTGAGCCATATCTGATAACGTCTCTAGCCACTGTGTAGCACCATCTCTCGGACCCCAACCAGGGAGTCGTGAAGGACCAACACAAGCCAGTCCTTTGCAGCTTTCTTTCATACCACGACACCATGTCATGCACTGACCACCTCTCCGCTTCTTCCAACCAGTCCCAGAGTCGGCAAATAATGCACGACGTGGAATTCTCTGGGACGACATTCGTGGAACATGTCCAAGCCACCGAAGTCGGTGTTTCAAGATGGTGACACCAATTGAATTATCATCTCTGTGCCCGAACACACGATGCCGAACCTCTGCATTACTGACATGGTGTTGCCACTGGATGTCAGCAATCCTTCGGAGACAGCGATGATCGAACACAGAGAGTCGTCTAACGTCCTCAACTCGGAGAGGCCAGGTTTCACAAGCATAGAGCAAAACTGCTCTCACCGACGCGTTGTAGATCCGGCCTTTTACAGCCAGACTAACATCACGAAGGCGCCAAAGGTGGCCCAGATTGGCATAAGCCGCTCTGGCTTTCACTATTCGTGCATTGATCTCATCACTCACACCCCCACCAGCACTTATGCAGCTACCCAGATACACGAACTTCTCGACTACTTCTATCTGCTCACCATCCAGAGTGAGTACAGGATTAGAATCCTGCCAGTCTTGTAGAAGTACTTTGCACTTCGAAGGTGCAAAGCACATACCATACCTACGGACACTGATTGCCAACTGATTAAGTGCGGATTGCATGCCTTGGGCATTATCGCACAGTAAGACAATATCATCCGCATACTCAAGGTCGAGAAGTCTTTCTCCAGGCAACAGATCCACACCACCATTACTTACATTCATCAGAGCTGTTTCCAGAATGTCATCGATGGCAAAGTTGAGGAGGAATGGTGAGATTGGGCAACCCTGTCTAACCCCACTGCTCGAATGGAACAATGGAGAGAGGTGGTTGTATGCCCTCATTCTGCCTGAGGTGTTTGTATATAGGGCTTTTAGGATGTTAATAAACTTCTCAGGCACACCCTTCTTCAATAGACAATCCCAGAGAACAGTCCTATCCAACGAATCGAAGGCAGCCCTGATGTCAAGAAACACTACGATTGTTGGCCTTTGAAAAGTATGGCGGTGTTCTAACATTTGGCGGAGGGTGAAGATATGATCAATACATCCTCGACCAGAACGAAACCCAGCCTGCTCCTCGCGAGTCAATCTTTCTCGAGTTTTGAACAACCTACGAAGTATAACGGGAGCCAATAGCTTGGACGCAATCGGAAGTAGACTTATCCCCCGATAGTTGTTACAGGAACGACGTGAACCCTTTTTAAAGATAGGGACAACTATCGACTCATTCCATGACGTTGGTACACTCTCTAGTTCCCAGACCTTTGTAAACAACGTCGTCAATTCCTTAGTCAAAAAGTCACCACCATCTTTAAAAAGAGCCGGAGGTAAGTCATCTGGGCCAGGTGATTTGTAACGCTTCAAGAGTTGGAGTTCCTTGCGGACTTCCTCCTCATTTGGTGGATCAGTCGTCACCGGCCATGGAGGGCAGGACAGTCTGACCGATGTTGCCGGAGCAGCAGGCCAGTTAAACTGCCTTTCGAAAAATTCTGCCCATCGTCCAAGACGTCGATGGATGTTAGTGGTTGGCATCCCATCATCCTCGCAGATTGTTTCACTCACACCAGACTTCTTGCTGCCAGTGGCTCCGATGAGCTGGAAGAGCTTCCGGTAGTTACCAGATGCAGCTGCTGCTTCCAGCTCATTAGCACGCATCGACCACCAGGCTTCTCGGTCCTTACGCAAGCTTTGCCCGATTTCCTTACGTAACATCCTTCGTTTATGGTCAAACTCACGGTCACCCGGAGTAGACCGACGGGCTTCAATGAGTTGTAAGGAACCAGAAGAAACCCAGTGCTTAAAAGCGGGACGTTTCGCAAACCCACAACTGACTGTTCCCGCCATTTTCATGCCGTTATGCAATTGCAACCAATCCTCATCTATACTTTTCGGTGGAATGGTAGCTAGCCCAGAAACTAGCTCGGTTCGATACTTACTTGCAACAGAAGTTGCAACCAGCTTGCTAACATCAATCCGTTGGTGGCAGTCACTTCGTTGTCCACTGAAAAGTAAGGTAAGATTGGCGCAGACCAAGGCATGGTCAGAGTCCAGATAGGTACTCCAAAAGGAGCGGCAGTGCCGAAAGTTAGTGCTAGCCAGAAACAGGTTGTGGTCTGCGCACAGTTGCAGTAGACGGTCCCCGTTATCTGACCTGCGACAAACGAGTCCCCATTGGCCACCTAAATGATTCTCTTGTGTGCCTAGACGCCCGACCTGAGCATTCAAGTCTCCGGCTAGTACCACAATATCTGTCGAACGCACTTTCTGGAGAAGAACAGATAACTGGTGGTAAAACTCATCCTTGATTGCATCCGGGCTGCAATCTGTCGGGGCATAGGCGGAGATGGCGAAAAGACATCGTTTCTCACGCCGATTTCTCACTTTGATGGAACTTTCTAATCTAACAGCACATAACCGACTGTTAATGGGGACCCAATCGATTAGTGCTGCCTCTGCTCTATCGTTTAGTGCGACACCAACGCCAGCAAGACCAGACGAAGATGCCACAGGGTCCCCGGATAAGCGCACGTAAAACAAGCTTTTCGAAGCGACAGATGGAGATCGAATTTGTAGTACTTCACCAGAGTCTTCAATACGGGTCTCGGATAGACAGCAGACATCGATATGAAGACTTTACAAAGACATAGCCAGCCCTATCTGTTGTCCAAGCTGCATAAGTGTGCGAACGTTGAAGGCAGCCAGTTTGAATAGTGCACGTGGTTTCAGAAAAACTGCTTCAGTACTCATATTCAGTAGTAACATACAATTTTCAACCGGACAGTGACTCGAGAACGTTTAGATACAGTCGAATTTCCACCAAAGACGTGCCGCTGTATAAGTATAAAAGAGGGTGAATAATGTAGTAAATAATAATAATAATCATTTGATTGTTAGTTGAAGCAAGTAAAGTAGTTTCCATAATTATAGGCAGTTCATCATTTGTGTGTGGGCTGTGATACTACCCGGGTGCCCAGACCGAAGCAGGTGGTTATCTTATGGGGCCACACCCCGAGCCTTTGACCTAAAGGTCTAACCCACAAGTCAGTGGAGCGTCGTAAGGAGATGCAGTCCCATGGTAGCCGGTGACCAAAAATTGGTTCATACGCCATTTGTTCCCGCAGGATACTGGAGGCCATGTGCACCATTGATTTGGAATCCGGTTAAAGCGCCGGACATTCGCTTTTCGTCCTCTCATTTTCGTAAACAACACCCCCGCCACGAGAAGGCAGTGAGTAGGACTTCCCTGGCAGAGGCTATATACGCGTGGCCGTGTGAGAGTATTTCGAGAGGGAGAGCGGACTCTCCCCACTCACGGCCGTACCAGGGCATTTGGGGGCAATCCCATTGTGAAACACAAATATGAATAAATAAAGCATCATCTGGATTTCGTAGTATAGATGTATGTAAAATAATATAAATATATTAAGGCATAGAAAAAGGTTTTTGATTTGACAGAAATATCAAATGTCAAATAAATTAACTTTATAGTATTAAAAGATGTGTACAGTAAAAACTCCTTAGTACTAAGCTTTTATTTAAAACGTACACTTATCTTAATCTGTTCGTTCCAATAATATTTTATTATGTAAGAACAAAAAATTAGAATCCTGTTTAATCTTTATCGTACTTATCATTTTTTGTTTGTTTGAGCATCATGTATTAGGTTGTAGTATACAAAAAAATATTGGAGCCTTTTTTCATAGAACTTAATATGTTATTGTTGTTAAACTATGGAATCTGTTTGTTTTTTAATCTTTTTTATAGTTTTGATTTGTATACAATTGTTTACTTAATTGAACTCGTGAACAATTTACACTATGTTCGTTTGTCGTTCTGACTGAACATGTATATACTTTTTGCTTTCTTTTGACTGTATGTTGTGTAAGTCTGCTTACTCTACCTTTCTTTGCAAGCTGCCTGAAATACTGTATTCACCAAACCATCGTTGTCGCTTTCATTTTTTTTCTTACTGATGGAACGTACCTCAAAGGTGTTGTGACGTAATTTAAAAAGACAACGATTAGAGTCAGATCAGTCGCCAGTTAAGCCATCCAAAATGGAACTGGTGTATTCATACATTCAACCGAAATTCCATAGTCTAGATTTACGTTGTATATGTTTAGCGCGGTAAAAATATACTCTTTAACAATTAATATGTTAAACTTTTAAGAGTCAAGAAAAATATCTAATTACTTGTTTATTTTATCATTTTGAAATTAGGCAAAAATAACTGTTCGATCATTGCTCAACCATACCAGTGGTATTCGTAGTTACAAAAAAATTTCAGATGAAAATAAACAATCAGTAAGTATATTAACAATTACAATTTATGTACAAGAAATATTTTCATTGGGACCACGTTTTAATACTTCAAATATGTGTGTTCACAAACCAAAATCCTATGATTCTTGTTTTAAATTAATTTCAGAAGGAGTTTTGTGGGTATTATAGTAATTTCAATGTTTGACATCATGAGTCGGTTGTAGCTAGACCACCAGTGCTTCCAGGTTTTCCACGGTGATCTAGCTTCAACTGATTCATGATCTCAACCATTGAAATTAAAGTTATTTATCTTAATTAAAATGATTTTGATAATTAATAGTTTTATTTCAGTATGAAGTTTATACTTGAGTTTGAACTAATAGAATTTGTTCACATTCTTCACTGTTTACTGAAATGAAAATCTGATACTTAACATTTTTTTAATTGTATAGGACAGTTACTTGACAAATGAGACCAAAAATCTGTCCTTAAGAGTTAATTTATTACTGTTACTTTTAATATAAACATGTTAGTGTTTTTGGAGTATTCCTTAGAATATTCTTGTACGTCCAAACTCAAGTGAACAATCATTCCTAAAACATACAATTTCTGAATGTTTTTGACTGGTCTTAAACCCACATACTCACATGTGTCTACTATCGTACATATTTTCCTGTCTATCAAAGTCAGAGTCTACCACTTCATTTTTATTTATGAAAGGAGTGATTGTATTTTATTTGGTTTCATGTTTAGACATATTAGACTTATTAGTAGAATTATCATGCAACTAGTTTGTCTTTTGTGTGATTGATGAATAGAAGCAGTAAAAACGTGTCTGGATTTCTAAAATATTTGAGCATGACATTAAGAGCAAATCTCTTAGATGCTAAAAAAGTGTTAATATCAACTAATAATTCAGTGCTTTGTCAAGTAATCTCGCAATGAAATGTTAAAATGATTCGATGTCCTGTAAGTAGGTAATGAGCTTTTAAATTATAACAGGTATCTCAAGAAATTATAAACACCTTATATATCTAGTTCTTTTTCTTTCAACTTGAGGTCGGAGAATGTATTTTTTTTAATAATGGCCAACTGAGAAATGATTTGAAGACAACAAGCACACATATAGTTAGGCATTGTTCGTGCTAGTTTCATCCAAATATTTATTTTTATTGTTATTTGATTATATTTAGGCGTATCCAGAAATGTTAAATACTGTTCGTTTTAACGATACATTAGATGCTTGTGATATGTTTAAAAATGATACATTAGTTCATGAACCTGGTATTGAATACACCTATAGTACATTTGCATTCACTTTATTATCAGCAGTTATTGAAAAAATTTGTTTAAACAAAGGTAGTTTATTTGATCAACCATTAGCAACAGTTAAAGGTGAATCAAAATCATCTTGTGAAAACGAAGCAAAATCTACAAACAGTTTACCGAAATGGGCAAGATTTGATACCAATCTTTTAAGACTTTTTCAATACCTCAATTTGAATAATACCTGTTTAGAGTATCCTGAGAAGATAATTTCTTCAAGAGCTGCGTAAGTTCTGTTTTTTTAGTTTACTTTTTATAAATGCGATTTGATAAATGCTTTTTCCATCTATATAAAGTGAAGTAATATGATACGTAATGTTTGTCAATTTGATATAATCGACAGAGGTCAGAAACTAGTCAGATAACTAAGCATAAACCTTGGCACAAATCTTCCGATCCAGTTCACCATACTTTTCACTAGTAAAACAAAAGTGATAGTTAACAATATTAAAAAAAATAGAGTGGATATAATGACATCAATTACAATAAAGGTATGAAATAATTTTGTTGACTCAGTAATCAGTAATGATGAATTAATGCAGTCTAGGAAAATAATGTCGTGCAATGTTACATTCACTGTCTATATGTAGGGTTTTATTATTCGAAGCACTCTGTGGCATCTAAATGGCGCACTAGATACAAACAAGTCAGTAATAAATTAGTATGCATAACAAACACGGTGTGGAGAAATTTATAAAATCGACTTTCAGAAAAGGGTAATTTACCCTTCTAAGCGCTAATGTACTCCAGCAATTTCTCGGAAACCAGTAGTTTTATTGTCTATTTAAGTCTTTCGGTGATACATAAGTATTTAGTAGATTCAACTACATGAAACATTGTCGAGATATCTGAACTGATGTATACTACATCTTCAAGTCAGAACTATTCATAAGAAGCTAAATGTTTTTAGCAATTTCAACAACTCTTGAGGGACTTCAGTCCAACATCCGTTTAATAGGCATGTGGATAGCTATTGTGCTATGTTTGAAGAGATTACAAGAGTACCTAAAATAGGCGAATGGAACGAAGGATCAGCAACACAACAAAAAGACAAGCTAAATTATCCCGATGTGTCCCAGCCCTGCTAACCAGAGGGAGAAGATCAGGTTCAGATGAGGGAAAGGTATATTCCACAAGCAGTCAGAAACATAAACGAACCAAGCACACAACTCAAGCGTATATATACAGTATTAAAATATCCTTTGGGAACGCCAAATGATAGCGTATGAAAAGAGGGAACAGACCAATGACATTTAAAGATCTATCAAGCGGGAAACACAATCTGAGGATAAATATGGGCGCTTTTGGCGCGAAAACGAGAAGTTCAAATTTCCAAAATAAAGTTACAAAAATAAGACGTTTACCAACTGATTTCTGGGGATCTAGCATTCACATCAGATCGAAATAATTTTTCCACAAAATTACACAGATAGCATTGTATTCTACTTATTACCAGTGAGTCGATAATCAATTTGTACCGATTTTTATTTTAAATGAAATTATTTTATCTTTTCCAAGCCAGTATTGTCGTTCCGATAAAGGCATACTTACAAACACTCCCACAATTGATAATTCATATAAATGGGGTGGTGGAGGTATTCTTTCTACAGCTAGTGATCTAATTCGCTTAGCTGATCATCTAGCATTTATTTATATGGGTTGGCTTGAATCATATGGAATTGTTAAACAGTCTACTTTGAATCAATTATTATGGAAAGTTTCTTGTGTACCACCAGATCGAAGTACATTACCTGGACTGGGTTGGTTTTTAGCCAGGTAAGTTTCATAACAATTTTTTGTTTCGTCATTTCTCTTAAGTCTATGTATTGTTTAAATGATGTTTGTGTACAAATTATTTTATTCTAAGGCAATATTTCACAATAGAATTGAATAAACGTAAAGTAATCAAAATGATTTTCAATATAGTTAAATATTTAACCGGTAAATTGTTCATCAACATTAAACTAAATGACACAATATGTATAATTCCTTTTGAGATCGTTATGTGAATGTAATTATTAGAATTCTTTAAGATTCTTTTTTCTAATATATACTTGCTTTTAAATTTGTTTATTTTTTTGAACAAATAAATGTTGGTACAAAGTGGCACCGAATACATATGCGCTATACAAGTCACTTGATTTGTGTATGGGCTGTGATACTGTACGGGTGCTCAGACCGAAGCAGGTGGTTTTCCTGCGGTGCCTTCAACCTAAAGGTCTAGTCAACAAGGCAGTGGAGCAACGTCAGGAGATGCAGTCCCATCGTACCCGGTCACCAACAACAGGTTCATACGCCATTTGTTCCTTTCAGGATCCTGGAGCCCACGCGCACCATTGGTTTGGAATCAGGGATTTCCAACTCCCCTAGGTGGACTCTCCGTGTTCAGCAACCTGGTTAATGCCACCGACTTTCGCTTTTCTAACTTTCAATTTCTTAGACAACACCCCCGCCGCGAGAAGGCAGTTAGTAGGATTTCCCTGGCAGTGGCTGCATACGCGTGGACATGTGAGAGCACTTCGAAGGGGAGAGCTAACTCTCCCCACTGTCAGCCGTACCAGGTATTCGGGGGCTTTTAAAAATATTTCGTGTTTATAAAGTATTAGTAAATATCCATCCATACATCATTCCGCTACTGATAAAAAGCACAATTCATCTGTTTGACTAGTGAACTTTCTTGTTTCACATAAACTGTTCAGTATATCGTTAAATGCTTTTCTAACTTTACACTTATGAATTGTCATCTGTCAAAATTTCAACTGGTTCAAAGGAAAAAAATTGCTTTGTTAGGAAATAGAACTGATAAGCAAGCGATAAATATTATCATCTCAATAGATTATTATTTTTTGAATGGAATAATGTTATAACCAGGATATAAGATTTCATTATCTGCTAGCATAAAAGTATTAAATTGTATCGAACTGATAGAAAAACAACCTATTCATATTTGTATGCCAAACACTTAGTCTACTAAGGAGATCGCCTTACATAAATATTAAAATTTCAATGAAATTGGAGTCGTCGAAACCGGTAGTATGTGTAGATGCCAACTATAAACATGTCTAAATACTATTCTATCCAACATAAAGTGAAAACACCATTAGAAAAATACATTCAACATAATATATTTTGCGGTAAGTTTGTCTTTACTATGTGCACTAGGTAATAGAATTAATTGACTACTTAAATTTTGAAAGGTTGTGTCAGAGTTCAAACAAATGATCTAATGGATAAATATTTATTCACTCATTCAAAGCACTACACACGGCTAAGACTTATAAATGTTTTATTCCTTGTTATTAATACGTTTTATGTGTGTGGACTTTTTTTCTTCTTCCAGACGTTCAGGTGATCCAGCAACTAAAGAAAATGGATACCCTGACCGATTATATGCACTGCATACAGGTGGTGCAGTGGGTGGTACAACTGTTCTTCTTCTTAGTCTCCCTTTGTTATGTAATAATGATAACATTCCTAATAAGACAAATGAAGGAAACACTTTTTCTACTACGGATAATAATCATAATTTCATTTCATCTGTACAAAATAACACTGTGGTAATATCTCCAGTGAATAAAATATATCCAGTAGATGTTCGAATAAAAGCAGCCAATATTCCGCCAATTAATGTGGCTATTTTAACTAATTTAGAAAATGTTTCTGGTATATCAGAACTAGCTATACATTTATCGGAATTATTTTTGGATTATGCTATAAAATTAAAAGAATATGAAGATGATGAAGAAATAAAGAAATGTTGATTCAAGGAGTATTGATCAATTTGAATATTACTTTTTTGCTCTCTTTTTGTTTGTTACCTTGTAGTTTTGATTATATTATCTTTCCTATTGAAAGGTTTACTGGATCATAATAACAATATCTATGCGTGATTTGATAATAAGTAACATTTTCTTATGCAATTCGATAAATTGAAAGAAAAGACATTTATCAATATCTGACTAAACTATTTATTTCTGTACAAAGAATGAATAAGACAGTTCACTTGATGTCAATATCCGAATTTTGTTTGGTCTTCGGGAATTCTTTTTTGTAATAGTGAATGTTTATTGTCATATTAACATTCGAAATTCCATTTAATTCACAGATTTTTCTTCATTTCTTAAAATAATTGCAAATATTTTGAAAACAATCGTTTCTGTATAATAAAAGGATACTCGTAAAATACAAGTATTTGATCACAGATGTTTTAGAGATATTGCTCGCATCTGCTGGGATCACCGGGTACGTAATTGTGAGGTTAGACGCAGGGTATTAGGGAATGATGGTAAATCAGTTGGTGATGTAAATCTTCATCGACTGAGATGGTTGAGTCATGTATTACGCATCTCCGACTGCCGTACTACGCAATGCTGATTAGTGTTGTAGATGGATGGGAGAAAGTCATGGGGGCCAAACCAAAATGTGGCATCAGTTCATAAAGTCACTAACTTCTGGTCTGAGCCATGTCGGTAGATGCAGACTACTTGGTTGGGGGCCGCATAACTATCGCAACTAGTTGTTGGAGACTCTGGGTGATAAGGCTCAGAATCGATTGCAATGGAATAGGTGTATACACTTTGTCTTCATTTAAACTGTGTAATTAAAATTACTTTATACCTTTTTACGAACTGATTGTTTCTCTGGGTATCTTATCCTTATATACAATCTTTTATATATTACCACCATTGTACTAACTACTTCTATGAATTCGGTGATCATCTTGCTGTGCTAATGAGGTATGGCAACTTGGACCGATGCATATGCGTGCCTGGTCCTACGTTGTAGATGTCTGAGTGACTGAAATAATATCTAAATAACATATGTTTAAATGTAGTAACTGTATCAACAATGTTACTCATAAAACGTTTAGCAGATATACAAGCTATGAAGATGATAAATACTTACGTACATATTTTAAAGATCTAGTTTAATACTTCTTACTTACTTACTTACTTACGCCTGTTACTCTCAATGGAGCATAGGCCGCTGACCAGCATTCTCCAACCCACTCTGTCCTGGGCCTTCTTTTCTAGTTCCATCCAATTCTTGTTCATTTTTCGTATGTCTATCTCCATTTCTCGGCGTAACGTGTTCTTTGGTCTTTCTCTTCTCCTTTGGCATTAAGGATTCCAAGTGATGAGGGCTTGTCTTGTGACGTAGTTGGGTGCTTTCATCAATGTGTGTCCTATCCACTTCCAGCGCTTCTTCCTGATTTCTTCCTCCACTGGGATCTGGTTTGTTCTCTCCCACAGTACGTTGTTGCTAACAGTGTCCGGCCAATGGATCTGAAGTATTTTGCGTAGACAATTGTTAATAAACACCTGTATTTTCTGGATGATGGCTCTCGTAGTTCTCTAGGTTTCTGCCCCATACAGTAGAACTGTCTTGACATTTGTATTGAAAATGGTGACTTTGGTTTTGGTTGACAGTTGCTTTGAGTTCCAGATGTTCCTCAGTTGTAAATATACTGCTCTTGGTTTACCGATTCGCGCCTTCACATCTGTATCAGATCCACCGTGTTCATCAATGATGCTGCTCAAATATGTAAAGGTTTTTACATCTTCCAAATCGTCTCCGTCAATTGTGATTGAATTGGTGCATGCTGTGTTGTATCGGAGAATCTTGCTTTTCCCTTTGTGTATATTGAGACCTACTGCTGCTGAGGCTGCTGCTACACTGGTCGTCTTCTCCTGCATTTTTTGTTACGTGTGCGATAGAAGAGCCAGATCATCTGCGAAGTCCAGATCGTCCAACTGCATCCTAGATGTCCATTGTATCCCGTGCTTCCCTTCAGATGTTGACGTCTTCATGATCCAGTCGATCACCAGGAGAAAGAGAAAGGGTGAGAGTAAGCAACCTTGCCTAACACCGGTCTTCACTTCGAACGACTTTGTCAACTGTCCTGCATGCACGATTTTGCAGTGTAATCCATCATAGGAATTCTGTATGATATTGACTATCTTCTGAGGCACACCGTAGTGTCGAAGAAGTTTCCATAGTGTTGTTCTGTCCACGCTATCAAATGCCTTTTCGTAGTCAATGAAGTTGATGTAGAGTGATGAATTCCATTCAATTGAATGTTCCACAATGATCCGTAGAGTTGCGATTTGGTCTGTACACGATTTATCCTTACGGAATCCTGCCTGTTGGTCACGAAGTTGGGCGTCTACGGAGTCCTTCATCCTGTTTAACAATACCCTGTTGAAGACTTTTCTCGGTATTGAGAGAAGAGTGATGCCCCTGTAGTTATCACAGTTGCTGAGATCGCCTTTCTTCGGTATTTTGATCAGAAGTCCTTCTTTCCAGTCTTTTGGTACTTGTTCCTCATCCCAAATCTTATTGAAAAGAATGTGGAGTATCCTTGCAGTTGCCGCTACGTCTGCTTTTAGTGCCTCTGTTGGGATGTTGTCCGGTCCTGCTGCTTTGCCACTCTTGATTTGTCTGATGGCCATGCTGATTTCTTCAATTGTTGGTGGGCCAACATCGATTGGGAGGTCCGTGGGTGCTGCTTCGATGTTGGGTGGGTTCAGTGGAGCTGGTCGATTCAAGAGTTCTTTGAAGTGTTCTACCCACCTGTTTTGTTGCTCTTCAATGTTGGTGATTACCTTGCCTTCCTTGCTTTTCACTGGTCGTTCTGGTTTGCGGCGATTTCCAGAGAGTTTCTTTGTTATGTCATACAGTTTTCTCATGTTTCCTTCTCTTGCAGCCTTTTCCGCCGTCGTTGCTAAATCTTCCACATATTTACGTTTGTCGGTTCTGATGCTCCTCTTCACTTGTTTGTTTACTTCTGTGTATTCCGCTTGTGCCTTGGCTTTTTCTGCTCTTGTTCGACTGGTATTGATTTCTGCTTTCTTTTCCTCCTTTCTTGAATCTTATCCAGTGTATCAACAGTGATCCATTCCTTGTGATGGTGCTTCTTGTGACCCAGAGCCTCATGACATGTTGAAGTGATTGCCTCTTTGATCCCCTTCCAGTCGCTCTCCACAGTAGTTCCTTCTCCATTGAGTAGATCATGAAAGGCCTGGAACTTATTGCTGAGGACTATCTTGAATTTGTTGAGTTTGTTAGTATCCTGAAGAAAGGCCGTATTGAACTTTTGTGATATTGTCCGCCCCGTTGTCCAGTGCTTCTTGAGTTTCAATTTCATTTTTGCGACCAGTAAGTGATGATCTGATGCTATATCAGCTCCTCTCTTGGTTCTCACGTCCTCCATCATCCTCCTGAACGTTTTGTTGATGCAAATATGGTCGATTTGGTTTTGCGTGGTGTGATCCGGTGAAGTCCATGTGGTTTTGTGTATGAGTTTATGTGGGAATATGGTGCCGCCTATGACCAGCTTATTGAAGGCACATAGATTTGCAAATCTCTCACCGTTTTCGTTTCTTTCTCCCAGTCCGTGTCGTCCCATGATGTCTTCATATCCAGTGTTGTCCGTTCCAACCCTGGCATTGAAATCTCCCATCAGAATGGTCAAGTCCTTTGTTGAGCACTTCTCGACGATTGACTGCAGCCTATTGTAGAATTGATCTTTAGCTTCTTCATTGTAGTCGTTGGTAGGCGCATAGCATTGGATGATGTTCATTGAAATGCCCTCTTTCTTTGTTTTGAAGGAGGCTTTGATGATCCTTGGTCCATGAGATTCCCATCCTATAAGCGCATTTTGCGCTTGTTTAGACAGCATCAATGCAACTCCTTGTGTATGTGGAGCATTTTCTTCTTCATGGTCGGAGTATAACAGGAGCTCTCCTGAAGTTAGTCGTTGTTGTCCAACTTGTGTGCAATGTGTTTCACTGATCCCAAGTACCTCTAGGTTGTATCTTCTCATTTCTGCAGCAATCTGGAAGGCTCTTCCGGTGTCCCACATTGTACGAACATTCCATGTACCTAAATAAATGGTCGCTCTGGTTGTCAGAAGGGCCATCGGCCTCGTAACTTCCGAAGGGATTCGGCTTTCATCATGAGGCGTCATAATTCTTCTAAATGACGATCTTCTGACTCCCAGGGCAGAGTTTAAAAGGTTTGAATAATTTTTTCTGGTTAGCGTTTTTTTAGCGAGTTAGTTTTCTACGGGATGGGGACGCTAACCCCATGCCCAACCCTCCTCCTTTATCCGGGCTTGGGATCGGCAGTAGCCCCCGGAGGGACTCCAGGCGGAGTTTTAATACTTCTTGGTTAATGTAAATTTAAAGTAGTAACAACCTTTAAGATTAATTTCTCACAGATCTCTTGATTAAATTAATGCATTTTAAGCCAAACAGAGTGCAGTGAATTATTGTTCACAATTTACGTAAGAACTACTTTCTTGTTAACAAGATTCCAACGTTTGACAATCTCATCTCATAATGGTTACCATCTCAAAAATGATACATAAATAAATTGCTGTCAAGTAGTAGTAATTGGGCAGCTTTATTTTTATTCTGATAATTTCTCTATAGTGTCACATAAAAATTTGTTCGAGTAGAATTTTACATGTGGTTGCTTTTTTAAAGTGTCATTGATAGCATTATGTTATAGTTTCATTTTTGAACTCAAATTACTCTCCAATTAATATGTCCATTCATATTTTGTTATACCGTTCAGTTATTATGTTTACATTTTAACTAAATCTACGCCCAAATTTTCAAGTGTTTTGAAATCATTTGAAACAATCTATCAGTGATCCATTCTACTGCGTTTCCAAGATACTTGAATTTATTGGAGAAAAACAAAGTTATGAATTTGGAATATTTGACGCTCCGAATATTATCTCTGAATGCTTATATAGATTAGTGACAAGCGTTTTCTAAATAGTTTTTCATGGTTACGGAAAATTATTTTAAGAAATATTGGATATTGTAGTTATTGCCCATCTCCACTTTTCCAATTCAGTAGTCGATCGTAAGATATTTGGCATGGCGTCAATTTACTTAAATTCTTGCCTCAAACAGTTAATTTGATTGTTTATCTCGTACTAAAATAATGACTTCTTATAATTGGCGTTCAACATATACAATTTATTTTACCTACTGCAATCGTTCCAGTAAACTGAATTAGAATATATATTTATGTACTTCTCTGTAGTTGAATAAAACATCATGTAGTTATATCCGATACTAAATTAAAACTATGTGCTAATTTAGAGGAAATTATCCAAAGTAAAATGCAAAACAATTCGTAAAAATTATATTCATATATTCACAGGTACAAAGATATTTAACTGTAATAACCATTGCTATTTCGTAATTACATCAAGTAATAACGGATTCATTTTGACGGAAATGCTGTCAACAACAACAAGAGACAACAGTGAATGAAAATAGTTTTAGTTAATGAAATAATCATGTTAAATGAAAGAAACTCCAAGTATAACTTTCTTAATTAGTAACATTTCGAATTGATTACAGTTTTATCTTATGTAACATGTGGTGTACACCTTAAACCAAATATTTTGGGTATTTTATGTACAGTAGTTGCATTTCATTAGAAATGGTGATTGCGCAATGTATGTTACGAAACAAAAATGGACATCACTAAGCGACAGTCATTGTTACATTATGTATCTACTGAAATCTACCAATCATAGTTCTCTGTTTGAATATATATAGCTAAATACTTAATTTTATTGACTAACATTGATATCACTTTCCGCTGCAAGTCCAATGGGAATTCAAGAGAATTGATCATTTGGAGCAGTGGTTCAATAGCATTAGCAGGTTGATTATAAACTCCATTTACTATAATTCAGGTAGTTGCATAATAACACTAGGGATTATAGTGCTATAAAAAAGCAGTACAAATCCGAGGTCTTTTTTTATCTACATTAGATTTTTTACCTCTCTAAGATTATTTCCTCCATTGAAGGATATAACCATAGGATTTTTGAATACCAAATAAAATTCTAAAAATCTTTTAACTTACTTGAGAATTTTTAAATTCCAAATATAAAGAAAATAATAAGTGTAATGAATGTATCCGATTGTTGTAAACTGGAATGTCTAGAAGTGCTTTAAAAAGATGGAAGATTAGTAGGTAAAGAAAGAGATCATCATTAAGAAATAAATGAATATAATTCAACTATTTGATCATCAAATGAGACAGTAAAGAAACTATCAATTATTTGTGCATTCTGTAAATAGTTTTGATGTTATGAATAAATATAATAGATTTGTAATATCCCAATGAGTAGAAAAATTAGATTTTCTGACGTTTCGTGACATAGTGCTTAAATTCGACTCTATTCACTTTTGACGGGATGTTATACAAACAAACTAACGGTGTAGCAATGGGTTCCCCTGTGTCCTTGATTGTAGCCAACCTTTTAATGGCACACATAGAATCAAAATATTTTCACCCACATTAAACCACGAATTTGGCTTGGATATGTAGACGATACATTTGCTGTGATAAAAAAGACTCATCTAAGATCTTTTTCAAAAGGGATAAATACTCTTTCATCTCACATCAAATTCACGAATGAGAATGGAAATGAACATGGTGAGCTACCATTTTTAGATTACTTAGTGAAAAGAAATCTAAATGGAATTCTGAATTTATCCATCTACCGAAAGCCTACACACTCTAGTCGCTATATTGACTTCCATTCATCACATCCTTTCAGTGCCAAGATCTCGCTAGCCCTAAATCTTTTTAGAAGGGCTAACAAGTTCATCACATCAGAAGAGAATAAAAACAAAGAACAAAACAATGTAATTATCATCTTACAAGTTAATAATTCCCCTATGAAGATTATTAGAAGTATTTTAAAACAAGATGTTTCAGTGCGTAATAATAATAATTCGAATGAAATACCATGGATTAGTACTGCAGTTCTACCATACCGTCATGGAACAACAGAAGAACTCCAAAGAATCTTGAAACAACACAGAATTAAAGTATATTACAAAACAACGAACACACTTCGAAATACTTTAGTTCGCTTAAAAGAAAAAAATCCCTTTCATGTCTACACAGAACTGCGTCTACAAACTAGGTTGTATCGATTGTGATGCCTTCTATATTGGAGAGTCATCTTGAGAAATCTTGACTCGTGCCAAAGAACATATTAGGTATACAAAGAAACCTCCTAGTAATCCCGTAGAACTGGATAGACTTCAAATTAAATCAGCCATAGCAGTTCACGCCATTTTCAACGACCACCAAATCGATTTCAAAAATATCAAAATATTACAAAAAGGCTTTTCCAATTACAAAGAAAGGAGAGTAGCTGAAGCGTTCCATATAATACTTAAACCTACATCTCTCAATAGAAAAGAAGGCCTTAACATACATCCTACTTGGACAATCTATCCTAGCCACAGTCTGATTTTATTTACAATCCACACTATCATCTTACAAATTAAACTCTATCCTTTCTCACCATAAAGGTAACACAATTTTTCATCCTTAAACAGTACACACATACATACACACAAATTTACATACATGTCACTTATGACCCACTTTGACCGAAATGACATGACCTGTCTTTTGATCGCATATATATTATTTTTATTTACATATTCTTATTGTTTCGTTGTACGATTTAAACTTGGATTACTTTTAATATTGTCATTTATTCTCTGAAGAATTGGCTTACACTAAGTCATGAAACGTCAGAAAACCTAATTTTTCTACTCATTGGGATCCTACAAATATACTAATTTGTTTATAACAATCTACCCAATGCTCAAATTATTCGCACTTATCAAGTCAAATCTTCGTAATAATACCTACAGTTTTGATGTTATCTAAATTTGTTAATGAGTCCAGTTGGAATGGACTTTTAAATATCTGTCCCAATCAAACCTCTACGAATATAAACTGTAGAAGTTGCTAGTTGATACAGATAGCTAGAATTTTATGGATAAAAGCTGTGAAAAATTATACAGGTAAAAATAAACTTACAAAGGTCATGCAACTTCACGGTTATTAACTAAACTTCTAACTTTGTTTGATAATTAATTCGTTCATTTTAATATTTATACAGTCTATGTGAAAATAGGAAGTTTAAGAGAAAGTAGAACACATAAATCTTTATTAGTCTACAACACTTTATGATCTCTTCCCGAGAATCCTTCCATAATGGGTAATGAATATTGATTCTTGTGCCTGTAATTATCGCAAGTATTTTTTTCACATTATCTAGTGAAGTTTTCTGAATCTTCAGAAGAAAACGTCTGTTATGTCCAGTAATAAGTGCAGTATGCATATTTTTATTGGAATTATTTCTTTAGATGTTTTCCTGAAAAAATTAAGTTTTTTTATAATCTTTCAAGAGATCATGTGCATAACTGAATTGAATTTTAGTTTACATCATGGAATGGATTCAGTAGAAACCTAGAAAAGTCTTCAAAGCTTTATAAGTTGTGCCGATGGGTACATTATGACTGTATCGCGTTTGATTAGTTGAGATTGGAACTCAGCTACTATCGAAGTGTACTTGTTAGGGGTATTGATAAGTTAACTAGTTCGGATTGACATCTTATAATCTCTGTGTGTGTGTGAACTTACAGTGACAGCAGTGTGTTGTACCTAATTTATGTATACCGTGGTAGCGCCTATCTTGATATGTAACACTATCCGCATTAAGTGAAGAAAAGAATAAATTTCAGAAGGATCAGAGCTAAATATAGTACTCATTTCTGAAATCATGAAATCTTTTTATAAGCTTTGTAAGATAATGTGTTCAACTTAACTGTAACTCTTAATCTATTAAAGACTGAACAGTTCAAATGAAATAAATCTTTCCTTAAACTCTTCAACATATTGTTTCTCTATACATATTCTTTTGTCTAATACTTAGAATCTTTATATATTTAGAGAATGGTTTTTGTGGATATTATAGTAATTTCAATGGTTGAGATTGTAGTGACTCACATTTATCACGAGAACACGACTGGTTTAATAAAAACAATTATTATTATAACCAACTGTACCAGTGCTTGTTTTAATGTGCTTTTGTTTGACTGTGCTAATGACAGCTATATTGTGCTTCCATTCTTATTCTTACACTTTGATTGTAACTTCGCGCGAATTCGGTTACGTTCTGTAACCAAGCTTGTATCCTGGCACGATCTCGGTATCCTTTCGATACCACTAGATCGCCAGCAAATATATCTCGACTTGGTCCATTAACTGCCTTCTGATATTTGGCTTCTCGGGGATTTTATGGATTTATTTGGTTACGTTCAACCCTCGCCTTCTGATCTAATTGGCACATGTTTATTGGTAGCGGTGTTCATAGTTAATCCCAACTCGACTCCACGCTACAAGATCATTAGTGAATCAAAGCTAGACCAGGTATTTTCATGGTGGTCTAGCTTCAATTCACTCATAATTGCATAATTTCAACCGATACAATTATATTATACATTCTACAATATTCTGTTCGTTTATTTATGTGACAATGAATTTTAGATGTAGTATTATGGTTGTATGAAAATCGTTAATTAACAACAGATTAGAGAAATTTCACATAAAATGTATAAAATAAGATCATGATTCATAATTTTGTTACACATACCACAGATTATATCTACATAATCTTTTAAACTACAATCCAACTCAGATAGTGATAATTGCATATTATTTATGGTTTCTTCAAAAGATGTTGGCCATACAGCCATAAGTTCAGATATTTCTGGCATGTTTCTGTAAAATTGGGAATAAATCAATTTCTTTTAAAAACAATGTTGGATTTTATTTAAACAAACCAATGAATATTATGTTGTGAGCACATCCATTATATATATCTAAGAATAATATCAATATAACATTTGCCAATCAGTTAATGAGAGATTAGCTTCTGACAGACCTAAAAATAATATGATTTCAATGTTATCTCATTATCGTAAGAACTTATTGCTGAAACTTAACATAACTGTGGAAAGGTAAAGAGTCGATTATTCAACGGGATCTTAATTAAACCTATTACTAGTTTACCTCTTGTCGACTGGAATTAATTAATAAATGCGACATGTTACCAACAGTAATCTTGTGCTCACTAGTGATTGATTTCGGAAGGTAATTTCAGGAAACCTACTGATAAGTCGCAATCACTAAAGTTAAACTACGTTAGATATTATTCAGTTACCCGACAATGGGATTGAGTGATAGTTGCGTAATACAATGAATCAACTTGTTTTAAATACAAATCACTGAATGCTAACTCACAAGACTGGCAGTTCCTGGCGTCAACTCTTGATAGGGTTGTGGATATGCACCGCTGAAGATTCCCAGACAAGAAAGAAACATCTGTCCAATATTTCCTGATTTTCAATGGTTACCTACTTCTATTCACTCAATGATGTGAACTATGTATAAATTTCATTAACATAAAACGGGAAATTGAATTTGATATACTTTTCTATCTACCAACTAAAATATGGCAACACTGATTCATTAAATAATCGGATAGCTACCTATATACCGTTCCAAGTCTTCATTGGTTTTTCTTCAAGTAGTAATCAATCTCATGTTGGTTTAGTCCATATTGTGGTGTGTGGTACTTATATTGACATAAGTAGCATATGATGTTAGTCGTGAACAGAAGGTCTGGCAGCAGAGAGACAGGAGGACCGAACAGTAAAGAATGGAAACAGGATGCAATTTGTATGAGAATACAAGAACAATGAAGTTTGGGCCATTTTGAGACAATTGGTGGTCATTTTGCAAATTGAGCATTTACCATATGATTGTTAGATTTTATTAACATGTTCAGTAATTTTGTGTTAAATACATTGGGTTGTTCCCACCCGTGTTTTGTGCTCTACGATATCACTCTAAGTGTACTCTATCGACAAAGCTACAGTGTAGTAACTATTTATTGGAGATTGTTCAGTTTAAATTGAGATCATGAACCAATCAATATTATACCATCATTGGAAATTCGTAAGCAATGGATAGCCTATTCTTCCTAATATGGGACTCCTCAGCAGTGCACATTTACACTAGTCAGCAAGTTATTGGCTTAAAGTTTTACATTATTTTGCTGTAAGTGAACTATTATGTATATGTAATCTACTCACCTTGTATAGTGTACAGTTGGTGCAGGTTTGGCTCTATACAAATCTGTTATACTTTTAATCCAATTTTCTATGACTTTTGTTTGTTGTTCAGCGTTTTCAATACTTTTAACTATCTAAAATTTGTATTTTTTTTTTTGAAAAAAAAAACAATCAACTAAAACTACAACTCATGGTTTCTTGTTTTCTAAAAGTAAACTGAAAAAAATTGCTTATTACTCTACCAATTTTAAATGTTACTGAGATTTCGTTATAAATTAAAACGTTGATTTAAGCACTACCGCACAAAAACATTCATTAACCCTATAAGATAACTGAAGACTCAGAAAAAGGATAAGGATATCTACCAATCCACAATTGTTTGCTCTTTTCATACTGTATATCCTTTGTTTCTATAGTCAATAAAAATGCAATTGTCTTATTGCTTTTTCTGAATATTTCACTAAGCTGATTTACTGCTCTGTGTTTTTATGGATGTTATGAATATATTCATATTTAGTAATACCATAATATAATAATATTTCTTAGTATACAATGCATTTGATTCTTTTTCGGCCACATCTAGGGAGTATATAGTCTTGATTCTATAATAAAGTGTTTTAACCACGTTCCTTTTATATTGTAGTGGAATACAACTAAGGATCACCGGGTAAGTAATACGGAGGTTAGACGCAGGGTATTAGGGAATGATGGTAAATCAGTCGATGAGGTTATGAATCTTCATCGACTGAGATGGTTGAGCCACGTGTTACGTATGCCCGAACACCGATTACCACGACGTGCAATGCTAACTGGTGTTGGAAATGGTTGGAAGAAAGTTAGGGGCGATCAAACCAAAACGTGGCATCAGTGCTTGAAGTCACTAAATTCTAGTCTGAGCCATGTTGGTAGATGCAGACTACTTGGTTGGGGTCCGCGTGACTATCGTAACCAATGGTTGGAGACTCTTGGTGACACGGCTCAGAATCGATCACAATGGCGTCGGTGTATACACTCTCTGTCTTCCCTTAAACTAAGAGATTAAAATCGCTTTATATCTTTCATTCTACGAACTAATTATTTCTTCCTGTACTATATCCTTATTGCAATCTTTCTTATTTATATTCCACCTCTGAATTAATTACTTTTATGAATCCGGTGTCCATCTTGTTGTGTTAATGAGGTATGGCAACTTGGACCGATGCATATATGTGCCTGGTCCTACGTTGTAGCTGACTGACTGACTGATATTGGCCAACCCAAGTGGTTTTCTCGTTTAAGTCCCGTCTTAGTGACCGATCTATTCTTTTCGTAAGTAATACATTTAGAAAAGTTATTCTACCTCTGTTTTCTTCCTCACATGTGAATTTAATAGACGGATGAATTTCATCAAATCTTTGGACTATCTTCATCCGGTTAGTATGGTGGTTAAAAAGGATGAAATTATCGTCTATATATCAACAGTTAAAAGAAAACTTGTCAGTATCCTGTGTTAATGGACCGTTTTCTAGTTTGGTGATAAAAATGTCAGCTAACATGAGACTTAGTGGTGAGCCTATCGTAACACCATCTATTAGTCTAAATATTTCGCCATCGAATATGAAGTTAATGTTCGTAGTACATTTTAATAATTTTGAGATGGTGGAGAAGATTTGTAGCTCAGGTTTGTTTGTGCTGATGATGTCGTTCAGAAGAGCGATGAAAGCTCCACGACCAAACCATCCAGCTCAGAGAACAAAACTCCACCAGAAACATTTTAATAATAATTTCTTGACGATATCCATATGGATTGTAGTCTCTATTCCCTCTTCTGTAAGTTGTTCACAGATAGATTCAACATTCTACCTGAGTGGAGTATCGGCGAACAATGATGTTAGATTCATGGTCATAAAACATCTTAGTAATTTCAGTGAATTAGTCTTGAAAACCGACATATTTATTCATGATGACAATCATAAACTTCATTACCGATAATGTGAAATGAATTATTAGAAGTTAGAAAAACATAAGTTATAAAGTTCTCAATTCTTAGCCGAAGATCTCATGTTCTCTGGAGATTCAAAGGTATTGGGTTCGAACCAATATAATATTATACTAGGATGAGACAGCCGTCCGATTTTTTCAGATTTTCAATAGTTGTCTAACTTAAATCAATCTATGATCTTAGTACAACTCAAAAATTCCCACTACCCCCGTATTGATATTCTAATTTATTTTAAAAACTATTTTCAAACCATTGCAACCTCCAAAAAGCCCATAAGTAAATGATAAATTAAATATTAAACAATAGCTCTATGGGTAATTGGTTTAAAATCCGAATATCAAGAAAATAATTTGTTATACCTAATGACCTTGTTCCCTATTAATATATGACGTAATGATACCACCGATTAGAGAACAGTGACTTATCTACCGGACCAATGTCGTATAAACCCGTACGAGCAATCTGGAGTCCTTATCGGTACTTTTCACCTAACCCTGCTTGTTGAGTTCAGAACACCAGTCTCAGTCTCCGTGATATGAATCATTTATTTCAAATATATTGGGTTTATATACAAACCAAACAGAATACATCGCATCATAAAATAGAAACCAACATTTGTGCAAGATCTAGCCAAAAGTGGCTGTGATTGTGGGAGACTGTAATTAATAAACTGGGTATAACTTGAGAATAATGAAGCGTATAATAATAGTCTATGGGTCAAAATAAAGCTCATAATAAGAGGAACATTAATACGCATAGGTTAGCTGCTTAACAATTATACAACAAAAATATATGTTTTGTTTTAGTCCATAAATATATCCCAACAGATACCATTTATTATTCTCGTTGGGATATATCATAATTCAATGAAATTATTTGACTAAAAAAATACACACAGAACTTACTACTTGTTTTGTTGCAGTTTGCTTTGACAAAGCTCTCAATTGTAAATTAAGTACTGTGGGATCTGACTGATTAGCACATGGCTCATCCAAGACCAATAAACCTAAGTAATCTGGTTTACCATCTGGTCTGGGCACCTATTTCGGTAGAATTAAAATGTATGTTTGAAAACATCAGTTAAGATATTAAAAAATAATTTACAGTTGATAGAAATTTATCAAAACCATTTGAATTATCCGCTAATAGATTTTTAAATGATCTAAATAGACGAAGTCAAAATGTACGCTGTTTCTGCAATGTATTCATACATTTTTAAACAAACTATTTAAAAACATAGAATTATGAATCTAATTATGCATGCAATAAAAACAAATGATGCTGAAAGATTTGCCATATGGAGTTTACTTTTCATTGCATAAATAGAGCTTCAAAGATATTATGAACATTGTACAATAACACAATGTTACATTTATACGCTTAATGGTAGTCCATATCGTAAAAACCAATAAAGAAGTTTAATACCTTAGATGGCTAAAAATTAATCGGTAGGGAGAACAAAATTTTATTCTGGTTGATATTCATTATCAAGTCAATTCTGTATTATGTAAGAATTTATTTGTTCAACAGTAACTGCTTGAATCTACTCTATAAAAGAAAAATAAATATAAAGCAATAATTTGTTTAACAATTATTATCTTCAGATATTTACTCATTCGGTAATCTTATGTCATCAATTCGACATTTGGCAGTAATCATCATTTGGTCATTGTATTCACTAGGGTACATATTGATGAAAATAACCAACTCTTGCTGTATTTTCACACACAATCTCCTTACGCATTATCATAACATAAGTAATCTGAATGAAAGATATTTCAGTTAGAATTATACAATTAGTTTAAACTATCCACTTATCTGCTATGAGAATTATAAATTATTTTAGTAACAAGATTTATCTGAAATATTGTTTGAGAACAACAACTAACTTTTAAAAATGCATCAATATCTCCAACAGCTGGTATATAATCAGGAATGAATGGTTTCAACTTTGTTTCTAATTCGATTGTTTGAGGTGTATATCTAAGTTTAAGAAAAAACAAAAAAATAAAAGCTTACAGGTATCAGTGTTAAAGTTTTATTTATTTTATTTATTTAAACACATAAACATTGGTACAAGGAGGCACCAAATATAGATGCACCACATAAATCATTTGATTTTTGTGATGGCTGTGATACTGCCCGGGTGCCAAACCGAAGCATGTGGTGTTCTTAGGAGGCTACACCCGAAGCCTTTGACCTAAAGATCTAGTCCACAAGGCAAAGGAGCAACGTCAGGAGATGCAGTCCCATCGTAGCCAAACACCAACAACAGGTTCATACGCCATTTGTTTCCTTCAGAATCCTGGAGCCCACGCGCACCATTGGTCTGGAATCAGGGTTTTCCAACTCCCCTAGGTGGATTCTCCGTGTCCACCAACCCGGTTAAAGCACAGGATATTCGCTTTTCTAACTTTCAATTTCGTAAACAACACCCCCGGCACACCGTGGATTCCACTGTATACCGTTACTGAGCATGTGACTAAATAACATTATCTAGGGAATCAGCTCAGAATGATTACATGTCAATGAAGACTGATCAGCTGTAGTCCGTAATCCTAAGGTTGAACTTGATAATTTCAGATAATTTAAATTGTTTTGTTTTATCCCATTGAGTAGAAAAATTTTATTTCTGACGTTTCGTGACTTAATATAAGTCAGTTCTTCAGAGTACATACAATTTTTCTCCTCATTGAGATATAACGAAAAAATTTCATTATTAAGAAGATTGAAAAAAAATATATACATTTAGATTAATATAATTATTTTATAAAGGAATATTTGCTGAGACTATAATTTATGGACGACCTTTGATCGACGCTAGACTGAACTTGAGAGTGTCCACTTATTAACCAGGACGAAATGAGGGTTATGAACCTGTGTGAGGAATTAGAATTACAATTTACAGTTGATGATTAAGCTTAGGAATTAGATTTGGCGTTTTCATCACGAACTGACATCAGCTATAATGCCAAAAATCTATCCAAATTGATGAGTGAATTTTGTGCCAAAATCGGAGACCTTATATCTTATGCGTGATTGGTTCGTCCATAAGTTATAGTCTCGCCGAATATTTATTTATATATTTATGTGTACGAAGTTACCTTTGAATATATTCAAAAATTTCCTTAATTTCAGACGATACAGTCAAATGTTCATAATCAGCCGGATTGTAGACACTAAAAAGAACGATGAAAATATTTGGTCTGGAGAAAATTCTTGCCAACTTCAGTTATTACTAGCATATACTCATAACTGTTTAGTAAGTAGTAATACATGGGTTTTTTCGCTCTTTTATGCAAATAACTACAAAAGTTCTAGAATGAAGTTGAATTTGTCGTTTGAAATTCCGTTTATTTTGATATTGCCCAATATTATGAAGTCACATTTTGGTTAAATATCATGTTTAAAAGAATGAAACAAATTTTATTATTTGAACTCAGTAGTTCAGTTGATGAGATGTTGGAGTTGAAAAAGAAAGGTACTAGTATCAAGTCCCAATGAGAACATTAATATCAGGATCCAAATGCACCAGCCGACAAGTCCCACGTAAGACGAAACGGACACCCTGGATTCCATTGTACACTGTTATTGAACATGTGATTAAATAACATTATCTAGGAAAAACGCTCAGAATGAATACATGACAATGGAGACGAATCAGCTGTAGTCCGTAATATTAACAACGTGAAAATACAAATCCATACAAATAAATATTACTTATTTTCTAAATATTTTGGAAATTTTATTCTACATATGAAAATACGAAATCGCTCAGAAGATATTTCTTCGTACAACCATTACCTCGTTTTCATGACGAAAACACAAAATTTCTTTAGTTCTTGACATTTCCAATTTAGTTATTATCATTATGTAACAGAAATTAGCGTCCAGTGAGTAATCATGTGGTGTGTGCTACTGATGTCGACAGATATAAGTAGTATGTATCAGCAATCGAAAGTGGAATGCCTGGAGGCATAAGGCTAAGACGATCGAAGAAAAGAGAACAACAACAGAGAGTGATTGGTGTGGAAACGAAAGAACAATCAAGTCCGAGACGATTGATTGACATTTTGCAAATGCAAAATTTGCTGTGTGGTTCTCATATTTTACTAAGATATTCTGTAATTGTGACTTCAAATACATTCGATTGTCCCCACTTGTGTTCTCGTTCACTACAGATTTCGTTCATAAAAATTTTTTGGCATAGTTTTACCATTGAAATTTGTCAAGTGTTCGTTAGCATTTCATTCTAATAAAGGATGATAATCTCAGTTTGTTTTTAAAACAAAGAAGATTTTTTTCGGTTGTCATATTTCATCCGGCACAGGTTGGATGGTTGACTAATAAACTGACTGGTTGGTTGACATATTCAGTTAGCGAATGAGTAGACGAGTGTAAGTACATAGAACTTTGTGTGATAGTGTATGGATCCAACGTTCCCGACGTTTTATAAAAACAGAAAATAACAGTAAAATAATGAATACTAATAAGCAAGTGTCACATTCAATGAGGTTGATGACAATGCAACTTACCAAATATAGATTCATGCACTTGGCTTTGAATCACTCGTCGTGTGAAGGTTAGTGATACTACCTAGGTGTTTAAACCGAAGTAGGTGGAGTATGATTTAAACTATTAACTTAATGGTTTTAAACCGAAGGCCTTAACCACTAAGTCATCTGTCAGTTATAATCTGTTTTCAGTTATTCAAATTTAAATCTTCAACCATCTAATTTGTTTCCTATTTAAAGTGATATTTAGCGAAGGGAAACTAATAATCAGTTGTTTTTATAGTATAATATTGCACTTTGATTTAATTTCTTTGTTGCTTTTCAAAAGTTTATTAATATTTCAGTAAACAAAGGAAACCTACAGACTATCGATACTTACATAGAATAAATAAATCCCTATATAGAATGTTCTCTGTTTTGTAAATTTGACATACCCTTCAATGACATCAGGGATATTAGAATTTTCATCATCGTCATCTTCATCATCTTCATCGTCATCATCGTCGTCATCATCATCATCCTCATCCTCATCATCGTCATCGCCGGAACTATCTAAAAACAATAAAAATAAAATTAAAACTACGATGAAAAGTGTTTATTTTAGTAATTGGATTACAATTTATTTTATAAATTTAAGTTTACCACAAAAATTTACCCATACTTGTTAATCAATGAATGACTTAGCTGTTCATCTTGTATTAACTTTACTAAGAATAATATGAAGTTGTTGTAAAGATTAAAAATGCATATTTTATTTTACATGTTACCTACACAAATGACTTAATTCAAATGGAAACCAAACTATGAAAAATTGAGCATTTAACTAACTAGCTATCATCTTTGTATGTTCTACAAGCAATTTATTATCAACAAAACTGGAAAATATAAATAATCTAATGATTATTTAACCAATCACTTACTTACTTACGCATGTTACTCCCAATAGAGCATAGGCCACCGACCAGCATTCTCCAACCCACTCTGTCATGGGTCTTCCTTCCCGGTTCTATCCAATTCTTGTTCATTTTTCTCGTGTCTATCTCCATTTCCCAGCGTAATGTGTTCTTTGATCTTCCGCTTTTCTTTTGGCCTTGAGGATTCCATGTGAGGGCTTTCCTCCATGTGTGTCCTATTCATTTCCAGGGTTTCTTCCTGATTTCTTCCTCCGCTGGGATCTGATTTGTTCTCTCCCATAGTATGCCGTTGCTGGTAGTGTCTGGCCAACGCGTCCGAAGTATTTTGCGTAGACAACTGTCAATAAACACTTGAATATTCTGGATGATGGCTTTAGTGGTTCTCCAAGTTTTTGCCCCATACAGTAGAACTGTCTTGACATTCGTATTGAAAATTCCGACTTTTGTGTTGATTGGCAGTTGTTTTGAGTTTCAAATGTTCTTCAGTTGTAAATATACTGCTCTTGCTTTACCGATCCGCGCCTTCACATCTGTATCAGATCCACCCTGTTCATCAATGATGCTACCCAGATATGTAAAGGTTTTTACATCTTCCAAATGTTCTCCGTCAATTGTGATTGGATTGGTGCATTCTGTGTTGTATCGGAGAATCTTGCTTTTCCCTTTGTGTATATTGAGACCTACTGCTGCTGAGGCTGCTGCTACACTGGTCGTCTTCTCCTGCATTTTTTGTTACGTGTGCGATAGAAGAGCCAGATCATCTGCGAAGTCTAGATCGTCCAACTGCATCCTAGATGTCCATTGTATCCCGTGCTTCCCTTCAGATGTTGACGTCGTCATGATCCAGTCGATCACCAAGAGAAAGAGAAAGGGTGAGAGTAAGCAACCTTGCCTAACACCGGTCTTCACTTCGAACGACTTTGTCAACTGTCCTGCATGCACGATTTTGCAGTGTAATCCATCATAGGAATTCTGTATGATATTGACTATCTTCTGAGGCACGCCGTAGTGTCGAAGAAGCTCCCATAGTGCAGTCCTGTTCACGCTGTAAAATGCTTTCTCATAGTCAATGAAGTTGATATAGAGTGATGAATTCCGTTCAATTGATTGTTCCACAATAATTCGTAGTGTTGCGATTTGGTCTGTACTCGATCGACCCTTAAGGAATCCTCAACCAATTAATATTCATATCTAAATCTATTTTATTTATATATCTGTCATATGAACAATCAGAGTACTTAATATGTGAAAATAATGACACAGATTTTATACTTTCATTCCCTTATGATGATAAAACGGTAATAAAACTTAGTGAATCAAATAAGATTCTTAAATTCCTTGGTTGAATTGTCAAAATAACAATGTTATATTTTAATTATTATTAGTTCATTATTCGTTAGTTAACATTACATTTGCTCCATCTTTATTCATTATTTCAATTAATAAAAAAAATCAGTGATATATGAAAAATAAACCAACCTTGACTACTTGATTTTTCATTGTTTGACTTCTTTTCAATGATTGATTTTGGTGCAGTCTAATAAGGTTAGAAAAAAAAGCGAGATAAAATGTTAGACTATAGTACTAACAAGAATGATTTGAAATTAGTTCAGATCACAGAATAATATCAGACGTAGAACCTTCAAAAATGTAGTAGTAATTAGTAGGTGTTTTGTTCTAGTTCTGAACTTTTAGGCATTATGTGCTCATGATCCTCTACAAGGTAGAACTATGAGCCACTAAGTGTCGTTGTACACGTTACGCCAATAGACAGTTGAGTTGGAATTAGGCTCTAATGGTGCTATACAGAAAAATGGTTAAACTATTCAGCCTAGAGAAATAAACGCAACTGGTATCATACACTTGAGTTACTGACCTTTTCGGTATCCTATAATTTTGTAACAAGAAGTAACTCTCACCTAAAGACATTTATGGAATATTATTTTATTCCTGATTTAATTCCTTACAACAGGTCATATTTTATTATTAGATCTTGATGAAAGTTTATCTCTAGGCTAATTACTACTCAATCCATGAAACGATTGTACGATATTCCGCTTTTTTACCAATTTTTCGGCTGAGTAGGTGAAAATTGACTATAGACTACAAGAAATCTCTACAGAACAATTATAGCCTATAAACAAATATGATTAAACAATGTTGAACATGTTTTTACTCGTAGAATAATAATGTAAAGCAATTAATGTCTACTTAAAAAATACATCTTTTCATCAAATTAGAGTGAAAGAATAGATAAAAAAGGAAAGTGGCATGACTTACTTTAATTGATTTATTTAGTAATTCATTCTTTATTTTTCTTACTGATTTACTGTTATCTCTATGAGAATCTAAATGATTAACTAGATAAAAAGAGCAACAAAAACAAAAAACAAATTAAGCGAATAGATTGTAGTGATTAAAGGTGTCAATTATGAAGTGCTTAGAATGTTTAGAACTGAGGAGAGTTTATTATACTACGATATAGTGTAAAATGGAAATTATGTTTATCTTATACTCCATATGATGGATATATGGAAAATAAGACAATAGGAAGGAAAACGAAAAGCAATCAAAATAACAACAGGATAGGGAGAATGACGAAGTGTATGAAGGACAACTGAAGGAAGATATGTGAATGATGTATTTAATTCATGATTTTCACATTTTACAAAGTCACTGTGTGATTTTGTTTCATGGTGTCATTTCGTTAACTTTTCCGGAATTCCGTCCACAATTACTCAGGAAAATGTGAGAAAACATATAAGAGACTACTTATGATCTGAAGAAGTATTTAAAGATATATTAATTTCTTGAACGCTTGAATGTCTCAGAAAAACTGATCTTAAAGATACAGGAAAACGATTGTAAGCTACAATATATATCCAGATTCTATCATATTTTAGCTACGGATTCTTTTTATTTTTACGGCAATAACGGAGCATAAAGTTCCCTAGGTCACTTTCAACGTCTCCCATGGTTGTTAGCATGGTATAGTTTCAGTATTTCATTTCATAAGGTAAATAATATCAACATTTTTATTTAGGAGAATTTGTGAGAATTCATCATAACAGGAAGATGATTTTCACATAAAACCATTGTTCAAGAACAGATGGCGACTATAGGGAGTTGGACGGCAGGCTCATCCTAAATTTAAACATCCCAAGAATATATGTCCAAAATATCAGTCAGTCAATCACAAGCAAAGTGGGACCTAGCACAAACGTTCATCAATTCACGCCGCTACACTGTATCACCACGAGTCGAAATCATCAAAATGAATGCCAAAGTAGTATAAATAGCAGTAGCGTTAGCGTGATACTAAAAACAATATTAGGCGTGGAAGATATGTTTAAGGAAACTCCAGAATATAACGGACAAAATATTTTTAGAACTCATGACCTAGAGAAAGACAAAAACATTATTCATTTGTACCACTGTCACCAGTTTTAAATCATGTCAATTGTTATCCCCGACCCCTAGTTACGATGGTCTGAGTCTACCAACATGGCTTATTTCAATAGTCAGTGACTTGATTAACTGATTCCACATGAGGTCGAATCCAGGACCCACGTTGTAGGTGTCCGTTTCTCAAGAATTTCACGCAAGAACGAAATAGTCATTCAGTCTACCTCAGTTTTTAACGGTCTTCTAGAATCCTCGTTATATAACAAATATGATCGTTTGGTTCATAAAGGCTAAAATATCACAATTGAATTCACCAGAAAATAGGTTTTGTCAAAACGTATCATAAAAATCAAATATTGTGAGACTGAATTCTTCAGAGATGTTCTCTCCTAGTATGTAATAATAACAATAATCTATGTAAAGAAACCCTTACGAAGCTTCTAGAATGCATGGCTTATATATTCTCATTTAGGCATTGAGTCGAAATCCAATTTATCAAACTCATTATTCATTATAAATATTCTTTCAAATATCAATACTAAGCAAACAGGAAGCAAAAAAGTGGATATACTGTTTTTCATATATATATATATATATATATATATATATATATCGTGATTTTAACTAACAATCGATTTTCGCTTGAACATATAACACGATATTGTTTCACTTGATTGAAAGTCGTTAGATAAAACGTTATCTTTCATTCTCTATGTTCGTCAAAGTACCTCTTGAAAATGGTGGTATTTCTTAAAGTCCACATGCAAAACTTACCACACTGCTATTGGTTTTTGGCAGTTTTGAACTGAAATTATTTTTTCAATATTCAAACTATGATCCCTTACTTTTACTACTGCTGAGACATACTTCCTTTAACAAGTTTCTTAGGCTTTGAAATCCTAAGACGTTTTATATTTCTGAGATCATCCTAATTATTTACCTCATAAACCTTTCATGGTAAGTCCAATATAATTTTTTTAGACAAGGAATAATTTTTAACTCTGAAATAGCCTCGTCTAAGGACGAAAACAAGATGTTCTCAGTATTTATCGTTTAAAGTCTATGGTTCTATAGATATATTATTTTATAATCAAAACATACTGTAAGTATATTTTCATATAAAAAGATTTAAAAAATTCCTCCTGGTCCTGAATCAGCAAACAATAAAACAGAACCTAAGAATTGACTGATGATTATTTCACCCTACTTTCTATATATTGGAACTTTCCTGGGATTAAACTGAGTGCATTTAAGACTGTATTTGGTTAGCAAACAAGATATGACCACAGAAAATATATTTTATAAAGGCGAAAATTGGCAGGTCTTATCTTTATCAAAATAATGCCGATTCGTGTTATCACGCCTGCCTTATCTCCAGTTTCATTGTTTAAAACACCCTCGAGAGCAGCAAGAAGTTAGGGGTTCTAGCTGTCTTGTTCCTTCAAATCCTTTCCCTAAATTCGTTTCATCACTAATCATATTGACAGTTAACTGGTAGTCGATAAGCAAAAATGGTCTAATGTTCTTAATACTCCCATCAAAACGTTGGCGTAACGGTTGTTCTATGGTCGTATTATTCAAGAGGCCTGCACAATCTTCAATTAAGCCCCTGATTAACTCGCAAAGAGTTATTTTTCAGCTAGATATATCTCTCGACATTACTCAACTTTTCATCGTTTTCCTTCAAGTTGTTTTATGTTCTGCCAAAATCTTACCAACCCAGTTCATGTATTTACTGAACAAGCCAAGTAATAACAGGTAATTTATCTCAAAACAAAATACGTCCATAAAAAGTCAAAAATTACCTCGAAACCTATCAAAATTTTCAGCAAGAGACTGTTGCAGTCGTGGTGTTGCTATATCTTCTGAATCTGGCACATCAACTGTTTCGTCATATGGTTTATCCATATATCTGCACATTTAAAAACGTGGGATAAATCTAAGCAGTAGAGTTTTAATGCATATATATATATAATGATCGCGGTTTAAAAACATAAAAAAAACGTTCCAAAGCACAGTTTTGTATATAATTATATTTCCCATAGGTGTTTACCAGGTGTACCGACAACAGATTTCACTCCACGTAGCATGCAATTCCATTGATTTTTAAATCAAAAAAATGTTAGGTATTACACACATTGTTAGTAATATCAACCACTGAGTTTCAAATAATATAGATTATATTCTTCAGTATTAATAAGTTATTATATTCTATAACAGGTGTCAAAAATGTAGTAGTTTTAGCGCACTTTGATTTTTGGGAGACTTGGTCCAGGCACATTTTTCACCTTATATTATTCTTTCACTTCCAATAAGCACAACTAGATGTCTCCCGTGTTTTATTAAATAGATCGTGAAGGTTGATCTCAAAAATTAATCTAGGCCAGTAGATTGCTGGTTAGAAGAATCTATTTTAAAGAGCAAGATACACAAGATGACTTCAGAACTTTACAGATTTAAGCGAAATCTGACTGAAAGATAAAGACTGTGAAAAATGTACCTTTTACTTTAAAATCAAAATGTCTAGCCTTGTCACTAGACTGAAGACAAGTAACCAAGTCCTAGGACTTGATATTACAAAAAAGAGTTCTAGCGAAATCCAATTGCTGATAAGTCAACAACGAAAAATCATTTTTCGAAAAAGAGCTACCTAACATCAAGTTGAGAGAACAAGGAAAACAAGTAGTATTTACAAGCTTGTCACAAAGACATCAATATCCCAATCTCCCGATTTTGGTAGAATTTTGGGATTTTACCCAGATCCCAACGACAGTTGGCAGTTTTGGAAATTTTCATCGACCTAAGGAAGTTTCAGGGCTATTTTTCCATTACCATGAAACAGACAAAATGTCCCCCAAAACAAGGATATTGAGATTCTTGAAATCTATTCCGGATATGTTAGATAAGCTCTTTTCAGCCTTTCATTCTCGAACTCTGCTTAACTGTTAGAAATAGTAGTATATTGTGTGAGAGATTTTGAACAACTTGGTCAAACAGATGTATAAATATTTGAATTAAGATTTTGACAATTGTAAGTCAATTATCTTATATAAATCTACGTAAAGCCACGTTACAATAAAAAACCGGACAAATACATTATTATGAGTTATTTCCACTTTGAGTGAGTAAAAACGATTAGTAGGTCGCCATATGGTTTTTGTTGGGAGGTATTTAAACACGCCCACGACAGCGTAGTTATGACTTCAGTATTCAAACTTCAAACATTTTTAGGCAGGCTATACAACCACTTTATTTCTTGTAGTCTGCCTCTTTGTAGTATAAAGGAGCTTAAGGGCGCAAGATTGTATAATCCAGGTTTTATTCTAACGAAAACTGAGGAGACGATACATTACGTAACAATGGGTTGAGTGGTAATTATGAAATGGTTCAAATTGTCTATATGGTTGTGAACGGAATAGAAGAAGCTTTCGCTTAACGGGCTTCCGTGTCTAATTGCAGTGGATCAATAGTGCCTCCAGGCAAGAACCTAGGTATATTAACGATAGTAGAGGAAAAAAGATATAGGTAAATCATAGTAAGATACCATCCTTGGTCCTTAAGAATAGGTCAAGGTTCCTCTTAAAGGACTCCTGGGAAATCGCTTGGACTAGCTAAGCCGGCAGCGAATTCCAGCATTTGACAACTCTTAAAGTTGAGGAGGAGAACATTACACCAAACAGCGTTCCCAGGATTGAAGTTGCTTCCCTCAGTATATCAGAATGAACCATTTCCGGACATGAATTGTCTTTTTTAAGTGCTGCAGTTTCACTTCGGAAAGTCCAGTGCAGTTGCAGATGAAGCTTTCATCAATATAGTTAGCTTGGGTCGGTCGAAATGTCCGAGAGTACTGTTCATCTAGAATATTAGCGGCGTTACCGTCGATGTCGTTCGGGCGATTAGGATCTTACAGTTGGGAAACTTAAGTTTTGGCTTATCAAAGAGAGACTGCATAACAGAACAAGCTTTTTGGATTGGGAACAAATTCATCGATAAGCATTATCTGGTACTGAAGCCTAACTACTCTTATTGCCTTCGTACATATGTTCATTATTTCTTTGCATTGCCTGCATGAGCCGTTGTTAAATCGTTTGTATTCCGCCCAACAGTAACTTTTGCGGCTTAGCAATCCAAGAGTGCGATTCGGGATGACTGCATGTTGCTTGTAGATTTTAAGGACAGTTCGCTGATTAGAATGCTTTGTGGCACATAAAATCGTGTGCGGTAAGAAATTATAATGAGCATCCACATCAAAATGAGAGGGAACTTCCCAGTTCACCTGCTGTAAATTGTCCTGTGGAACTGATACATCCAACCGTTTGAAACCCCGGTACCTGTTGTTAAGGGGATGTATTAGCTTAGTTTTTCTGATAAATCTGAAAGCTATGATGGCGTGATTACTTCCCTCCATGGGAGCGAGGGTTGAGAGATGTCAGTTAGGAATTCTTCGTTTGTAAATACGCAGTCAAAGCGCAACGGCATCTGACTGCTTATTTAACGAATTGTCCACTTCATATTTTCGAATAATTACAGATTTTCAACGAGGTTGAAGAATCGAGCTTCAGTAGCGTTTTCATCATCAATATACGTATGTTTCGCGAGATTGACTTATGGAAGATTGAAGTCCCCGGGAATCAGGATTGGAGTGAATCCAAGACGAGCAGAGCAGCATAATCCTTCCAGTATACAATTGTTATACTCGTTATCAACAGTGGTCGTCCTGTAGATGACAACAAGACACCTCTAAGTGGCACTTCACGGATTCATCAAGATTGATAATCTCTTGGATGTGCACTTGATGTACCTCCGGGCAATATCGTACGTATAAGGCTACTACACTACCAGTTCCCGTTTATCTATCATTGTGAAACAAAGACATCCTGGGTATTGCTAGCCGCTGGTAGGTAAACTGAGAAGATATCTAAATTTCAGACGTTCCTGTCAGATGAGCATTATCAGCGCTGCCGAGTTCATGTAGGTAATCCATTTTATTAAGTAAACTCGCGGCGTTCATGCATAAGTATTTTATGGTTTTATTTTGAAATGCGTGAGCTTCCTCGTCCTGTTTGTTTGTATGAGCCTTATGTGAATGGATAGGTAGCCTGTCCATACAAGGTTTGGCTAGTTGGCAGTCCCTGTCCGTCCCATTTTTTTATTATCTAGACAGTCCACAAGTGGAATGACCAGCCCCAACTGCCTTTGTACCTGATCATGGAGCCATGTTGCCTATCCGGATTTATATGGATTCCAGCTGGCAACCGGCGTCTGTATGTACGAAATGCTTTCAGTGTTGCAGTTGCCGTATGGGAGGATGGTGAGATTGTCTTCATTAGCCGGGGTCTAGAATCTCCGCCCTTCTTGGCTAGTCTCGTCACATGTTAAGTCAGTATGTTTTCGAGCCTTGAGGATTGCTTGATGAATTTCCATTTGCTAATATCAGAGTGTGTTTGTCCCGGGTCTGTGTTTTCCGGTACACCTTACGCAACGATATTTCTTCCGCGGTAAAATTCCTCGTCAGATTCCTGAGAGATGTTCCGGATGAGATTGCGCTCAGAATACGGTTTACCAGGCAGTATTCTTACGTTCTCATCTGATTTCAGTAAGTGGCCAGCCAGTTGGATATTCTCTACGTCGGTAGCGTTAGTATGTCCTACACGAAATAGTCTAGGGTGATTTTGATGCTTAGAGTCCTTTCCCTGAGCGAGCTGTGTGACCGTCAAAAGCTCTATTTAGGGAAGTTTGAGCTTCTTGTTTAACTCTTCCCAGAACATCCTATAATGTTTGTCCTGCAAACTGAGGGGAAGTTCTTTAGGGATCATAGTTACGAGAGAATCATCGCAAACCATAATCGTTTTCCCAGGTCTTCCAGTACGTTCAGGTTGAGGACTTTGTTGTTTGAATGTCAGAGGGCGTTTCGATTCCTATGTTCTTTGCTAACCGGTTGGACAATTTCGGGGTTAGATTGTGCGGTCAAACTACCAGTTGACTTCACCACGGTGACGCCCGGTCCTTTTTAGCTTTGTTAACGGGATCCAGTCACCTACAGAGATTTTGGGAACTGCCGTTGCATTCATTATTCTGTGTTGGGAGACTCAAGCCTGCTGAGAGAATCTAGTACCATCGACGTTAAGATGGTGCTGAGTTCCAGAATGTCCTCACTAAAATTACTAGTTGCTCCATCAATAATGGTTTTGTCGATATCCCTCTTTTTTTTCACTGCGCATCTTTGTTTTTATAACCGTTTTAGGACTGGTTTTTTTAAGTTTGCTAACAACTTATTCCGCGTACCTTTCAAGAGAACGATATTGTTCAGCAAAACCTCAGAATTCGTGGTGCACGTGACACATATCCATCTATGATCCGACCTACCGAGTCTGTTGTACGCTGTTACTATAAGGTAATAATTCATCATTAGTAAGGGACGAAGATGTTATTAGGAATTCCTAAAATTAGAAACACAACACTCCGAACTGGGAACACCTACTAGTCACAAGTAGACAGGTTTTAAGATTTGCCGACGAACGACGTGGTGAAGGTAACTTTCAAAGGGCCTTTCATGTGGACACTTGGTACACTCTTAAGGGACCGGGTTTATTTCACTTCAATCTATTTGTATCTCTTTTCCGCTAGTTTCATATTTCGAAATACTTTAGTGAAGAAATTGGCTATCCATAACTACTAGAAACAGAAGTTCGATAGACGGAAGTTTTTTCTAGTTGCTTTTTAGCAGGTTGCACTAAGAACGATCGCGTTTCTTCTGCCCTCTCGAGCGACGAACCAACTGACTTCTAATCGGAGTAAGTTGTGAACCTAATATTCGACTTCACGTTGGTATGAGATTAGTTGTTAAAGGACTTGCCACATCAACCAGACCTGCTAATATTTTCAGACAACGCGTGAAGTGTTTGTATCGAACCGTAGATGTCTATTCGGAAATGAGAGTCGGTATCTTGAGGAGGAAGCATACATTTACTGTAGTTTATTTGGTCTAACTTTTTGGAGTAAGGACTTAATTTTATCACAGTAAATTTTGATTGACTGAACTTATTCGTTTGTTTTCTGTTTGACCGACAGTCAGAATGACTGACCTGAGAGTCGGTCATAGGTTTAAGAGATTGTATGCCGTATTTCTTGATCGTTTGACAACTTATAGAATGACAAACATTAGTTGACTGACAAATTACAGCTGACTTTCCACACTTGATTCTTTCATAAAAGGGGAAGCTGTTCTATGTATATGTACTTACCTCAATATCATGCAAGTATGTTTCATGTAAACAGATTGTTAATTGAAGCCTAATCTAAGCAAGGTCGCCTATCCAACAATAGCCTCTTGGCGGGTTTTCGAGTTCTCTGTAGTGAGATGATATCCTTGTGTTGACAGCGTCCATTTAGTTACTAAACTAGATATGTCTGTACTGAGCGACACTTTGCATGCTGCAAATGGGAACGAAGAAACAGTATCGAAAGTAGATATGTGTCCTCGCAGGCTTTCAAGAGTTTCGCGCTTGAGGGATATGTTCCAAACTGGTGTTGTAAAGCCAATCGACGATACTGAAGATGGATTTGATGTAGAAAGTTCAGTGTTTTCAGCATACACCTGTCCTGATTTTGAAAGGTTTTCGAGGTTGGTTCTATGGTTTTTCAGACTACTTGATGAATGTTCTTGTGAGATGAGTTGTTGGATATTTTGTCCTAAAAGCTTTTGATACGGTTCATTGTATCACTTGTCAGTATAAGCGGTAGGCTAGCTACTATTTATTCGCTCGTGGGTCTTGGTTTGTTTGTGCGGGTCGTATAAAACTAAATAATTAGGTGGATCATGTGTGGGTTTGCAGTAAAAAGTCGTATTAGTACGCAAATTTCCTTCTCCACTATTGTGAACACAATGCGCTCCTTTTCGGACAGTCTGTTTGACTTTATTGTCTAATATTCATCTGATATCAGCGCCCACTATTGTATTATACTTCAGTAGTGTGGTGTATACTGTGGATGTACTGTTCTAACTTCTCTAAGAACTGCAATATTTTCCCGAACTTCCACTGTTATACAAGTTATAGAAGTAGCGTTAAACTCCCCAGTTAAAATTCACTCTCCATAATAAGTCCTAAAAGACTAAACGTGAAGATCAAAGGCTGTTGACCAACAGAGAGGGGACACTATACCACTCTTTAACCTTATCTGTATTGGAATTCTTAGTCTCTCACTCAATTTAATTTAGTGGTGACGGTTAAAAAGTTTATACACGCTTCGTAAATAATTTCAATGATGTAAATTCACTCTCCTGACTTCATTTTACTCGCTTGATGTATAAGGTATATGGTTTCTTTACTTAGTCTTCACTGAATATCCTATAAAGTAAGAAATTATCTGGCTTAATATTGATTTTCTTGCCATATTTCCTTACTCAGAGCCTTTCCGGGGTCCCCACCTATGAGAACTCTGCGCAATCATCGAATTAGTCTAAACAAGAATGAATCGACTCAACATAAGTAAGTTCTTCAACCTCTTTCCATCTCACGAGTTTAACGAATGAGTGTATTATTTATAATGTTTATGGGTTTTTGGTTTATCATAGGTTGTTAGATATGGTAGCTGAATAGTGGCGTTGTTGGTTATGTATTGACCATTTCAATATTTTAGCTATATTTATGTATCAATGACAGCTTTAGTCCTATAGTATATCCATTAGTTGATCAGTGATTCTGTCCTCTGAAATCAATTTGTTCGAGATACGAAAATATCTTCCGTGAGGAGGTGGCCAGTTTAATCACCTCAGTAGTTATCGATCAATTTTTTCGTTGTAATAAACGAATGTCATAATTTATTTTTTCAGTCAACGAAAAGAAACAGTTAACAATTGGAAATTGTCTGGAATTTTGGCACAAGTTTCTTCTAGTAAACGAGTGCTTGATTCCTTAATATTTTAAGCATCTTAGTGCACATTTGATATTCCATCAGAAAACGGTAACCATCTTAATTTAATATTTTCTTAGATTAATTATGATCTGCCCCCCCTAATTACCCTGGCACGGCCAGGAGTGGGGAGAGTTAGCTCTCCCTCTCGAAATGCTTTCATATGGCCACGCGTATACAGCCACTGCCAAGGAAATCCTACTAACTGCCTTCTCGTGGCGGGGGTGTTGTTTATGAAAGTGAAAGGATGGAAAGCGAATATCCAGCGCTTTGACCGAGTTTGTGGATATAGAGAATCCACCTGGGGGAGTTGGAAAAACCTGACTCCAAGCCACTGGTGCACGTGGGCTCCAGTATCCTGAAGGAACAAATGGCGTATGAACCTGTTGTTGGTGACCGGCTACGACGGGACTGCGTCTCCTGACGTTGCTCCACTGCCGTGTGAATCAGACCTTTAGGTTGAAGGCTCTGGGTGTGGCATCCTAAGAAAACCACTTGTTTCGGTTTGGGCGCCTTGGAAGTATCCCAACCCTTACACAAACCGAATCATAATGTATGGTGCATGTATATTTTGTGCCTCATTGTAACGATGTCTTTAAGTAAGTAAATAAATAAAATTATAGTCTGCTCACTGAAATTCACTTGCCATTATCCAGTTTTTCTTTCGAAGTCGAGCGCCGTAATATCCTTTGGATACTTCCTTCATTTACCAGTAGAACAGATTTTTCTGATCATATTTACAAATTATTGTCACAATATTCACAAGTCTCAAATAACTTTACCATAAATTACTGTTGAATTGTGTTGGTCTACCTTTCCTTTGACAGTGTTACGTCATCCAGATCAGTTGATGGAGGTTTCTCTATACCGGAATCACTTTCTCCCCTTAAATCTCCACCCACAAGACCTCCTAAGCCTCGTCATATATCTCTATCGAAACCTGCCGTTCTTGAAGAGGTAAGAATGCCATATCGTTTGTTTTTTAACAAACTATGTTTATACCTGCTTATTAACAATAAATATTGATAACGTTCTAACCAAAATATCAAGTGATTTTAATCTTCGTAGATTAATTACAGATTTAAATGAAAAATACCTGGGCTGCTAGTGTAAATTTCATCTAACCTCAGTCCGTATGTCCAACCATAATTTAAAAGTAAAGGATATGTACAGCCTAAATCAGTTCTTTTTCATATTGTGCAGTTTGACTGGTATGAAATTACCTTCTAGTTTCCTGTTAAGAACGTTGTCGCCATAAGCCAATATTTGAGAAGTTGCTTTTGTCAAAACACAATTACAAATGTTTTATTATTTATTTTATTTTTATTTAAACACATAAACATTGGTACAAGGGGGCACCGAATATATATGCGCCACACAAATTTCATTCTATTTGTGTGTGGGCTGTGATACTGCCTACAGCCTAGTCCGGTCTAGATGACTTGGTTGAGATGCTGAGGTGGGTTGTGCTCGAATCGTGTCTTAATGACGATTACAAATGGGACTATTATGAATCTTCTTCAGTAATACTTTCCGCAAAATATCTGTAGTTTACGGGTTTTTAATGTCTCATATAAGGGCTACAAAAACAAATGAATTCCAATGATTATTTTAGAGCACAGGATAAGCAAACAACTTCCACCATTACGAAATATTTAATGGGGACGAGTTGTAGGGTTGATAAACATTAACATTTTTTATGTTGCATAGGTGTTCTGGGTTATATGCGACTGTTTGGGGCCCTTAATTATATGAAAATCCAAACCTTTATTTGATAAAAAGAAGTTTACTCTCACCTTGAACGCATAGTAAGATTGATTTATTGTCCATTGCGGTGTGTTTCACACTGTCCCTTATTGTCCTTGCTTCCCCTTACTTTTCAGTTTTTCTAGTTGACTTTTTATGTTCATATACGCTTTAAAAAGTGTGTGTGATCAGATGGTTCAAAATGTATTGCGCTAACATATTTCTAAAGAACATCTTTTCATCACCTTATTCAACTTTATACAAGGGACTAATTGTTTTTAGTTTCATACAACGCTAGCGAATTGCATTTGTCAAAATTATATTGTTTTATGGATATCATTTATAAGTATTACTACACCAATAAGGATTAACGCTTAAATTAGCCATTGCTTTCGTTACCTTTGTGACCCAAACTCTCATTCATTATGCCTTTTAAAGGTGAAACTAAAACCGATTTCTTCAAAAATCGCTACCGAAAATGCATCTTGTAATAGCGTTACAGAACCGGTGGACATTTCCAAGTATGTTTTCAATTAAATTGTTTGTATATTTCACACCAACCATATTTGCGTTTAACATATATGTAAAATTTTTATTGTAGATCATAAAATCAATATATATACCTAACCATTCCCTGTTTTATCGGTTCAAATGTTTTTATATTCATGTGTGCCCCGAACGTTTTTAAATATGGAAACAATTGTTAAATGTGATTTAATGTTTGCCAAACTAATTTATCATCAATAAAGGTCGTTAGTACAACAGGATTTACTACCAACTTCTTTCTTTTGAAATTCCTATTTGTTCTGGATTGTTTTCATGCTAGATACATGTGATTACTTACTTACTTACGCCTGTTACTCCCAATGAAGCATAGGCCGCCGAACAGCATTCTCCAACCCACTCTGTCCTGGGCCTTCTTTTCTAGTTCCATCCAATTGTTCATTTTTCTCATGTCTATTTCCATTTCTCGGCGTAATGTGTTCTTTGGTCTTCCTCTTTTCCTTTGGCCTTGAGGATTGCACGTGAGGGCTTGTCTTGTGACGCAGTTGGGTGCTTTCCTAAATGTGTGTCCTATCCACTTCCAGCGCTTCTTCCTGATTTCTTCCTCCGCTGGGATCCGGTTTGTTCTCTCCCACAGTACGTTGTTGCTAACAGTGTCCGGCCAATGGATCTGAAGTATTTTGCGTAGACAATTGTTAATAAACACCTGTATTTTCTGGATGATGGCTTTTGTAGTTCTCTAGGTTTTTGCCCCATACAGTAGAACTGTCTTGACATTCGTATTGAAAATTCCGACTTTTGTGTTGATTGGCAGTTGTTTTGAGTTTCAAATGTTCTTCAGTTGTAAATATACTGCTCTTGCTTTACCGATCCGCGCCTTCACATCTGTATCAGATCCACCCTGTTCATCAATGATGCTACCCAGATATGTAAAGGTTTTTACATCTTCCAAATGTTCTCCGTCAATTGTGATTGGATTGGTGCATTCTGTGTTGTATCGGAGAATCTTGCTTTTCCCTTTGTGTATATTGAGACCTACTGCTGCTGAGGCTGCTGCTACACTGGTCGTCTTCTCCTGCATTTTTTGTTACGTGTGCGATAGAAGAGCCAGATCATCTGCGAAGTCTAGATCGTCCAACTGCATCCTAGATGTCCATTGTATCCCGTGCTTCCCTTCAGATGTTGACGTCGTCATGATCCAGTCGATCACCAGGAGAAAGAGAAAGGGTGAGAGTAAGCAACCTTGCCTAACACCGGTCTTCACTTCGAACGACTTTGTCAACTGTCCTGCATGCACGATTTCGCAGTGTAATCCATCATAGGAATTCTGTATGATATTGACTATCTTCTGAGGCACGCCGTAGTGTTAAAGAAGTTTCCATAGTGTTGTTCTGTCCACGTTATCAAATGCCTTTTCGTAGTCAATGAAGCTGATATAGATTGATGAATTCCATTCATTCGATTGTTCCACAATGATCCGTAGAGTTGCGATTTGGTCTGTACACGATCTATCCTTACGGAATCCTGCCTGTTGGTCACGAAGTTGGGCGTCTACGCAGTCCTTCATCCTGTTTAACAATACCCTGTTGAAGACTTTTCTCGGTATTGAGAGAAGAGTGATGCCCCTGTAGTTATCACAGTTGCTGAGATCGCCTTTCTTCGGTATTTTGATCAGAAGTCCTTCTCATTTCTCATTTCTCATTTCTGCAGCAATTTGGAAGGCTCTCCCGGTGTCCCACATTGTACGAACATTCCATGTACCTAAATAAATGGTTGCTCTGGTTGTCAGAAGGGGCATCGGCCTCGTGAATTCCGAAGGAATTCGGCTTTCATCATGAGGCGTCATAGTTCTTCTAAAAGAAGACCTTCTGACTCCCAGGGCAGAGTTTAGAAGGTTTCAGTGAGCAGACTATGATTTTATTTATTTACTTACTTAAAGACATCGTTACAATGAGGCACAAAATATACATGCACCATACATTATGATTCGGTTTGTGTAAGGGTTGGGATACTTCCAAGGCGCCCAAACCGAAACAAGTGGTTTTCTTAGGATGCCACACCCAGAGCCTTCAACCTAAAGGTCTGATTCACACGGCAGTGGAGCAACGTCAGGAGACGCAGTCCCGTCGTAGCCGGTCACCAACAACAGGTTCATACGCCATTTGTTCCTTCAGGATACTGGAGCCCACGTGCACCAGTGGCTTGGAGTCAGGTTTTTCCAACTCCCCCAGGTGGATTCTCTATATCCACAAACTCGGTCAAAGCGCTGGATATTCGCTTTCCATCCTTTCACTTTCATAAACAACACCCCCGCCACGAGAAGGCAGTTAGTAGGATTTCCTTGGCAGTGGCTGTATACGCGTGGCCATATGAAAGCATTTCGAGAGGGAGAGCTAACTCTCCCCACTCTTGGCTGTATCAGGACATTTGGGGGCATCAGGAAGTGTAACATGTTACGACTTATTTCTTAACATTGTTATATTATTTAAAGGGTCGATGAGTCGAAACTTTCTTAAGTAGTTACTTAAAACTCATTTGTTCCCACTTAACCAAATTATAACAACTTATACCACCTTATTAGACACTTTTTTAAGATCATTAAATAACACAATGGTATGGTGTTATGAATGTGGCTTGTAATGTAATCTACACTCACTAAAGCGTTAGTAATATAAATAATAATATGGACCGGATACATCAGATAAAAAGATAATCTCGTGAAACAATACCCAAAGAAATTCTCATTGTCAATTTTTTCTAGCTTTTCTCCTACTGTCTTCTCTGAAGATAATGGATATAAATCGCTAAACAAAACAGCTGATTGCAGCATTGAAGTTGAATTCCTCTTCATATTTTTGTTTGGTGCTATATTCACTCATTATGATGTTCCGTGATACTAATGTTCATATACATTAACACTTATATTTCTCTGAAACGTGTATACTGTTATCTGCATTCTGAAGTATCGTGTACTTTAGCATCACTGTCTGAGACATTCTCTGTAGACAGAATTAATGAATATGTAGGTAGTCATCAATGACCACCACCTGCCTTGACAGCCGATGTTTGGTGGTTTAGAAGTATGTTTCAAGAAAGTTGGGGACTGCCAAACCAAAACACACCAGTCCATAAAATCATTAACCATGACTCTGAGCTATGTTTGTTATGACTTTGTCCGGCTTTTATCACGTGATCTATCCACCAATCAAAACACGACTTATACAATCTTCGCACTGTGCCAAACCAATGATGTTCTACCGGTATGAGCAGCTCAGCGTCTTATTTGGTCCTATGTCTGTCTAGCCGTCCACTTGAGTCCAGAACACTAAATACCAGCCTCCAATATGCGAATCATATATTCCAACCATACTGTGTTTATATATCAAACAAACAGACCACAACGCATCATAAAATAGAAAATAACATTTGTACACAATTAAGCCAAAAAGTGGCTATGAACGTGGGAGGCAGTAGTCAATAAACTGAACATAGCTTAAGAACCGTAAATCATACAATGATAAATTATAGATCAAAATAAAGCCTATAATACGAGGAATATAAATATACATAATCTAATTATTGAATAATTATACCATAAGAATATGTAGATATCAGTCAATTAATATGTTTCAGGAGTTACTCGTGATTTAATCTTCGCTCGGATATAGCTATGTTGTCGAATGCTGAATACGTGGTCGGGATCCGCGTGATAATTGAGATCTGTAACTGAAGATTTTGGATGAAATAAAACAGATGCATTCATGTTTCATCTTTTTCTATATCTTCAATATCAATATTCCTTCAAACATACCTTTCAACCGTCTTTTGGTACCATTTTCCCTATATCCATTATTTCTCATTGTCATTACTACCAAATTATTTCATTCTCTTCTGTTATTTGTCTTGTTATTTTCATCTCGTTGTGGCATCTCGAGTCAACCCACATTATTGTCAGGTTCTGTGATAACTGGATTGACTAAGGTTATCCTCGTAATTTCAGACGAGAATTTCTTATTCACTTCGATCACAGTTTGAAGTCTTCCCATTTTTACCATTTAATTACAAATGTTATATTTGTTCAGACATTTTATCAGTTTGTATTTTGCTTATACTAGTTCAGTCATTCAACCCATTATTTTAGTGGTTAAATAAGTGATTGACCGATCACAATTCTCACTCGTTTGGTTTTTTGTTTAATGCATTCTTCCCTAATGTGTAGCACTCGGGTAATTATTCGTTAAACCTAATGTTCTTTACCTCCTTTTTCTTTTTATTAAGCCATTCGATTACTAGCGTTGGTAATAGCATAGATAATCAACCATCGACAGTCAAAGTAAATGGAAGTTCGTTAAATTCAACTACCATTCGAAATTCAACTCCTGTAACTATTATCAAAGCAGGACCGCAACAAACATCCAAAGATCCCGTTGAATGTTTTTCTTATGCTTCCATAACTCCTTTCTATTCGTCTAACAAGATTGAGAAGGCGACTGAAAATGATGTAAATAATGCTATAAATAATAATGGTACGTATTAGTATATACTCATTTTTTTAAGTGATATTTTATCTTATGAACTGGTATTAGTTGAACAACCATCAAAACCAATAGGGATCAGACAGCTGCTTCGCGCAGACATAGGCCTCCTCAACAGTGCGCACCTATAACCTCGCCATGCCTCTAATCTACAACCACTGGGGCTTCCATGATATACGTTACTGTTAGATCATGAAGTTGACATCTGTAACAGACTCACATTCCTAACTTCAGTGAATTCACTACGTTACAAAGTGTTTGCAATGGCGCAGGTGCATCTACTCTTTGTCTTCACCCAAATTCTAATCTCCTGAATCTTCCTTGTCTCTTTTTTTTCCTCTTTCCAAATTTATCTCACTGGATTATACTCTTTAAATAAAATCTTCAAACCCTAATCTTTCCGATTACTGCTTATGCTCTTACCGCCTCTACCACTCCGGGATTTGAGTCGACAACTGCATCTCTGCGCTAATGTGGTGTGGCAACCCGAACTGATGTACGTACGTACGAAGTTCTACGTTGTTACTGATCGACTGACTGACTGATAAAGTATTTGCCAGTTTCTTTAAGCAGGTTATGTTGCTAGTTTAAATGAATCGTGTTACCAATCATTGTTAAAATCTTTATTAGCAATCAGTTGTAAATAAGTGTTAGTAGAGTTCACCAATGTACTTGGATTTATTCAAATCAGGTAATGAGTTTTTCTTACTGTCGTATTAGATTTCCCTAGTAATACAGTCTTTCTTCAACTTCACTAGGAACATAACTATGAAAAATGGGCTAAATTGAAAATGAATTGTTTAAAAGTCTTTTAAATTATCCACTAAATGATTGAATACAATCAATCATAAATAAATATAAATGTAACCAAATCAATCGGTGGAAGTAATAATAGTATTAGCTGTTACATCTAACTAAATCACTTCGAACCTTAATCTCCTCACTGTTTCTGCCCTTAGATATGCAGGGTGATGTACTTTGGAGCTAGTTAATGGGGTTAATACTGTAGGTTAGTTAGCATAATATTGAGGGCAGTGAAATTATCCTATTCATTGTCTGGGAAAAGAAAAGATATTTACGGTAGAGACCTCTATATCCGATTATTATTTAACACTAAAGAGTACATGGATAAATATGAATGGTTGAATAACAACGCACAATAAATAAAATAATACATTAAATGTCACAATAGGGCATTTACGGTATAAAAATAGGATCTAAGGCTCGTGTTTAAATTACAATAAGTTCGTGATGAAAACAGATATGATAACTACTTCAATGAAATAGTGTTTAATGGCCTTTATGATTTTATGATGCATTAATAAGCTAATTACTATTCAATAAGTTAACTGATAGGAATCATCCCTAAATATTTTAATTCTAATAATTTACTTGAATCAATCAAATTTTCTATGGTTGGTTTATTCTCAAATTTGTTTTAGCTCATCGCCAATCCTACGAAACAGCCATTCAACCCTCCGAAGATTTAAATTCACAATCAACCCATTCGTAAGTGACCCTTTAAACAGATGGTTCTTATTTATTTAACAAATTATTATTCTAATGAAAATCATTGCTGCTATGCTGTATTTTCAATTATCAAGAGATTATTGAATCTTCATTTTTTTGGATTTATGATTTTCCCTACTTGTGTAGTGTTCTGTTTCCCATTTATCTTTCAAATGTACTCCGATTTCATTATATCCACTCTAAACTAGACAAAAATGAAGTAAACATTTCCTTATACTTATGTGGATAAAAAAATCTTAAATCAATCTTCTAACTGTTCGTAATTTATCATTATCGTCATATGTAAATACTGTTTGTTTTATTCAGTCTTCAGAATTCGGTTATCCATACTAGTACACTTAAACTTCAAAACCTTGAAAGATTCACCTTTTCAATTTAGTGTATTTGAAAAGATATCTGTTTGTTTCTTGCTTCTGATATATAATTTTAATTATATCATGCTATTCAATGTTCATTTGTTTACCTTTTATCTTACTGTTAATTGCTACTCCTCATATTTATAATTTTACAAACTGTTAATATGCTTTGGTAATATGCATTGATATTTATTGAATATTATTACAAATAAATGCGGAGTGGTGGTTTAGTCGTCAAGGCTTTTGACTTCCGGCCATTAATTTCCAGGTTCGAACCACGCTCCATCTACTTCGGTTTGGGAAGCTGGCTGGTAGCATTAGCTCTCATGCTCATATTCAATTGCCTGATGAATGAGTTAATTTACTTACCTATTATTCTATTATCTCAGTCACCGAACAGGAAGTTCATACTCCGTAACATAACTTAGTCTGAACAGTCATTGCTCTCATGCTCATTGATTCCATATCTTCATTTAATCTGTTCCGTATTACATGATATTTATCATTTGTTTCAAAACATTTGATATAATGATTCTTTGTTAATCCGTTACTGTTGTTTCAGCATATGCGATTCTTCTGTTGATCATCAATGTACAATATCAAATTCTTCGGATGTCCAGGTATGGCATTAAATAATTCAAATTTTTTGTTCTCACTTTAAACCCTATCTTTGCACATATTTGTGTATGGATGAAGTTTTTCTTGAATGTTCTGTTAATAGCATTCCAAACGGCATTTTAGAAATCAAGTGTGTTTTACTGAAGCAAACATAACGGCTGAATTCTAAAATTAGTCTATTCTTGTACTGTTAAAAATTCATTACGAAAATTCTCTTTTAATGATTCGTTGGGTCTGTCAAAAGTCACGATCAATAATAATAACGTTTTAATGATGAAGCAATAGGATTTGTATAATACAATTCTTCTATAAAACGTTTTGATACTATCTTGAGATTTTTTATAAAATTACAAAACAGCTAGTCTTTGGGATTTGAGAGTTAAGTGTATTCGTACCCTCTGTTCCTTCAGCAATATTTTCTAAGTGACAACATTTTATCATCTATCTTTATGTAGCTGTTTTAATATCATTTGACTGCAACACTAATCAAAGAGGAATTCATTCTAATCACCTGTGTCGTCGACCTAGTCACTTTACTGTTGGAGCTGCAGTAAGTACCTCAACCGTGTATTCGTCTATTTCTACGTAAATCAATCGATCAATTAGAAACATCTCAGACAATCTAAATTAAATACGTTTTATTCCCTGTAACTCAAGATGATTTTTTATATGTGAATGTTTGAAATTTATTGTTTGCCCATACATACAGTCAACAAAATAGGTTATCATTATTATTATTATTATTTTAAATCTTTGTACTTTTCCATATTCTCACTCTGGTATACGTATTTAGTTAGATTAGTTGTAGATTACAACTGTCGTGTACATTATTAATTTATTCGCTTTATTAAACCAACAGTGAGTTCATTTATCAAGGGTTTTTGTTAATTCTCACTACTAACAAATAATTAAATACATCGCCCAGATTTCTCGGCTATGTGCTATGTAACTTCTTTATTGTATTAAGCTTCATTCCTAATTATGCTTTGATTTCTGTGTTCCTTTTGTTTTCACTTATTTCATTATCGATTTATTAATTGTGTTCCGTAGGATTTTGTTATTCGACCTGAAGCATTTCACAAGTCTCTATTTCCTGAAATTGTATATAAAGATAACATTGATGATCTTCCTGTACTACAACATGCTGAACCTGTTGCAGTAAATGCTGAAGATGATGATGATGGCTTAGATGAAAATATTGACAATACTGAAAACTCTTTTGAAATTGTTATTAGTTCATCTCAGTGTAATACATCATTTAATCCACTGATCACTTTACCTGTTCCGAAAGGATTGAATGTTGTGGCTGGTAAGTTGAAAGATTATTCAAAATATTATTGCTTAATTACAAAAAAATACTTCACTTTCCTTTTTAATCTTATGTCGATTGAAATATAGGCACTCATATAAATTGATCCCATTTTATTACTACATTTAAATAATCACAGATACATAGTTCGTATTTTAAGTAATTATTCCAACTAGCATTAATTAATTTTCGTTTCACGTTAAATACTTTGAATTGAATTTATCATATCTCCCTACTGTGTATACCATCAATTTAACATCATATAAGTAGATAGTGACATGTATAATTAATTCTGTAAATTAATAAATGGACTATTCATTTGATGCATTTTACATAATATTTCTTATTATCATACAAACCTATACATATTATGAGTAGTGTTTGTACAGTGTGTTGTATTATTTAATTCTATTAAAGTATTCATCATGTTTATTTTGTATATTTTTTCATTATTTATTTAATTATTTTATTTATTCACATTGATAATGAAAATAATATTGTACACTATGATTATAAAGAATAACTGTCCCATGTTTATTTTTATTGTTTCCTTGTTTGTACTTAAATACTTTTCGACTATTCAATTTTTCTATTGTTAAAAATGAACCATATTTACTTTTGTTGTTGTTGAAATATGATCCTTAATAAAATGCTTCATTTTTATTTTATTGTCGTTTTCTTTTCACTCGAAATTCTATTGCTTTATTTTATTTTTACTTAAGTCATTTGTCCTCTGAAACATTGAACATTCTTTTCTTTTAGTAGTGCATTTTATATTTATCAAGATGTTCCAATAAAGTCATTTATTATCCTTAGTTGTGTGTGTGTGTATGTGTTGTCTAGTGATTTCCCAGATATAATGCTTATTTGATTATCATCAAGATATAATTATTCATTGTTCATTTCGTTTTATGTCAACCTATGCTTGAAGTCAATCCTTTTTGTTTCAATTACAAAAAAACAACTGAAATGTCATGCAATTGTAATGCATTATGCATAAGTTCACATAATAATATATTGTTATATGTTTAATATTAATGTAAGTCATAACAATATTATTGATGTAAGTTAGTGTTTTATCTTGAAAGCAAATAACTGTATTTACATAAGCTTTTTATGTTAACTCCCAACATTTTTGTCGCAATAGTCATTTTTAAGCTATTTAATATATTCACTGGTAAAAACTATGATAACAGTAATACATTGATTAAGTAATGTGAACTGTGGATTTCTCTTCATTTATAATCTTCTCTGTTATGGGAAAAGAATACTGACAAAACACTGGCTGTTCATTGTTTTTATTAAGCTATATACTAATGTTGATGTCTGATAAGTTTGGTCTATGCACGTTAGTACCATATTGTACGTTGTTTATAACTGACTCAGTCAGTCAGTTTCAACGTAGGACCAGGAACATACATGCATCGGTCCAGGTTGCCATACTTCATTAACACAAGAAGATGGACACCGGATTCATAAAAGTAGTTAATTCAGAGGTGGAATATATATAAGAAAGATTGCAATAAGGATATAGTACAGGAAGAAATAATTAGTTCGTAGAAAGAAAGATATGAAGCGATTTTAATCTCTTAGTTTAAGGGAAGATAGAGAGTGTATACACCTACGCCATTTTGATCGATTCTGACTCATGTCACCATGTCTCCAACCATTGGTTACGATGCCTCTAACAGCACTCAAGTTATAACTGACTGGGTGAATTTAAACGTTGTACACTACAAGACGAGTAAGATTATCTCTTATGGACAAAATATATGTTTGAATATTCTGTGTATTTTTATTGATTTACTACTCTGTTTTAAATTCTCTGCATGTTGCAAATTTTCAATTCCCAAAAAACATTTCACTGGTTATTTTGGTAGTTTACCTTATAGATTTTAATTTCATATTCGTTGCTACAAATCTCTGGGCAGAAATCATCTTTTTTTACCGTGATCAAAGATCCTTTTTCAATGGCATTACGCGTATATATTTGTGCGTATACCCTCTCTCTTTCATCTATACCGAACAATTCTTTATCATAAAACCTGTTTTACGGGAGTAGCTGGGTCTAGGGAAGAATAAGGAATTGTGATGTCTACATATCAGAATCGAAACTGGGGAGTTATTACATCCAGTTCACAATGCATTAACTTGTTTTAGCATGAAATTGTTCCTTTTTACATAATACAGTCATATTTTGTAATTGAGCTTTCCACATTATAGAGATAAACTCTCAGTTTTGTAGCAGTAAAAAATACAAGTAAAGATTCCTGACAATTTTTTATTTATCCCGGGTTAAAATACTTCTTTCTGTTTATCGATGTTTCGTTTAATGTATTACAAATAGTTCTCTCTCTTTAATATATAGTTGAAATATTCAAACGTTTCCTTCATCAGATGTTTAAAAGATTTCCCCATTTCTTATGTTCTTTCTTCAAATGATAGATTTTTGTATGATACATATTAAGTAACTTAACGAATAAACGATGCACTTATAAGTTTATAATGCGACGAATAGTTCAACATTCCTGTTTGAAATTTGTATAATATTCAACAAATAAACAATGATTACTTAACATTACTATTTTTTGATTAATTACAAGCAAAACGTATCCATGGATTCTGTTTCCCATAAATATCATGATTCGTTACAACACAATATGAATTCCATTGAACTGGAAATATTGATTAGCCGATTATGATATTTGTTATCAGTCATTTTTCACTGTCAGATATCTAAGTATATGTAGTGTTTCTTTGTGTTTACTGCAATATAGTGTGTAGGGGGAAATTCGTTGATTAAACCAAAACCATCTCATTTCTTTTTTCTTGTGTTACATACTACTTTTATAGTTTGAGTTTTATCTAATTTATCATATTTTAATTGGTAATCTTTATCTTTAATTTTATAATACATTTTTTCGCTTTTAACAGTTGATGACGATGGAGTTCATATTTTTGAAGACGGTAACTTTCTGTACGCTCTTCCTGGCTTAACTGATAAGTATTCAGATGATTCAGATTTTTATGACTCACGTGAGGATGTTACCAATATTTCCGACTTAATATCTCCTTCATATACTGCTGAACAAGTAAACGATGAAGAAAATGTTAAAACAAATATGGACAAAATCCTTTCAGTATCTTCATCATCTAATTCACCAAAATCAATAACTACAAGGAAATTAGTCAATAAACGTTCAGGTAGCAGTGATAGTCTAGTCAAACAACCGAGAGTTCGATTTAGTTCTGAACCAATCTTGGTAAGATTTTTTCATGGGTTCTACAATATATATTTTCATTTTGTTAACATAGACTGCTCTCTGTATATTAAAAAGTGCCACTCCTCAAAAACGATTTAAATTCATTTATTTTCAACTTCATTAGTCTCATCCGAACTGCTAAATATTAATTTTAAACCACGTCTACTTCGATAACTAGTATAATCATAAGCAGTGAAATGGGTAGATGCGCTTCGCGTTTCGTGTTTGTGTAGCTCTTAACTGTTGTGAAATATGAATATCGCGATTCAGAGATAATCTTGATTTCAAATGTAATTTAGCTATTCCATTTTTCTTCTCGAATGGTTTCAAATCTGAAGTATACAGGTAAGTTATAGCTTTCTTGTTAAAGCTAGTGGTACAAGAATTGTCGACTGTTTGACACTTAAAGAATTATAACTCAAAATAGTTTACATTATGGGAGACTCTGCCAGCCGTTACCTTCCTCTAGATCTTCAATCTTACATTATTTTGTGTTACATTCCCTCTTTTTGTTGTTTGTTAAATATTATTTTTTGTTTCGTTCTCTACTACTACTGGGACCACTGAATTTCCTCTACAGATTTTTCCGTGATATCTCTCAAAATATGAGAACCCTGAACCATTACGAATCTCTATAAATCTTACTTCACTTTTGTCCGTTGTAAACCAACTCCGATAATTACAACAAATGATGAGCTAAAATAATTGTTTGTATTTTGAAAAATATAAAGTGGTGCCAACTTAATGGTATCTCGTTTGACAGTGGGATAAATCTAGACTAAATATACTGTAGTTGCTTCAGTCCAATTTTTATTCATAAAATAGAATGTGGTAGATTTATGGTAATATTTAGGATTTCTTGATTCAGAGTTTTGACTTCGTTGCCACTAATCAATAAATGATTATCACGAACTTTAAGGAAACTGATACTCCTTGCAGGTTTACAACCCGTTACCATTTGTCAAAGACGTTGCTACTAGTTTTTTCCGAACACAACAGACTTTATTTGAAGTTCACTGGTCCCTAGTGGTAATCGAATCCTATCGAACAAGTCGCAAAATGACTACCAATCCATATGTTCCTCGGGTACTCTTCTTCAATTACATAACATCTTGCATAGAACATACCACTTTACTTAGGTTAATGATAGTTCAAGTTGATCGTTGTAATGTGAACGTCGGTTTGGGCACCCGGGCAGTATCACAGCCCTTACACATGTCGAATGAGATTTGTGTGGTGCATATGTATTTGGTGCCTCCTTGTACCAATATCTATGTGTTAAAATAAATAAATAAATATAATAAATTATTGATCACTAGTGGTTGAGCAATTAATACGTTAACTAGGTATCACTGTTCAGTAAATACTTCATGTTGTTGAACTATTAACTATCAGTTTTTATCTTAATATGTACAATATTTTTCAAAAAAGTTACTTGTACATGTGCATTCTAACTGAACAATCGGATATATCTAGTTCTATTTATCCATACTAACGTTGGACAGTTTTTTGTTTATCGAATATCTGATGAAAAGAACTATGTAGCCTATATTTGTAACATTTTATAGAATAGATTTTTACAAAATCGATTGAAATAGGTTGTTCAACGGAAACAATAATTTCAATGTAACCTATTTTTTTTTAATGTTATTCTGAAAACAAACTGATCAGGGTTTTGTACATATTATAATCAGTTTTAACAATCTAATTTTTATGTTTATTATCTATCAACTTATAAAGTATGATTTAATGAAATTACTATGTTTGGTCTAAGTAGTAGATTATTTTCAGCTCTAGGTATTTCTTTGCTGAATTCTTTATTTGTCTCAGTTTACAAATTCTATTGTCATGGTCAAGAAAAATTTACACATTATATAGATTGAAAAAATTTAATATTTTGTAACGTTTGTTATATGATATAGTTAAACATTGACATTGTATCAATTAACTTTATGTTATGTATGCAAGTGTGCGCTCTCATCTATACACTTGCATTCACTAAGGAATTACAATCCATGGTTAGAGGATTAAATATCTAGTTATTATTGATTAGTGAAATGCATGAACATAAGATTTTCGACTACTGACTTCATTTTATCAAGAAAAAAGGTCAATTCTGTTTGTGTGATACAAAAAATCAACAGTGCCATTAAGAAATATCAGTCAATGCGTAACATTAATAAATTCAGGTTTTTAAAAATGAGTACGTATTGTAATTTCTGGCTTTTATTGAACCAGGATAACATATTTTTACAGTTAATTTACTGTGCATTTGTCAGCTATTTTACAGCTGGTATCAGTTTATCTTACAAAAAAATCATTTAATTATAGAAATCTTCAAAGAAAGCTCACGTGTATAATATTCATGTATTATAAATTTGAATAATCAGTTCAGTATTATATTTTCAATAGTTGAAATCATGAGTCATTTGAAGCTAGACCACCATGGAAAACCTGAAAGCACTGGTGGTTTAGCTTCAATCGACTCATGATTTCAACTATTGAGATTTCTAAAAATCTCCGCAAAACCCCTTCTGATATTATATCTTCCCTAATTTTGTATTTTACACTACTCGTTAATTGAATGATTTTATAATGTGTACCTTTCATATTAACTGATTTTATTTGAATATATAGATTTCTGTTGTTAAACACATCATAAATATCATTAATAATTGTTTCCACAGGTCTACGTAATTGATAACTATATTAACAACTGACCTTGCAGCAACCGACTAGATAATCATTATATTCAGTAACTAGTGCATAATTAATATTTTTGTTTAGTGATTCATAGGAGAACAATTTTTACTTGTAACATCATTTCATTTTTATTTGGTGTAAATCAGATTCAATGCAAATTTATTGATTGTTCATCTGAATTCCGCTTGTAAAAGTACGCTTACAGTTCGGCATATTGCACCATTAATGCTTAACTTTTTCACTTTTTACACCTTTTATACTTACCTGTTTGACGGAAAATTGATGCTTTTTTACTCAGTTTTTTTTGTTCGAGCACTATTACAAATTAAAATGTTTGTTATGCATTTGATGATTAGGAATAACTTTCCCGACCGTTGTTGCTACCTTGAAGTGGTCGTCGGGGTTTCCTATCGTGATGAAACAACTGAGTTATACTGACTGGAACAACTGTTCCTCAAGGTCCTACCACGTCAGAAAGGTCGTTACAAGAGCAGTAAGACTAAAAGCAACAAACCCAAGGTCCGGAGGCGAAGTCGTACTGCTGACTGTACAGAGGTGTGACCTCAGTAAGGTGTTTCCTTCAGACAACCAGCATAACAGCGATGCTGCCTTCCCACAAGGAGGGGTGGGGTTAGAAAGGGTAGACCCTAAAAATGCACACTTCGCCTTATCCCACGGACATCCGTCTCCGGCGGTAAGGTCTCAACAAGTACGGAGCTAACACAAAAATTGCCCATAGAAAGGTCGTGTGTGACCGACTTCAAGCATTTGTACCTTGGGCACTGCGGTCACGCTCCCAGGTCACTAAGACCACCTCTAAATCAATTTCCTTTTCAGGTACCCCCAGAAGAACCCTTCCACGGTGTGGGCAACCGGGAAGTGATAACCGCCCTCATACCTCTAACAGCACTCAAGACCACTGTATTCATAATCAACCTCCCTCTTCAATTCCTATTATTCCGCCTACATCCACTTCAAACTCTAAACTTCTTTTTTCGGCTTCCTCCTCAAGTGTCACCATAGCCAACGATTCTAGTGCTCAAAACACTGTCCCAGGTCTACTGAAACCTCGCTCCAAACTACACATTGGAGCCTTCAACGTACGCACCCTATGTCAAATCGGTCAGCAGGATTCTTTGGCTAAAACCCTAGAGTCTCTTTCCATTGATGTATGCTGTGTCTCCGAAACACGCATACAGGATTCCAGTGTGGTCATTCACTTGACCTCACCTCGCCAAAACGGAGAGCCAACGAGATACACCCTCCGTGTATCTGGTGACCCGATGGCCAGTTCTCGTGAACTGGCAGGTGTAGGCATAGCACTAAGCATGAGGGCGGAACAAGCACTGTTAGAGTGGATCCCCGTCAACAGTCGTCTATGTGCTGTTCGGCTGAACGGCTCCGTAAGAACTCAGAAGGATAGAGACACACGTCGTTGCCTTTTTGTCGTTTCTGCCTACGCTCCCACTGACTGCAGCTCAGATGAAGTGAAAGATGAATTTTACAGAAAGCTTTCTGAACTTCTTCAGAAAGCTAAACGCTCAGACATAGTACTCGTAGGGGGTGACTTTAATGCTCAGATAGGTAGCTTAAACCAAACAGAAAGGCATTTAGGTGGATATTTTAGTATTCCGGCACAGCGAACAGATAATGGTGACCGTCTGCTGCAACTATGCTCAGACAATCGTTTATTTTTAGCAAACACAAATTTTAAGCATAAGGAGAGACATCGTCTAACATGGTGGCTCGTGCACCAAACCAACGATGGACTCAAATAGAACATATTGCCATCAGTCATCGTTGGAGAGGGTTGGTAGGAGATTGTCGCTCATTCTGGTGTATCTGCTTGGACTCCGACCACGCCCTCATACGGGCACGCATCTGCTTGCGCCTCACTGGACGCAAAAAAGCCACATTAAAAAGACCCATTAGAACTGAATTAAGTAGCGAGAAAACCAAAAGTAGGTTCCCGGAACAATTGAGGTCACACTTAGGAAGTTCTGAAAATGAGGCTGACCCATATGTTGCTTGGAAAGATATGCAAACAGCTGTGGAAACAGCAGTGACATCTATCAGTGATTTAAACCACAGGGTTACAAAGAATCAATGGATTTCCTAAAGGTCTATTGCACTGATGGATTCTCGTAAACTCATCTCATCACGCTCTGAATACGATGAAGAGCGACAACAAATCAGATCTAGGTTAAGCAAAAGTCTAAGGAACGACCGTGAGCAGTGGTGGGCATCGAAAGCAAAGATGGAAAAGGCGGCTGCTATAGGGAACTTAAGACAGCTCTACAGAATAATAAAAGAAACTGGAATTAACAAGTCAAGTGTAAGTGAGATTATATCGGAAAAAGACGACACACTCATCTGCTCTCAGTCCAGACGTTTAGAACGATGGGCGGAACATTTCAAAGATCAGTTCAACTGGCCTTCAGCTACTCTACAACTACCCTCCATTCCCAGACAGTGTGATTGGAACATTGAAGTAGGTCCCCCAACTCTAGCAGAAGTTCAAAAGGCTATAGTTAATCTGAAACGAGGAAAGGCAGCTGGTCCAGATGGACTGGCTCCAGAGGTCTTTAAGGATGGTGGTCCAATTTTAGCGATTAGGTTGACTAATATTTTAGCTAAGATCTTGGAGTTAGACGTTATTCCATCTAACTGGTCACAATCACTTATCGTCCCAATATATAAAAGAGGGTTAAAATAATCCTGTGACAACCATAGAGGGATTAGTTTAACTAATATAGTATCTAAAATATTAGCCTCGATAATTATCAGACGCCTAACTAAGACTCGTGAACTGCAAACACGAGGGAATCAAGCTGGCTTCAGACCTGGTCGTGGCTGCACCCCACACATTCACCATTCGTCAGGTTCTAGGACACAGGCATACTTATCGACGTCCGACAATGGTGGTTTTTTCTCGAACGCATCGACAACTTCACTTATCTTGGAAGTCTGATCACCCCTAATGAGTTGGTATCTGACGAGATCTCAGCACGGATTGGAAAAGCTCGTTTGGCTTTTGCCAACTTGTCTCACCTATGGCGAAGGCGAGATATCCGTCTATCAATAAAAAGACGAGTATACTGCGCGGCAGTCCGTTCTGTTTTACTTTACGGCAGCGAAACATGGCCTTTAAGAGTAGAAGACACTCGTAAGCTACAAGTATTTGACCACAGATGCCTTAGAAATATTGCTGGCGTCTGCTGGGATCACCGAGTAAGTAATAGTGAGGTTAGACGCAGGGTATTAGGAAATGATGGTAAATCGGTTGATTAGGTTATGAATCTTCATCGACTGAGATGGTTGGGCCACGTGTTACGTATGCCTGAACACCGATTGCCACGACGTGCAATGCTATCCGGTATTGAAGATGGTTGGAAGAAAGTTAGGGGCGGCCAAACCAAAACGTGGCATCAGTGCTTGAAGTCACTAAATTCTAGTCTGAGCCATGTTGGTAGATGCAGACTACTTGGTTGGGGTCCGCGCGACTGTCGTAACTAGTAGCTCGAGACTTTGTGTGACATAGTTCAGAATCGATCACAATGGCGTAGGTGTATACACTCCGTCTTCCCTTAAACTAAGAGATTAAAATTGATTCATATCTTTCTTTCTACGAACTAATTCTTTCTTCCTGTACTGTATCCTTATATGGAATCTTTCTCCCATATATTACCACCTTTGACCTAACCACTCCTATGAATCCGGTGTTCATCTCGCTGTGCTAATGAGGTATGGCAACTTGGACCGATGCATATATGTGCCTGGTCCTACATTGTAGCTGACTGACTGAATAACTTCATCATAGTTATTATATTGAAGTTAAATATTTTTCGTATGTTAATCTTAATTAATTTAAACTCAACTTTCATGTGTATTTAAGTACCTTGATTTAAGTTGTGGGAATGCTCACAATCGGCTTTCCAACCTTAGGTGTATAATTAAAATGCCATACCTGTGACTTAGCATATCATTCATCTATCAGCTACTTGGTCATCCCTTGTAATGTTACTCCTTGCTTCAAGCAACTGATTTTGTATCTTTTATCCATCATAATCAATACGTATCAGTAGATATATCTTTCTAAAAACAAGTGTTGATGATAGTTGTCATAGTGTTATGGTCACTTCGGGTTCGATCATATGCTAATATTGATAACAATTGATAGTTGCATTATATTTAAATGTTGGGATTACAATTTGTAGAATGAATTAATTACACTCTGCGATGCAAATATTCATGTAAACTTGCTTTATTTCTCGAACTGGTGTGTGCATCTTTGTTAGTTTATATTGATTTGTACTTCACCTTTTTTGTTATTGTTCCAAATAACCTTTGTAGTAATAACAACTTTTCTGCCCTTTTTGCCCCTAATAATTTCACTCCTTTCGAACATTATCTTCAAAATAATACACCACTAATGCTTACTTCTCGTAAAAGTGGGGGCTAAATCAACATGCTCTGATGACCTTGTTTGTAATTGGTTGTCCTCATTTAATCCTGTATTCAATTTAACTGTGTTGTTCTACTGACCTCTAATCATGTGGATGATCAACCCTTTTGGAACGAGTTGAATCGGGTCTATCTCTATTTGTTTGTTGATTCCTGGCTGATCTGAATAACTTGCTTCTAGAGGTTCTCTGACGTTTTTAAAATTCCAACGATCCAAAATTTGGATGTTTCTTCAGTCGAATTCATATCTGTGGTTGTTTACATACGTTGATATCAGTGATAACATATCGTGTTGTCTCACCGTTAGTTCGTGTTCGTATATGCGCAAGTGATGGGGATGTCCACTTCTACATTTTTAATAAAATGAGTATTAGGATAACCTTAATTGTGTCTCTTTTTCCCTGAGGAAAATTTATTGCTGTTACACAGGCTTAATTTCATTTGGAAATTCAGAAATTTTAATTTCCGTTCCACTTACCTTGTTTTGAAAAATCGGTTAGTATCACTGTCCACCATACATCCAGTGTGCGACTTAAAGACAGATACATGAACCAATACTTTGTAAGTAATTTAATTTACACTGTATTATAATATTGTATTTGGCAAAATAGATTCATTGGTATTAAATAATTTTATAAAAATAGAAAACAGAAACTGTACAAATTCTTAAACTTTAAGCTTAACAGTTATGAAATTTTTCTATTATAGTGTCGGTTACTATGTTAAACCCATGTATCTTATTCTAACTTTCAGACATCCCATTCTATTCACTCTACTCGAGTCACATACTGACCTTGTTATTTATTCGCTTATCAATCTTGACTGTTTTTATATGAGCGCGTAGGTGTGTGTACATTTCTTATCACATGTCTGTAACTTACTTTTGTGTAACTATAACGCTTGGTTAAATGGGAGTTGACTTACCAGCCATCTCCACTCTGCGTCCTTTCTCTTCTCTCTATTCATTTCGCTTCATATACAAAATATATGTATTCAAAAGTCCATTCTCGTCATTTGACTTATTTAATTCCGTTATTGACTAACGCGATTTAAGTCGATGATTATATACAAGGATAGGCGATAACAAACATTCATTGCAATCTCCTTGGTGTCAGATTCATGGGCCACTAAACTATAAAGAACGTGAGAAAATTTTTTGAAGAAAGTCTGTTGTCGGACAATTTGTATTGAAATAGTTCAGTGATTGTAAATTAATAAGACGATATACGTAGAGATATTATAAACAGATGAAGATGTGGTAAATATAAGTTAATTTGAAGAAAACTGTTAGAGACAGAATTTTTTTACTTGACTTCTTTTGATGTTGTACTTACGTTACTCAAATGGTGTGTAAATTCTACAACTTGGTTATTTATTAATGATCATGATGAACTACAACTACATTTTTATCAAATTCGATCGTATTTTTGGTAAACACTGGATATTGTTTGATATTTCCCTTATATATATGTATGAGCAAAGATATACTGTACCTCAAAATGTTTGACTGACATTACATTTTCAATTCTATTTCATTCGAGGTTTATAATTTTTTTCCCTAATAGTAGAAGTTATCTAGAATGTTTCATACCGGTTTACCAAATGTTAAGCAAATATTTGAATGTATCAGGCGTTTATATACAGACAATACCTTCTAAAAGTACACCGGTGTTCTGCTTTTCATATACGTAGGTTTATTTTTCGAAAATCTTTTCAGTTCTTACTAATTCCCAAAAATATTGTTGCCACATATGTATCTAGTAATGTTCTCCATTTTTGTACCTCTGTTGTAGGTGTTCAGTACTCATTCCACTACAGATTATAATCGTAGAAATGAAGAAATAGATCCATTGTCTGCTTCAGCAGAATATGAATTAGAAAAACATCTTGAAGATATGGATATGTTTGAAATCGATTTCCGTAAAGGTTTGTTTCTTTCTATATCATATGTATGTAAGACCAAAAGCATTTGCTGTGGATTTGTGTTCACTTGTTTTACTTCTATTTTTCTCTCTCGTGACTTGTGTATGCGGATTTTGTACTATGTTAGACATTTTTCATCGTTCAAAGTTACCATTACATGGGTTTACGGCAACATAAATGACAACCCTGCATCTTATATTAATGTTCACATTTAAATCACACGGTAAAGTTTAAGTATATTAAAGCTTGTATAAGGCCAAATTATTTGTGATTGATAAGTCTACGCGATCCAACGAATGACCTTTATTCCCTTTTTTATTTTTAATCGAGTTTTATGTTGAAAAAAAATTTCCACCAGTTTCAGCTTTTATCGTAACTTATACATCACCACATTGTTTGTTGAAGCATAAACATAGATCAGTTTTTCTCTAAAGCATTTCGTATTAGATTATTCATTGTTTACTACCTAGTCTCCATTTGTTTAGAGCCTAGTAGAGTATAGATTTTACACGTAGATACTATATGACAAATCGATTCATTTTCATTTCTTCTACAACAATTTATTATCTGTTTATTTGTCTAATAGGATTATGTTGTCACATCTTGTTTTGTTGTCAATATCTGCTTTATTGTGATTTAAGGAATATGTTTAAAAGCTTACACAATTATCCTGCAAAAAACTATTCTTTTTTGTTGTTGCGGCGAATGTACTCTCAATGCTGTATAATCACAAATATAGAATGTTTTCCAAAGTAATGATCAATAGTATGTTTGTTGATAATGATGATAATAAAGTTTACCGAATATGTTGACAGAGATGTAGAATTAAGAGGAGCATGAAAACGTTATTCTTGTCAGAAAAGCCCAACTAAACATGCAGTGATTAAGAGCTTGAATACTTATCAATAAGATAGATAGAATTTGATAATTGTGTTCAAGGGTTACGTAAAATGATACGGTGAAATATTGAAATGAAATGCAATCAGAATGGGCATGAGAATAAAAATAGATTTGTTAAGGTTGAAAAAAATCAATAACGAGAGGTGGGAAGGTAGTGACTTTGGTAAATTAACGTTTAAGGTCATGGTAGGCGTCGAATAACCTTCCTTTAGATACACAGTTCTGGTGTGTGATAATGACTTCATCAGTGCTAAGGTGAAGGAAGCTTACTGTTTTTGGTAAGTTTCGATTTACCCTTGTAAATAAATTTGAACTTTGAGTCTTTTGTTTGAATAATTCGTATTTACGAAATGTTTGATAATTAGACTTTTTATCGACCCAGACCTGCTTCTGTTCAAACATGTCAAAAAGTGTACTTTTCATTAAACCATATTTTCTTGTTTTATCTGTTAATGGGTGTTTTCAAATTATTTAGCCAACAAGAATATAACATCATGTGTTGTTACCTAAGATTTGTATACGGTTACGTACACTCAATACTTTTCCTTTATGGTATTTTGTAAAATTGTAAGTACAAAAAAATAATTCAATGGTTTGATGTACGTTGAATTCGAAACTTTACTTTCTGTACATAAAGGCTAGTGATACTGGTCAATTGTACAAACAGTTGTTAGTGGAGAGTTTACCGTTTAAATCCATAGTTTAGTTATTGAAATATGAATACGTTAATTAATAAAATCTCATTCTACATAAAGTTTGAATGATACAATTAAGTGATTCAATCTTTGAAATAAATTGCAATATCTTCGAAGCTGTTCAGAGTAAATTACACGAGTACTCTATATCACAAACCGGTACCCTACTGATATTATCATTTTCATTTAATAGTCAGACATACTACATTTTAACATTATATACTGCAAAAAGTAAAACATCAAGTCAAATTTGTGCATCATTTAATAAGTAATTGATTATCATTTAATCATCCTTTTATTGTTTAAATCCCACTCAATCAAAATTCTTTATTTAATAAATACCTCTAATTGTAAATTACTTTCTCTTTCTCTTTGTACATAGATTAAAACAGGTGAATTCATCTAATCACTAATAATGAGCTTGTCTCATGATCACCTAACTTTAAGAAATGTGATCCAATGTCATGTATTGTGTTGTTTATGCTATTCGCATTCACTTAGGCTTATTATTTAATAGTTATAGTGAATGTCACTGGAAATTTGTCAAAATAAATAAAGATATGCACTTTGATATACATATTGGTTCGTTTTCTACTTATCTCTCAATCTTTCTCGATAATTCTTAGTATTACTTATAGCTTATTATTTGTATCGAATCTCCTTGTTCCATTAGTAATCAGTATGTAAAGCATTCACTGATATTAATTAGCGTGTATATGATAGTTGAAATGCCTGCGTACATTCACGTATACGTATACAGATTAAAGCATTTACTCTGTTTACTGTCAAAGTGGCATGATATAAGTCTAGTATATACATATATATATATATCATATGATTATCAGTATCATACATATTCATTGACAGATACATAAAAAATTTACAGCTTTACTGTTGTGTTTTTTTCTACATAATGAGCAAAATTGAAAGATTGTGACCTTCATTATTATTCTGATTAGACTCTTGTGTTTGTTGCCTCCTATATGCTTAGTTAACGAGTTTGTATATAAATGATATTTTGCATAATCTAATATTCACCTATATATCCAGTAGATAACGTAGTGATTCCGTATTCTGAGAAACCATCCGATTGCAGTTTAATGATCTGTTCCGTAAGTATATGATCGAATCGTCCAGCTAAGTCATTAAATCAACCGGTTTCCCTTTTATAACGTTTTATAGTTTAATAGTAGTCATTGTTATATTGAGAATTGTCCAACATTTCATTATTCAGTTCTTAATTGAATAAGTCCTCCAATGCTTCATGAAGGCATGAGCTAAATCTAATTTGTCTAGTAAACCATGTAATATACGATGCACTTTAATCGTTTTGTATAAATTATTCATTGAGCACCTCTTTGATAATGTTCACCTACCACATTATAAAGTGATCAAGTAGTTTATTCATAGTTTTTCATGCAGTTATTTGCCTTAATAAGCCTTTGTAAAGCAACAATATCAGACCTTGTAGAATAAATTGCATTCGTTTCATTTCGTTTGCTCTAAATCTTCCACATACACACTTATTTACGTCAATAAATACGATATTTTACAAATGTTATTTTGTATGTAACTTGCCGAAATTCATGTAGTTCATAAGTAGGAAATAAATTTAAATACCCTTCACATTTTTACAAATTCAGTTAACGGACGAACAAAATAAACGCTCTTGTGAGAAAAATATGATGACGTCATCAATCGGAAGAAACATGTGCAAATTATTATGATTACGGTAGACAAAATAATGAGATCGATCGTAATTACCAAAGGACAATTGTAAAGTTATTATAATGCTGGCGATGATAATGGTTGAGGAGGGTATAAAAAACGTAATTATTTGAATAATTAAATTGATAGGGGTTAACCGCTTTGTTGAATGATGTTAAAATGATATAACTAGTTACAATCTAACTGTAAATTAATGAATGGAAAGTTGATTAAAATGAACAATAAGGGTATTATTGTGATTAAATAGAAGTTGATAAGATAATTTTCGTAATGGAAGGTTATGTGTCAAAAAGTAAAGCGGAAAGTCCCTAAACTAATTTTGGAAGAAGAAAAAGGTGACAACAAAGGATAGCAATAAATCGATAACCATCACGGTACAGATCGAACCCAAAATTGTTCTTCGCAAAAATATCGACCAGCTACTGCTTCTATGTAACGTAGAATTTTACTGTTATTCTGTCGATTTAGCAATCGAAAACCAGTATCACGATCTGTTGAGTCACGTTTATCCATTATATTGTCTCATGGCACTCCTGGGTAACTTAGGTTAATGTATTATTAGATTTTTGGTGGAGTTTTGTTCTCTGAGCTGGATAGTTTGGTCGTGGAGCTTTCATCGTTCTTCTGAACGACATCATCAGCACAAACTTCCAAAATCATCCGCCTGAGCTACAAATCTTCACCATCTCAATGTATTATTAGATTCTTTGATAACATCGTCTTTGTTATTCCAACATATGAGCTATTGGAAGTTAAGGTAAATACAACTGTGACTAGAGGTGGTCTCTTTTATATAAGTTAGACTCTGAGTAGGCTTTTTTGTTTAATATGTGATAATTGAGTTGTCGATTAGAAAAGTCAGTGCAATTCTGACTTTTCGTTGACAGCTATTCTGCACTGTGCAATTATCCCTTTTGGATTAATGCCGATTTCTTATTGTAAAATCTCATTTGTTGACTTACAGTCCTTATTGATTAGCTTTATGAGATAATTGTTCTCGGGTAAAGTCTGAATAGCTTCCATTTCTCCATCAATCGAATCTATTGCTGTCGCTCTTGAAAACGACATTCCAGTATAACTTTTATATCGGACGAAAGCTGTTAAAGTACAAATATTGGTTTGCCTAAAAAGTGCGTAGTAAATAAAACAACAATGATCCTTCGTTCTTATCATATTTAGGTTCAAGGAATTTTTTCTAGTGCGAAATTCATGCTCTCAGGTGAATTTTAAATTTGATTGAACCAAATTAAAACATCGATGTAGTAGATCGGAAGTTTCTGTTACCACATTCTTATATTACACAAAAAATTGCATTTGTGAAACGTTTTGTTTTTCCGTTTATACGACCCAGTGTATATATTCAAAATCTAAAGCATAAAAAATGAACTAGGATCGCTTCATCCTGTAGTGTTTGTTGTTGATGCCTTACAAACGAAACGATTTTCTTGTACTGATGTCCTCTCCTAATATGTATTATTCGTTTACATATTCTAGCATAGAATTTAGTCCTGAGAATTTTCTTACCCCAGTAGTCTAATTGTGATTTTTCTGACAGTCACTTTTTATTTCCCTTCATTATGTATCTAATGATTAGTTAGATATAGTATAGTATTGGATAGATCATTTTATTATTCTGCAATTATGAAATATTTTTTTCATAATGAATCAAACAGATTTTTTAAGCAAAGATGGATAGTGGCTTGCAATGGAATCCGGGACGCGCGTTTCGTCCTATTTGGGACTCTTCAGCTGAACGTACCTGTATCTCAGAGTTGACGTTCATTCCAGGACTCGAACCCACTACCGTTCGCATCAAATACTATCGCGTTATCCACTTACCTACTGAGTCCTGATAGCCACCTGCTTGTGCACTTGATGTTGTTTTACTTGTATCTACCCATTGTTATTTAGCACTGCGATTGATAAGTCTCATGCAGGTACATCCAGCTGACGAGTCTCAAGTAGGATGAAACGCGAGTCCTGGATTCCACTGCTAACCACTATCGATCTTGGCTTAAAATATCTGTTTAGTTCATTATGAAAAACATTTCATAATTGCAGAATAATAAAATGATGATGCACATATGCCAATATGAGACGACTGATCAATTGCCGTCCTAAATAACAATGGGAAGATACAAGTAAAACAACACCAAATGAATCAAATAGATGTTGTACATAGTTGTTATACGCTTATTTCATCATTTTCAGTCGAATTAGTTGATTTTTTTTTCAAATTTATTCTCACTTTTAATTTATTTCTTGAATTAACTCTTAGTAGAAATAAATAAAAATTCTTACTACTTGTTGTTTATATTGTGTGGTGTTTCTTTGGAAAAGAACACATTTGATATCTTATTATGTTATATTATTTAATTTCATGGCTTAAATTTTGTTTAATTCATAATTTCAACAGTTGAGTAGTCCTACAATAGGACGAAACGGCCGTCCAGTGCTTCCAGGTTTTCCATGGTTGTCTAGCGTCAATTGATTCATGATCTCAATTGTTGAAATTACTACAATCTCCATAAAACCCCTTCTGATACTGATTCATAATTGTTTTGTATGAAATCAATTTGTTTTGTGTGTTAAAGTTATATGAAAATTATTTATTTGCTAAATTAACATTTCATATTAAACGTTACTATTGTGTATTTCATAAAAAAGTGTAATGAAATGCACTCGTTAACTGGACATTGAAAGTTTATATGTATAAAGCCGTTTAACGTAGATATATATGTATATAATCATGTATTCAAATTAATCATAGCATTTTGTTCATAATTAATTTTGTTTATCAGTTTACGGTTGTGGATACTTTTGATTGAAATCATGAATGGCTCAATGTTAGACCACCATTGAAAACGGCTGTTTTGTCTCAGTATGGGACTCTTCAGCACTGTAGTTTTACTTACTTGTCATAACTTTCTTGTATAATGTGTATATTTATTTCCGTAAATTGTTTCTATTTAGGTGTAAATGGTCTCGGTATTAGCATAGTTGGTTCCGGTGTTGATACTTCATCTGGTGAACAGAAATTAAGCATATTCATTAAATCATTTACTCCTGGAGGTGCTGCAGAGGCTGATGGTCGGTAAGCTATCCACTTTTTCTCTTTCACCGCTTTGTGATTGTTTTCTTGAGGATGGAAAGCGTTTTTCAAGTATGACATTGGTTATTTTGTTGAATGTATGTGGTTATGAGTTTTTACATCATTAATATTGGTAAGACTAGTGGCATTTACAATAGTTGATATATATATATATATATATATATATATATATATATATATATATATATGCTTGTTTTTTTTCTTATTCGTCAACAATTGTGACGTATACTTTGTTGACGTTTGTTTTTACTTGACAATTTGTAACTAGAAGTGAACTTAATGATTAAAAGACTATTTGTAATCATTAGAATGACTACGGCTATTAACCTTACTGCTGTCTATCTTGTTTTGTGCAGTTATGCCGTATCATTTGCTGTTATGTAAATAAAGTGGATCTTAAAGCCAAGTTCACAGATATATTCTTCAAGTATTTGTGTTGGTTATTATTTGAAATACACATCATAAAAGTAGGTAAATGGAAAGAAAATAGATTCATGTTAAAGTGTATAGAGAAGTGTGAGCTTTGCGTGTGTCGTTCCATTAATTAGAACGCTATCATCTTTTGTGATGTTTAGTAGTCGGCAATTCGCTTATTCGTATAACCATAACTAAATACTACTTTTAATACTATTTTTAAGACAATTGGCGATATGTTATTGTGTTTTGAAATAGTTATTCATACTCCACCTTAATCTTTTTTTACATGTAGCATAATGTGATAATCTTAACATGTTTAAATCTTTACGTTCATTATGCATGTTAAACTCATCCTGCAATACACATATATCGTTTATAATTTTCAAGTTACTAATTTAGGTAATAGTACAACATGAAAACTAATATTTCATTTGAAATTTTTTCTCCGATTTCTTGTTGTTACCATCTATCTAATCTTTCGGATGTTTCCTTTCTTTCTCTCTCTCTGTCGCACTCACCTATACACATTTTATCAGCTATTATTTAGATGACATTTATCGATATATGTTTCACTTAATAATTCTGTATAACTATTTATCAATTGAATTTCATCATTTTGTTTGTTCGTTTGCTTTACGCTATTTGGATCAGTGCAAAATTTTCACTGTTTATCATTCATTGTTCTACTAATATTACCAGTAATAGCAGTAGTGACCCATTGTTTTTTAACACATACACATTTTGGCTATGCTACTCATTTATTCAACTGTATTTTCTTTCTATTAAAAATAGTGATGATTCATGCATAGTTTTGAAAGTGGATAGTTTACATTTTACAATTTGTATTTAAATCTTTTTGTATATACCATCGTGGTATCCAGACAAACACAAACAATATAAACATGGACAAATAATGCATGTGTTCACTTGTCATACATACTGACTAAACTAAAATCATTCCTTTGAAATGGTCACTTCTGTTATTGTGCAAATGTTAGTCGTTTGAATGTAGCATAAATCATTTACAAGCATATCACTTATTGATAATTTAGCTCAGTAGCATTGTCGATTTACACAGAAATTGCATCAGTGTGTTTTACATGGGTCTAACATTTCCACCTATTTCAATGAAATCATGTATGATGATAGATTAAGTGATACTTAGTAATTACTTATAATTTTTATTAGATTCTCTTCCGTACATATTTGTAAATGTAGTGCATATCGGTAAGCTAGTAATTGGTTTACCTTTAGAACATTACGGGTATCGGCAGTGATCACTGAAACCGTCTACATTTATTCACTGAAAGTCCTCACATTCAACTCATTATATGTCAGTTTTAATATAAGTATTTTTACAGGAATAAATGATGTGGTCATTCCTAATCTTTTCAGTTAATATTTATTCACGCAGATTCAATTTATGTAGAGTTTGCAAACGAAGTATTATCCATAGTATTTTGATAAAAGAAATTCCAAACACTATCTACTGATTAGAAGTCAATAATTTGATGTTGATCAGCTCTTTATTTTTTCCTGAAAAATTTGATTACAAAAATGTGACGCATGCATCAAGACCAAGGTAAAGCTCGCTCGTCGAATTGATCAGCTATTTGGTAGTTGAACGCTTTAATTCGGACACCTGTTCTGAATTTTATTGAATTGAAAACTTTTGTGTCGTCATTTCTATTATTTTCCATCGTGATGCCTGAAATTGTTTTTGCTGCTGCGACAAAATTGATTTAAGCTAATTTGAAATCGATAGTTTGGGATTCTATCTATTTTCGCGTCAGTTTGAGAAAAATAACGTCCTCAGAAACTGTTGTGACGTGCGATGTCCGAAATCTGATACTGATACACGACGTGCTACGCCCTAACCTCCCAACTGACTACTTAAGTGAGAACACGAGACTGTACGAGAAAATTTATTGGGCTACCGAGTAATATACACGAATGTTCATCTCTATATATATATTCAACTCCGTCCCTTAGAAAGTCAGTATATTTCTAAGCCAATGATATCCACTTGTCCTTCTAGTCTCTTTTGTTTGCAATCGATTAACAATTGCATTTGGCTACTTCTGATTGGCTTACAATGTCATAAACCATCATCGGAATATTCATAGAAATCTTTTTTCTGATTTAATTAGGAGATCGAATTTCAGTAAAATGCAATCAATTGCCATGTCATTTTAAATCAATTTCTTTTTTCTCTGAAAAAGTCTCCACTTGTGGACGAAAGCTGATAACATTGTATAGCCTAAGATTTTGCGTTAGGCTAGTCAGTAATAGATTAATTAATGTTTCTTGAATACATTTACATGATAATTACTTTGTAGGAAACTATCTACAATGTTTCAACTACGATACCCTATATTGGTGTTTACTCATTTTCATCATTAGTTGATTATATAGCACAGTGGTACGATTAATATATGAGCATTAAATCAAAAGCTGTATGTTAATATTGCAAAAAACCGCTTAGCCATTAAACGTATTTCATTCCAAATCCTTTAGTTACATAGATTTTGATGTTTATAGTTGGTCGAATTTTGAAGGGTGTTTATGTGATTATAAAACAATTGGACACAATACTAGGGTCTATTTCAATGTAAAAATAAATACCATTTAATTAAATATTAGTAATTAGGAGTTAATATCATCACACTAACTTATCTCCATATTGGTTATGTGTTTGTCTCATAATGAACAAGTGATAAACAAATGCAAAATTTGTTTATAAACATTATACTCTGATTATTTTCAGATGATTTGTATTTGATGGTATATATATCAAGATTCATGTTGCCTTTATTGACCGGTTTATGAGATATAAGTCATCTGATTATAAATTTATGTAGGTAAGCCTTAAGGCATATCAAATTTGTGAATACATATATTACAGTAGGTTAAGTAAATTTTAGCTTGTTTAAAATCAGAATAGTCAAATATGTGTATACGATGATACGTTACTGAATGTATGCGTCGTAACTTGCTAGATTGTCATAATATTCAAAACGAAAAGTTTCACATTTAAGCTATTCAGTCTAGAAAACTTGGTATCCCCCAAGATAATCACCAGAGCTGTTTTATTCATACTAAAAGTCAACAACGAAAGAGAACTAATACAATATCATTTAATAAATAAATCCCAACTGCTACAAGCATTAGATTGAATAAAGTTCATACTTTCACCCACACATATACGGACGTAAATTCATCCTTAAACGAAATGACATGGTATCACTCGTAATCATATACACTGATAACCTGGGATTTGTAAATTTTCAAATTTCTTGATAGAGGAAATTGGTAAAATAGCCAAGAATTTCTGAAGGTGTAGCGTTCAGGCCAATTTGCAATTAGTTGACATCTCGACTGGTACCCTGTTTACCAATATAGACTGTAAACATTGAGCGATTACGCGGTAAAAGGTCAACGCCTCATAAAAATACAAAAAAAAACAAATGAAAATGGAGAAGTTCACCAAAACAACTATTCACAGGCAAAGTCACCAGAATAGGTTGACTTAACGCTTTTGAATTAATGAAACAGCTCAGTTCTACATAAACACTGATGAAGTTGTCCAAAGTGGCAACGTAAACTTCACAATAAAATTACCCAGTCCAGAGTACACAATCACAATTATTCTCCGTCATTCAATCTTATATATTTTTCCATTTAAAAAAAAGTTTTGTCAAATGCACTCATTAGTTCATCCTCTTATAGATTAAATAATAAAATAGACATTTAGCTATGGATTATTGATAAAATTATGTTTGTTAATCAAGTTTGATAAAACTACACTCACTGTGATTTATTATACGCAAAAATAAGTGCTGCAACATTTTCATAATTTGTCTATTAAAATTAAAGTTTCTTAATTGATTGACATTTGTTTGTTGTTATCTATAAGGTCACATTTGTTTGATCCACTTATTCTACTGACTTAAAAAAAGTAGTTGTTTACTAAGGAAACAATGATCATTTATTCGTTGTAGTTTATTTTGTAATGATTGAATTATATTCATCATATCACTATTATTTCTAAGGGAGTTTAATTTTATTAATTAAGGGACTTTAATAAACGGGTGTGATTCAAATGAACGATGCATATAATATGATGTGAAAATTCCCATATTTAATAAAGCATATATCACTAAGTGTGTAAGGTGAATAATTTGTAATCGCTACTGGATATATTTTGAAAAATACTAGGTTTTTCATGTTGTTTAATTTTTTTTAAAGCTAAATTGAACATCGTGTGCGGATCGCCTCAATAATGCTTCAAATCGCTAGCATTATAAGCAGATATAGATAATGACTAGCTGTGAAATCTAGGACGAGCGTTTCCTCCTATTTGGGACTCGTCGGCTGGATGAACTTGCATTTCAGAGTCCTGGACATAATATGAGAGTTTAACCCAGAGTTGATATTCACTCCGGGACTCTAGGCTGTAGGTACATTTAGCTGACGAGTTTTAGATAGGACGAAACGTGTGTTCTAGATTCTACTGCTAACCACCATTCATCTCTGCTTATAAAAAATAAAATTGTCTACATCTATTGGAAGTTTTGATTTCACTTTGCAGAATGAAAAATGTATTATATGTAACCGATGTATTGCCTAAATTAACTGTAACTATCCGTTTTTTATATACTTGACCAACATAATCGGATATACAAAGAAAGAAATTTACTTGGAAAACTGAGCTTACCTGATAATGCATGCAGATTTGTAAGCAGCGATGGTTACTCAAACATGTTGCATGTAGGTGATTAGTCTAGTTTCCAATTAGAACTTGTGTTTGGCTATGCAATCCTGGAAAATTGTTATTTAGATTATCGTACATATTAGGGTGTTCAGTTTTTTAATCATGCAATCATGGGTTTAAACACTGACTTTCATCAGTTAAGGCAGTTGAGTAGCGTAACTAATCCTGATCTAAAAAGTATGGTTCAGAGTTGAGTATATAAACCTGTATTTGTTTTTTAAACTGTGTGTAAAGCATCTATGAAATTCCTGTCTTATTTTTTATCTCTAATAAACATTTAACAGTATTCAAGTGTACGATCAAATTGTTCAAGTAGATGGCCATAGTTTGGTTGGTGTCTCTCAACAATTCGCAGCTCAAGTACTCCAAAATACTGGGGAAATCATTCAGTAAGTATGTCGTTTCTTCACTTATTTCTATAACACTAACTTGCGCCACTTATAAATGACTTCACTATTTTTCTTCACTGTTTCTACACGATATTTAGTCCACGATATCATTACTTCCCTAAAGCCTAAAATCAGAACAAGACAGATTATCACAAATCTTTGTATAATTTCGATCCGTAAGTTTTAGGAATACAGTGTGCAGCAATTTGTGAATCTCAGTAAGCATACATTACTGAGACATTTTTAATCGAAAATTGTCGTTTAGTCATATGCAACAAAAGAAACTTTAAACATATACAATCAGTTCAAATTACTACGTCACACTAACACAATAAGATGCTAGAGTGGTATAAGTTGTACTAGTATTATTGGTAGTATCAAAGACTAGTCATTAAAAGGTATGATTCAAGAAGAAAGTATAGATTAGTGGAATGGGAAATATTTATAGGGTAATTTAGAAGCTTAAAATCTATGGGAAAACAAAGATTGAATCCATCAGCAGCATTGCAAACGATTCTGAACCATGTCACTCGGTCTCTAACCATTAGTTAAGGTATTCTTGTTTATCCTAATCAAGTAGTCTGAGCCTAATTACATGACTTGGTCTAATATTTAGTGTCTTCATATACTGATACCATGTCTTGGTTTGGCCGCCTCATGCTTTCTCCAACATTAACACTATACCAGTCATCATCACGCGTCCTGTTTATCGGTGAATGTGCTGTGATTAATACATATCCTAAGGATCTCATTTGAGAGGGATTCATTACCTCACTAACCTGTTTTCCATCTTTAACTAGTACTTTGCGTTTAACCCCAGAATTGCTAATCCGATGGTCCTGAAATATACGACCAGTAGTTCAAAGACCTATAGTCGAATCCTAGTAACCTACTCACAATTATTTTATGGCGTTAATCAACATTTTTTTATATAGTTTGGTCGTAATTTTCTTCATGCTTTGATAACAAAAAGAATTACGCTAATAAATCTATCGAATATGTTGATAGATATCCAAAAATAGATTTGTATATATTTGAGATGGTGGAGAAAATTTGTTGCTCAGTTGAATGATTTAGGTGAAATTTTGTTGTCTGTGCTCGATGGTTTGTGCTGACAAAGACATTCATAAAGAAAATAACGTTTTTCTACAGTGGAAGCCTGCCTCTTGATTAGATTGTCCGATTTTCTAACAACAGAAAGCGTGGTAGGCTCGAATGATTTTGAGATGATGGAGAAGATTTGTGGTTCAGGTAGATGATTTAGATGGAGTTTTGTTCTCCGAGCAAACCATCCAGCCCAGCGAAAATTTTCGTTATATTTGTGTGTATGTGTTATTTTAAAAATTTCAACTGCAATCATCCTTTCTTTTTATCTGGTTACTTAGTAACAGTTGCTGTTGTTGTCGACTTCACGTTTAATTGTTTCTTTTCAATGTGTTTTACTTTAGTTTTGTTCTCGCCAGAGAAAAAGATCCACCCAACTCTCGCATAGCAAAGATATTGACAGAAAAACAACAAGAGGAGGACGAAGAGAATAATAAGGAAGGAGAGGAAAAGGCGGTTGAGAAAGAGTCAAAGTTGAATAATAATTCATCTGATAAATAGTTAGTTTTTATCATTTTAATTTTATTGTCAAAGTTATTTTTATTGTTAAATAAGGGTGGGAATGTGATACCGGGAAAGTTAACAGGGACTGACTGATTTCACAACACATGTTCTTTTATGTATTTAGCATTATTTAGATAAGACTGGTGATAATGATAGCCTTTCTTATATAATGAATATTTTGCACAGTAACTTCATTGCATTTATTATTAATCCATCCAGTTTATTTATGAATAAATATGGCTGAACACTTGATCGTAATCTGACTGCTAAGTACTAAAGATTCGGATGTACCTAATGGTATTCACTCTTATCATACATGGTAATTTACATTTTCATCGATTCATACATCATTCAGCTTACAGACCAACCATTTTTTAGTTTGTGAATAACTAGTTCGATTGTTTTTTTGCATTCATACCTGTCCTTGTTATGGTTGTCATCGGTTAACATTTTAAAACGTTAGTAATATATAGTTGAAAAATTTCCAATATTTTGTCTGATGAATTTTACAGGAAGGCGCATTTAGATGATGGTTAGAGATAGTCGAGATAAAACCCTACTATTCCGAGGGGTTTGTGCTAGTTGGCACTAATCAGTAAGACGTATATGTAGTCTTGTCGGGACTGATTTTACCTGGTGGATTGAAATTGTGAAACTGGGTGGTCCGGATTTTAATCTACCGTGGTGCATCAGTTCCGCAAAGCTTTAGGTACTCCTTGTTGTTGTGCGCTAACTATTACAAAATGATAGACATAAAGGAGGGGTTCTTTAATCACCTAACATCAAATCACAATTCACTCGATATTAAGTCACAAAGACTAGTGGCCACATTTCAACTTTTCGTTGATAGAATTCAATCAGTACTAGGGACTCGAAAAACATCCTGGGTTCTACATTGCATACAACTGACTAGATGAACATGACGCTTGTCGTTGTTCAATGATCAATGAATGTAATGGGATTGACTATGTTCAGTTTTTTTACCAGTTCACTACTACTGTTGTTTATTAACTTGTGGTTCTTTTTTCTATTTTACTTTTAATCAGTCAAGAGGTTGTGTCTACTCAGACCGATAATCCTGTAAACGTAAGTCTCTTTAAAAAAATGTTTTGTGCATTTCACTAATTTCCTAATTTGTTTGCGTTCACCACAAGTACGTAGAATGTATGTAAATTATGACTTAATCCAGTTGTTTGTTTATACATTATTATGACCTTATTTAATTAAATATAGAAGAACAATAAGTATAATAACAATATTATTTAATAACTATGGAATAATTTTAGACGGTATACTTTTCATCAACGTTACGTCAACAAATTAGCACAACAGAGCGATAAATGGTGTAAAAAATAATGATATCACTTGTACCTACAACAAAAATTCATAGAAAACAAATTAAATTAAAAATAAGATATTCTTGACTTACAGAACGGTGGTTAATCTTTCCTTGCCCTGGTGACAAATATTCCTTCACTGCACCATAAAATTTTATTTTTTCTTTTTTCTTTTGCATTTATTACATCATTGACTCTACTTTATTTTTTCAACTATCTTTCAAATTAATAATCTTTCAACTGAACTCTACTCACTACATTCCTTCAATGTTATTTATTATGTAATCAATTGTTTCTAACCCACTTTTGAACTGTTGTCACAATGTTGTAGAATATTCTTTCACATTAGGTATATATTTACAATATTCAGTTAGCAATTTAAATCCATTATGTAATTATGATTTTTAAATATCACAGGTTGTAAGCAGCTGACGAGAACCTACGAAATAAAATGAATTCATGCTATTCTGCTAGAGTCTTTGTTCTTGCTCTTTTCAGAATGCTCAGTAATAAATCAGTCAGTCAGCTACAACGCCAGTAATAAATAAATTAGAGTTTATATGGAATAGTTTATAATCAATATCACTTTAAGTCTCATGATTGTCCAACTAGAAATTCCTCATATTTTTATAATAGATCAGTGGTTATTAGTTTAAGAGGATTGATGGTATATGTATTTGGTTGGGAACCCTTAACTCTATCATTAAATCTACTATTCTAATAGTGAACATATTACAAATTGCGATGGTTGGTATGTGTTACACATGTTTAAACATTCTCTACCTTTGAGTAAAAGTCTATTGGATTGGAGGTGTTAGACGATTATCTGTTTTTAACATGTGAATTAGTCAACTGATCTCCCCCCCTCCTACCTCAACCAACCCAGTCCATATAGTATTGATAAATTATTCTATCTTCTATATTGATTTAACCTATAGTAATTGTAATTATTTATTCCAAATGTTAACTTCTGTTTTATATCGATTATATTAAGGGTAAATTAACTAATAATTGGACAAATCAATAAAATATTTTTGTCTGATATAAATTAGACAATGCTTATTCATACAATAATTTTCATTCTACATATTTCCGTCTATCTTTCTCTATATCATTTATCTTACCATAAAATATGACTCATTTTCATCTGATAAAATACTACTTATTATCATAGATCTACAAAATTTCTTTTAGATATATATATATATTATTCACTAAGAGAAATTGTTATTTAATTTTATGCATAACATGTGAAATAATGTTTATTTCTATTTTTATTGAAAATTGAATGTTTCAGTGATATTCTTCTTTTATTATAGTTAAAACAAACTTCAAAAAAAAAAGAAATTATTTTCATGATCATAATATTATGTCTACCCTATTTCTATGTCAGCATTGCTGATTAGTTCTCGGTCTTTGTCTTTGTTTTGTTGTTGTTGTTGTTGTGGTGGTGGTGGTGGTTATTATTATTATCCTTTGCAATCTATTCAGTATATGACATTTCAATTCACTTCATAATTGATTATTTCTTCTATTCTTGCCCTACCATCTATATGTTTCACTCATTTATGAGCTTAATCTCCTAACTCTTTCATATCACATGAATTATTTATTTGATTTTATTTTTCATCTTCTTTTGAAAACTTTAATATTTACTAGTTAAAATGAAATGAAGTGTAGGGAAATAGATAGATTTATAACACAATGTAGGTTGGGTTAGAATTGGTTACGTTTGTACAGTTAGTTTTTTTTGTTCTTTTTTTTGGTAACCCACCCAATTACTAAACTAAAAAAGTCACGAGATTAATAGACATTAAAATGTGTAGTATTATCGTTTTATAATGCATATTTTAGCATTTTTTGTAATGTCATTTATTCATTTATGTACATATTACGGTTGTTTATCAGTTGAGATTTGTTCAGCATACTCTTATGATGCATCAGACTGAGTAAAAATTATTCCTCACTTTATTATTATTATTATCATTCTCAAGTACACTGTTTTTTATAATTATATGATAAAACATTTTTTTATAATTAGCTAACAACAGTATAACTAAATGTACTTATCGTTTAAAGTATTGCAAAACATGGATGTGTCAACGGATATCGTGTCATCATTGTGATGCTTATTTAACCTACTAACTTTTTAATAACTTATTTTATTTTTATGTTTAGTCCGTTTTACTCTATTGAGTTTTCAATTCTTATAATGATAATTATTCACTTATAGAATAGAGTAGCTCAGTGGATAAGATGTCCAGTTTTCAACAATTAAATTCCAGATTTGAATCCCTTTTCATATATCTTGTTTTAGGCAACCAAGTAGTATATCACTAACCGTCATACTTAGATTATAGATCGAAGTTTAGTATGACAATCTGTACCTGATGGATGGCATGATCATAATAATAATCTATTCAATTTAACAATAACAGATGGTTAGGTAACATTTATATAGGATGATGTTGATGGTTATCCAGAGAACCATCACTGCCTTATTTCGGTTGGAATATTTGTCTGTTTTTTTTGGGGGGGGGGAAAGGGGTTCTTACACTAAAACATAAACTCGTTCTTTTGGTGATCGTATATTTTCTTTTACATTTTTCGGTCAACAAGTCACAATCTAATGATAATTATATTATTAGCGATCATGTTAAATTCCAAGACCAGAAAAAAATACTGTAAATACGTCAAAATAATCATTTAAAGGTTTTGATGTTCATTGGCCCTGTATGGATATTCTGTGCAACAAATCAGCGAAATTAGTGACGTTACACTTAACTAAATGTGTCTAGTTTTCATAATAAGATAAGGTTCACTTACTTGCTTACACCTGTTACCCCTCGTGGAGGAACATGGCCGCCCACTAGGATTTTCCATCGAAATCTGTCCTGAGCAGTCTTTTCCAGCTGCCTCCAGTTGCTATTCATTCTTTTGAAGTCTGCTTCCTTGGTCTTCCTCTTTTTCCTTTCCCTTCGAGATTCCACATTAGTCACTTGGAGAAAAATTCTAGTTGCTCACGTCTTTCTACAAAGATAAAGTTTTGACGATTGAATCCCCTAACTCACAGAACGTAACGTCATCAAAATATGTATCTGTAGTGATTGAGTTGGATAGTATTATACTCGTTTTATCCGAAGTGTTGTTGTCAGTCGTATGTATATTCTTGAATTTTATGAAAATAAGAAATTCTTATTTCATTGTTTAATGATATTAATAGTTATATTTTTATTGTATGTTTTACCATGATTCTTTATTTGTTTTTCTCTTTCACCAATAACTATTTAATGAATAATTAAAAACGTGAAATAGATATATACGGATAAGTTATTCACTTTGAATACCTTATTAGCTCATACTTAATGATCGGAGTTTTTAGTTTAGGAAAAAAGAACACTCCATAAATATTTATATGTTATTGCCCTAACACTTACCAATTGATGAGAATTGTGGCTCAAGGATGTATACATAAATATCTACTTAATAAATAAATGCCATAATAATGATATAATTTGTTTATTAGTCTTTTTTTCGGTAAGCATATTACATGTGTACATGTTTTTGTGTGTTTGGTTTTTCAGTTATCAGGCGGTGATTCTACCGAAGCTTTACATAATTTGATTGCTGTAGCTACACGATCATTGAAAGAAGCTAAACAATGGAACAAGGATGATGATGCGGAAGAGGAGGAGGACGAGGATGTGATAGCTGTTGATGAAAGTAGTGTAGATTATGATATGGAATATCTTAGTGTTAATAATAATGATACAAACGATTCATCACCTGTAAACAGTCTTTTTCAACAGTTTAGAAAATCTTCAAATGGTAGTGATAATGTAAAATCATTAAATGGTTATTCCACTGGCTTAAATTATCAACAATCTAGCCCTCGATCAGCATTAAAAGGTACAGCAACTGCAGCATCGACTCGTCGACGTAACGAAGCTATCATGGAGTATATTCGTCAAGCTGTACTTATCCAAGATAATGTATATTTACCAACTGATCTAATTAATAAAGATGACTACACTAATAAAAGTCAGAATTCAGATATAGCTACAGACTGTGTTAGTACAGTGTCTTGGGCACTAGCCAGTGAATTGCATGATCATAGAATTCAGCTACGAAAATTCCAATCACGTATTCGAAATCTAGAACAACGTGTAAGTTACTTAATATATATATATATATATATATATATATATATATATATATATATATATATATATATACTTTATTAGTACAATAATAGTGTAATATTCATTCTAATTGCTTAGATATCCATAGCAAATTGTACCATACAAATGAAATTGATATCTTCAGTTTCATTTTAGATACGATTTCACATTGTCAATAAAAATTAATCTCCTAACTTTAATTTTAATTGTATGTTGATAACTCAGTCGTTGGTTAAGTAAACATTTAAACTATCATTTCTGTAATACGAATATAAATGATAATTGTCTCACAAATTACTTATTTTCGGTTTCTTTTTTCAAATCTCATATAGTTGACTGCTCAAGAAGCTGCAGCGGATGAAGCGATAGAAAGACTTTGTCTACGTTGTCGTCATTTGGAATTAGAGCTTAAACAATCGCAACAAAAATGTTCACAACTAATCATGTCACCAAAACAGCAGAATATCCCAAACTCTAATAAGTTAGTTTAGTTTTACATTATTTTTACCCTAAATAATGTCTATCCTTAGTGCTTATATATATATATATATATATATATATATATATATATATATATAAATTATTTGGTTATCTGCAACGTAGGACCAGGCATATATATGCATCGGTCCAAGTTGCCATACCTCATTAGCGCAACAAAATGAATAGCGAATTCATAGTAGCAGTTATTTCAGTTGTAAGATAGGACACAGCAAGAAATAATTAGTTGGTAGAAAGAAAGGTATAAAGTAATTTTAATCTCACGGTTTAAATGGAGACAAAGAATGTATACACCTACGCCATTGTGATCGATTCTGAGCCATGTCACCCGTAGTCTCCAACCAATGGTTACAATAATTGTGCGGCCCCCAACCAAGTAATATAGATCTACCAACATAGCTCAGGCCAGAAGTTAGTGAATTTATGAACTGATGCCACGTTTTGATTTGACCACCCCCAACTTTGTTCCATCCATCTCCAACACTAATCAGCATTGCGCACTGTGGTAATCGGTGGTTGGGCATATGTACCATATTTTATATATATATATATATATATATATATATATATATCTGATATTCCATCTTTTTCGTTAAATTTCAGCTACTCTCCTGGAGCTAATAACTTATGTAATCCAATATATCATTCAGTAAGTACATACAATGTATAAATTACTTATTATAAATTTATACTGTCCCTCTACACTGCCGACTCCCTATAGTTTAACAATGTTGAATAATTCCATATTTGTTAACAAATTGAGTACCTATGGCTTCTAATTAGCAATGAGTTTATTACATCATAGTTGTATAAAGATTAATTTGATGCGAAACAGATTATATTTGGGGAGGATAACATCTTTTTTGTGAATTTTCTTTTGAGTCATAACTTCATTGCTGCAGATGTCGGATAATAAGTTTATAATTGATATTTTGAAATTATTTCCTTTTCTATACCTGCTTTGAATTTCTTACCTTGCTGCATATCACTTCCTTAAGCCTTTTTTATTTCTTACCTAATCTATTTTGAGGATAGCGACACTTTGTTTTGATCACATGACTCTTAGGTTTCATGTAAACACTATGTAACACTATATAACATAATTTGATATCTCCCCACTAAATAATAATATCAAAACTGATCTGACCAACCTCATGAAAGCGGCACGTTTTCTGTAATCAAATAAGTTATAATTATGTCTGTTTAAAGCAACTCGTGACTATTGAACGGGTATGGGAGCAGTGGATTCCAGTAAAGTGGTTGAAAGTAGATCTATTCTTCTTTTGACAGCACTAGGAATGTAGTATTTTACCCTTCATGTCAGCATCGGTAAAATTCAGATTAAATTCTGTTAATTATATGTTTTCCAGCCTAGTGTTGTTTTTCGTTTTCTTGTAACCATTTTTCTCTTTTATCCCACTCTCATACTTGGGCTAATTCAAAACTCGCCGGTTTTTTACGAATAACTTTCTTATTACCATATGGTAAGTGCTTCATCTATTTCTCACTCACATCATCTTCCCTATTTTCCACCCACCCCTTATATATTACCGTTCATAACTAATTACTGAGTAAAACTATGTTCATTTTTAAGGTGAATCGTTGTTTCCCCATTGATTCTATTAATAATTTATATGATTTGTTTTATGTTGGCATTTTTTACTTTTATCTTGTAGACTATTGTAATTATTATATCAGTAAATAATATTCGTAAATCTTATTTTTGCCTTTAAGTGATAGTTGCTGACCTGATGAGGTAGTCCTTAGCATAAATATTAATGATTATCACCTCAAGTTCTACAAAAGTTGTACATGGTTACTACTAAGTTAAATAGTTGAACTGTTTTGTGATTCCCATTTTTGTCATATATTCACTAATATCACTTGATCGTGTTAAAAAATATGGTATTATCGTACTGTTTTTGTGACTGTATAGTTGATGACCTTATTGCTAGAACTGTCTATAATGTCAACTATTATAAAATCATTTATTCGAAACTGACTTCATCTAATCTAGTTTAGATAGCCTAGTCTAGGTACATACAACTTTTGTTATCCAAAATTGAATATATAAAGAATTTGATGAATTGGTTTCTTATACACTATTTACTTGAACTACATTTAGCAATCATAATCTATCACATTAGCCTTGGTATTTATAATGTTTTGAAATAAGAGTGTTGTTTACGTAAGAAACTCACCACTGTGTTTTTAAGAATACATTTAGTGATGGATGTAATTCTCTCCACTTTCAAATATTATTATCATCATTATTATTGGCATTCAGTCAATTTCTCTCGTTACCTGTTTCCTTCTTATTGTATATATTCTCATTCAGAGAAAAAAAATTTATACCGTTTATCTCTATCATATTAACTTCATTACGTATATTATCGTTAGATATCGTCTTTTATCATTAAACTTTTAAATTGACCTATATTTAACTGATATAATTTTAATTATGATGAATTGTGCAGAATAATTATCTGTGACTTGTATATTACCCTTTGTTAAAGTTGTTTATATCCTGATTTTAAAATTCAAATCTCTTTGTTTTTCTTATTCATTCCAAGTCACTGTTGAATGCCTCAACGTACAAAGATGATGATGGAGTGGTGGTGTCTAGAGAAAATCCTGGTAAATTTTAGTTAAGACTTTCTAATCTTATATATATATATATATATATATATATATATATATATATATATATATATATATATATATATATTTGTTTATGGATTTCTTTGACTTATTATTTATTGAACATTGGCAAATATATTATATACAAGTGATATTTAAAGCAAAGATGAATGTGACATTGATAAATCACAGCAGGTAATAATTTATTTATCTCTATAAAAGTATTTGTACTATTGATCAATCGACGTGATCTCCTATTGCTTGGTGTTCATCAATGACAATTGTTCCAGATACTCTGCTTATTTTTCTTTCTGTACACGATTTATGTAACTATATAGATTTTTCACTCATCTAATTATTAATACCCATACTGTATACCATTAATTATGCAGTAAGGATATTTTGGATAAACAATATTAATGTCATTCATATCTAATATTAACAAGTAAGTTTCAAACTCGCCAATACGTGACCCAATTTTAAAACTTAGGTTAATTTTAATTTGACCATTTATTCTCTGAAGAAATAGTTTACACTGAACCACTAAACGTTAGAAAATCTAATTTTTCCACTTGTTTGGATAATACAACTATATTATTTTTATTATCAGAAGGGGTTTTGTGGAGATTTTAGAAATTTTCACTGATTAAAATCATGAGTCAATTGAAGCTAGACCACCATGAAAAACCTGAAAGCACTGGACAGCCATTTCGTCCTAGTACGGGACTCCAGTAGTGCGCATCCACGATCCCGCAGCCCGCGAGATTCGAACTCAGGACCTATCAGTCTCGCGCCAGGCGCTTAACCAACTAGACCACTGAGCCGGCATCCAACGGTGTTAATGTCTAACTACAACCAATCCACGAAGTTGCGCCACCGTACACCATTGTCATCAGTGAGCAGATATCTCACAGCAGACCTGGTTGAACTTCACTGGTAACGGCTTTTCACTAGAACTCTAGACCACTGATCCGGCATCCAACGGTGTTAATGTCTAACTTCAATTGACTCATGATTTCAATCAGTATATTATTTTTATTTATAACAATTTACCCAGTGCTGAATTTATTTGAAATTATCAAGTCAAACCTTAGTAATGATACATGCTATGTGTAACATAGTTGGTTAATTTTCTTTTTTTCTTTAAAAATCATTAAGTGGAATATACAGCTTAATTTTGTATTTGTTTATATCTGTATTGAATTAATGATAAAGTAAATTATATAAAGTCCAACTATGTAAATAATTGTAGCCTAATTAATAAGTTGTTTACATAACATTCATTATCTATATGTTATTCCATACTTTTTATGTTAGTTACAAAACAATATGATTTTGTTTTGTTTTTCTTTTAAAGTTCATTTTCTAGTTTTTAAATCAATTAAATCTTCTCATTTACAATCATTGACAATTTCTTTATTCTTGATCTTTAAAAGTAATTACGTTTGTTTTTCTTTCTATTCTCTTTATTTCTAATACTGTCTATAGTTATTTGAACTATTTCAATAGATATTGTTTAAATTTGTCTCTCTTACATAATAATGCTGGTATTTTAATAGAATAATAATAATAATAAGCATAAATCTGTCTTAACTATAGATTAAGTGAAATACCATATATTGAAAATAGTTACTGTGATTGTTTGAATTCATATGTTGATCATATCTGATTAGCTTACTTTTAGATTGTATATACATCAATAGTATTGTAAATATTACATTATTGTTGTGTGTATTATATTGTCCACATATTGTATAGTTCCATAGTTATCATGAATTACTCAAATATATATTTTTGCAATCATCGATAACGTTTTTTCATCGGTTTCATCAACACTGAATTTTTTTGTTGTTGACATTAATCTTTATTGTTAGTGTTTTTTTTCTGTCTCTTGGTTTACACATTCAAAAATTATCATTTATCGCCTCTATTCTTTGGCTGCCTATTTTTAAGACTATATAATTATGTAATATAAAACTTACGGTTACATCAGTATAATAATGATTTTAATAGAAGTATAGATGAATGTTGTACATCCTCTCAGCGATGGTAAAAGTAAAGGGTCGTATATTTCGAGTGGAAACCAATAAATCTTGGTCCGAAATAACATTACAGTTTCGATGTAATAATTACTACTTGTATTAAGTTGACATTAAAATAAATTACCGTTCAATTTACTCTCTAATACCATTAAAAAAAATTTTGACTCGAATATTTTTCATCCTGAAAGGTTAAGAACCTGTTGTTGTGCATGGTGGACTACGTATAAAGCCTAGAGCTTGTTATAATTGTGCAACTTTCACTTGAATAGTCGAATTTCCAGTTAGTGAATAATAAATAAGGTTAATTAAATAGGATTGATAGAAATTCTGTCACCCTTACACCATAAGAATGTTTAATTCCATCAACTTCTCAATACTCTCTAAGTATCCAACATATTTTCCCTCTTGTGTTTTATTAAAAATTTCAGTTTCACAAAATTAGTTCTTATTCAACTTTATAGATTATTCAAATTTGTAAATAAATGTGTTTCTGAATAAGTAAGAGAGTAATTGAACTATTGAGATAACCTAAATATTATATCCCATGTAGCAGTTGTTACACCTTTCTTTTTATAAAGACTGTATATGCTAAATAATCAGTTCGATTGACCATTATGCTGTTCTTGAATGTCATTGTTTGTCCCGATGTGCTTGAGTTTTTTTTTGACAAATCAAATTTTCGTACATTTGATACCTTGAATACCTCGGATAAATGATTTCAGCTCTAAGTCCGGTAGAGCAAATAATCAGTTCCACCACAAATTTGTGCACATTTTATCGTTATAAACAATTTGTTAACATAATAACATCATTACTATTATTATTGCTTAATAGTAATATAATATTCATTTTAAGTACTGACTAATGTTAACTGTTTATCGCTTTTTTTTCCTTTTTCTCTTCTTTATACAACAGTTGAATTTAGCTAACTTCCAAAAAATCAAATTGCATGTGATTTTATGTTTGTTCGCTTGAGTTTCGTTTTTTTGTTCATTCGTTAATTACCAATTATTGTTTATTTGTCCTTTCGACATTGAAAAATTTTTTTACTGAGAAATACAAGAACATGTCTTTAACTGCAAGCAAACAAATCAAAAAGTGTGTGTGTGTGGGGGGGGTAATACATAAGATACATTGTTGACTAAAAGACTGTCAAGTTATTTTTTACTGCAGAAAAAACATCCATCAATTTTTCGATGTTTCTTTACTCCCACTCTTTGTTTATCCTAGTTTTTGTCTATGAATTGTGCGTAATTTTCTTTATTCAGTTTAATCCCACCAAGTTCACTATATATATAGTGTTGATGAAATGTGGATGACTGACTATCCATCGTTGTTATGCTTAACGCTGATTAACATTTAATTGATTTTACTGTACATAAAGCATCTTCTTTCTTAAACATATATAAATACTGCATGCCCACAACTCTTTTTTCTTGTAAGAAAATCAAAGAATAATTTATCAATGCTTCTTTAGCCATGTGAATATTGATACTTACAATAAGGCTATTGTTTACCTTGAAATAAATTTAGTACGATCAACAGGTCTCTCAATCTGTATTCCCCTTACTCAAATCCCTGAAAAATACAATTCATATACATTCGTAGGTAGATTTCATCAATTAACATTAATTGTTTTGATTACTGTTTTATTAAACTTGTCTACTTTCTGATTTTACTGTAGACAATTACATCTAGATTTAGTGACTAATTTATAATTCATACCCAATTATGTCTATTTTTCTTTAAAAAAAAATTCTTTTTTTTCCCAATTTTTGTTTTTTCAAGTATGTGATGTATGTCTGTCCATTTTTAAATTCACTCTATGTTTTTGTTCTCCGCCTTGTTAATTCCAATCATTATAGTTATCATTACAATTATTATTACTACATTTATTGTTATGAATATTAGTATTATTACTATTAGTAGCATTGTTATTCATCAATGTGCCTTGTAACCTGTAAACAATTATATAAATAAATACTTGTTCCAACTGTTAGTTTCACTGTGTTTTTTTTCAAATATAAACTGGATGAATAATTAGTTCGATAAATAAGAAGACAATAAAATCCCGATCGCTTTTTAATATTTTACAAAACAACAATTCAGTTCATTAGCTTGTTACAAAGATACGAATTCGTTTTTTTTAAAGTAATTTGAATATCCAGCTGTGTATCAATTTCTGCTCGTAGAACGGTGAATCAGTAGTTAAGAGATTTGACTTTCAACTATTAAATCGCAGGTTTGAACCTCACTCCTCTTACTTTGGCTTAGATAACCAGGTAGTTAATCATTAGCCGTCACTTAGAGTATATGTACCTGTCTAATAAGTGAAATAAATTAGTCAAAAGGGCTATTGAATTTGCCGGTTGTTGAACTTTAAATATGATCAACTTTGGCAGGAAATTACTAAGCTGACCAGTTATTTAAAGCGATTGGTTTGTGTTGACATTATCACTAAGTTCCACTAAATTGGCTTGTATCGAGCTGTTTACTGTGTCGAACACATCCCAATGTTGCTAAAATTGTTAATAGTACCTGCATAAATCAGTCATTCTGAATAAGTCAAATTCTGTTCTAATTTAGATTATTTCAGTGCATGATTACTGTATAGCTCTACAGTTGAATGTGCACAAAATATGCGTTGTTGTTTTTTGTTCTTTATTCTTCAAGTACAAATACTTCATAGTTTTAGATAACCATGACATCTTATTTGAAATAGCCGATACAATTAATTGACAATATGGTCACGATTTGTTGTTATTTACCAACTCATTATATCATAAATTTAATTGTTAACGCACTGTGAGTTATACCAATAATAAATGTTAATTCAAGTTAAGAGTCTCTCAGATAATCTTCGATTTTACTTGTCGTTTTTATGTTTAGTGCTGAACTGCAATCGGTTCACACATCGAAACAGGTTTTTTTCGGGTTGATCTGATCACATCTATTAGATAACTTCCGAATATTTATCTCACATCAGGTTACAGAGCGGTGAATTTACTGCTTATTTATGTCCGTATAATTATAAAAACAGAGAGTGGATGCACCTGTGCCATTGCAAACGATTTTGAGCCATGTCATTCAGGGTCTCTAACCATCGAGATGATAGCAACCAATGGTTAGAGACCTTGAATGACATGGCTCAAAATCGTTTGCAATGGCCCAGGTGCATTCACTCTCTGTGTTCTCCCAAATTCTAATCTTCTGAATTCTTCATGTCGCTTCCTTTTTTCCTCTTCCCAAATTTATTTCACTGGATTATACTCTTTAAATAACATCTCCAAACCCTAATCTTCCCGATTACTGCTTATACTCTTATTACCTCTACCACTACGGGATTTGAATCGACAACTGCATCTCTGTGCTAATGTGGTGTGGCAACTCGAACTGATGTACGTACGTACGAAGTTCTACGTTGTTACTGACTGACTGACTGATAAAAACTAACTTAAATCATTTAGTTCGGTAAATATTAAGTATTGACATTTTATGGGATTGATTATCAATACTTTGGACAATTATTTGATTAGTTATTTGAATTCATGTGTAAGCCATCTCAGATGAAACAGGGATTTTCTTGGTAATCCGTTCAACTTTTGGGTCACAACTTTATCACATCAATAATGGGTTTGGCTGGTGGGTTGTATCAGTATTTATTATAAACGACCACACAAATTTATACGTCGGTTACTGAATTTCACTTATATTATTATTCAGAATTCACAATTTTCAGACTTATGTTGTCATTTCAGCGTTAACAAATTCGATCAACCGAGTTACATTTTAGTTATACACCAAGTGTTAGAATAGCTAAGAATAATGCTCGAATTCTATGGTGTGAAAAAAATTCAATTTCACGCAAGCGAACTGTACTCAGTACGTGATTTTAACCATTAAACGTAACTGAGGAATATTCCTATTCAGACTATTTTCATGAATACGAATAACCTAAGTAGCATTTCCACAATATTTATATCTCACCATCAAATTATCCTTGGATAATGGGTACTTCTAGCTGTAAAATTGATATATTCGCAATGTTTATATTATAAAACCAACTTATTTATTTAGAATAGAGATCGATGATGAATTTTGTATGATCTAGGATAATAACTCTACATAATACATTTTAGCAAAATCTTGTTAAAGGCAGAATTACGTCTAAACTTAGTTTAAATATGTAAAGAGTAACATAATGCTAATTTATGTCTCTTGTTAAATAACTGATGAGTTCAGTGATGTGTTTCCCCATAACTTAATAGAATTTCTCCATTCGAAAATCTATATAGACATTTAATTCAAAAAAAGAATTTGACTTTAGGATATAGTAGCAGTGTTTCAAATGCTATTCTACTTATTGTTCACATCATATTTTTCATCTCTAGAATATTTCATTTACTTTAACCAATTAATCATGCTACGGTATTACTACTACTTCGAAACAATTCTATAATTGTTCCTTCTTTTTTTTAGTTTGTTTCTTTCGCCTTGCTAATTTATTTTTACCGCCTTATGAGATTTTTTTCATACCAGGATTCCTAAACCATTTGTGTTTCTATTTATGCAATTTTTCGTTCAATATAATATTCATTTTAATATAAGTTGAAATTTCTATAGATATATGTATGATTATTGCACATTGATTGTTGAACATTAACCGTTGGTTATGAATTATACTGGTATCTTATCAATATTAAGAAAGAGAAAATCAATTCACTATATGTAATGTAGAACAGATTCCTTAATATTCAATTGATATTACCATTTTGCATCGTGTTGCATGATAGAAATTTTAGTTTTCTTTGTTTTTAATCCATAAGAAATGGCTTTCTATTACAAATATTGTTATGATTATGATGATATGTTGAAATGTCTTGCTTGCTTTAATGTTTTTCAAAAAAAAGAATGTTTTAACTGAATGAGTTATGTATTATTTTAAGTAAAAGTATTCAAATAGACTATTTCTACTTTGATTTTTCTAATTGAATTCATAGATGTTGTATTGAAGAAATGTTTTGGTTTAACGGATACTGATGAATCTATAGTTTCAATTCCAAATCATGTAAGTCCCAAGGTGTCAGTGTATGGACCTTACTCTTCTGATGATCAAGATAAAGCTGAAGTGAACGGTTCTACTGATAACCCTGTGAATGTTGTACATGATGGTTATTCAACTACCGTAGAAGTACCATTATTTGTTAGACAAATGGAAGATCGAACTCGAATTGTCAGTTCAGGTGGTTTAGCTCGTCGACGTCCACCTACAAAAATTGTTGTAAGTTTGATTAATTTTAAAATTATAACTGTTCTGTATTTTAATAAACGGATTTCTTTGAACGATAATAAATCATATATTACATGTGTACATACATCTGTAGACGTCTGTATACTTACACGTAAGTTGTGCTAACTCACAGATTATTATTATCATTTTTCTTTAGCTTCAGTTCGCTTTCTCACTTAAAGCGCATTTTAGCACATCATCGCTGAGAGATTTTTGTTCATTTATTTTCTTGGTGGCTTTAGTTTATTTCGATGTCTTAGAATCATTGAGTATAGTTCAATTATTTAATAAGCATAGTCAATTTTAGGCTTAGAACACTGTAAAGTTTGTAAATCAACTGATGAGGTCATAAATCGTCACTGATTTTAGTAGTTGTAAAATAAAATACACATACTTGCTAATTGTCATTTGCTCTATACGCACCTACTAATAAATCTTTGAATTTTTTTCTGGTTCTTTATATATTACTGTTTATTTCTAGTTTCCAATTATTTCTTCTAGCCCTTTACTATTATTGCTATCAACATTTTTACTTATTTTTAGTATAATTTAAACCCCATTACACATCGGTAACAGGATCATATATTATCTTGCCATTAGTTCCATTGGCTCGTAATTTTCTCCCATAATTAATTAATAGCCCAGCAACTTAATGTCAAAATATAATCCACGTGATGACCAGTGACTTTGACCAGTGGTCGCATTATATATATATATATATATATATATATATATATATATATCCAGCTCAAAGAACAAAACTCCACCAAAATCATCCGCCTGATCTACAAATCTTCACCATCTCATTATATATATATATATATATATATATATATATATATATATATAAAGTTTCTGATTGATAATCTCGTTGAGATTCATTTCAAAATAACTTTCTTCCCCATTTATGTGTATTTTGTTTATTTATTGATATATTTCATATGTCCATCAATTTCTATGTACATGTTGATCTCTTTGTGTTTCTGACTCGTTAGGTTGCTTTCATACCTGTCATTTCATCAGAAACTTAATTGCAAATCGTTTATTCATTCTAAAACGCTTAAATTTTCTCCTTATATATCTCTCTTTTCATTTTATGACATGTATGTGTAAACAATGGTTTTATTATTTGTTGAATAGCTATTTCAGTAGAAAGTTCTTTCTTGAGTTGAAACGAAATTTTTCTTTGTTTGAATTGCTTTACCAAATTTTCTTTACATCTCAATATGTTTCTTTCGTGTCTCCAGTTTTTTTGTTCGTCATATGATATGCTATTTCATGACTGTTTTCCTTAACACTAGTTCTAAGAATATCCAATTAATTCTATCTATATGGTTTCATATCTGTTCACGAACATGGAAAAAACTGTCGATGAGCACTTATTGGATAAATGGATACACTAAACTTAATTTATACTGTTGTATTGAGGCAATACCACAAATTGAGCAACATTATTTAGTCTTATTTCCATAGATCCCGATCACTGTTGATCTCAATGAAATGGTTGCTCTCAAATTAGCCATTCTTGGGTTTGATTAGATTTTCAATAATTGTACAAGCTTATCTTATTTGTAAATCCCAGTTTAAACAAAATAATCTTGTTTACATTCAAGCCGAAGTACTAAATTTTTCAATGTTAATTATAATTTGGCTTTAAAACATATACATTATTATGTTAGGATGGCTCACATAAAGCACAGAAAAGC